CCAGAGCTGGAAGAGCCAGAGCTGGAAGAGCCAGAGCTGGAAGAGCCAGAGCTGGAAGAGCCAGAGTTGGAGCCAGACACAGCCCCAGTAGCTTCAACACCAGCAGTAATGGTAGCGGTGGAGATCGTCTTGGTGACGGTAGATGTGGACGTCGCCATCACCGTGGTGTGCAAGTGGGTGGGTGCATTGGTAACATCGATGACAATGGTGTCATCAACGGTGATGCTAGCATCCTCCTCGAGCTCTACATCAACCACGATAGGGTACTCAATGATGTTCAAGGAAAGGTGCAAGACCTCCCCAGTGAACTCGACATCCGAGCAGGTGTCGCGAGTCTGCAGAGTATTCTCCTTGGGCTTGATAGCGGCAGCACTGGCCACGCCCAGGGACGCGACGGTCGCTGCGAGCGGAGCGAGACGCATGATAAATAAAATGGCTTTAGTGAATGACAGTACTATAGAAAGAGAGAGAGAGAGAGAGAGAGAGAGAGAGAGAGAGAGAGAGACAGAAATGAGTGACAGTAGTAGGCCCTGTTTGGCCGGAGCGAGCGTCTAAACGAATGTACGCAGAGCCTGATTCTTCCCAGAGATGGGGGACAGACCTGTCTTTATGTTTGCAGAGCATGGAAACAAGTCTTCTCAGAAAACGGGGCGCAGTGATCTGTACCGGGGGTCAGCATAAGCCATGCATGGTCAAACACATGCAGACCACCACGTTGGAAATCCCTGTGCAGGTCTCGAACGCTTGGCAGGCACCATGGCTCGTAGGATCCGCTTCCAAGGCCAAGAAGAGAATCAGGTAACGGTACCCGACATATCACAAAGGACATGAGGCAAATGAGGGCTCGCCATGACGCTGATTTCGGAGGGCTCGGATATCCCGAGCTGAAGAACACTGAAGAAATGGGTCAGCTTAAGCTTGATTGAGACTAGCTTCAGGTCCGGCTCCTGGACAAACAAAACCCTTGGATCCTTGATTTCTCGAGGAGATCAGGGGTACCTGAAATCTACAATGGACATACATACATACATACATACATACATACATACATACATACATACATACATACATACATACATAAATGCCTGTTCATTCTGGGCCTTGCACAGGAAATATCCTCCAGCGCCCGTTCATCTTGGGATTTCCGAGCTTCCGGTCACTGCAAAGTTAGTGAGTATTCTGAGTTCAGATGACATTTACCGTCGATCGAATCGGGCTTGTCAACAAACAGTGCCGAGAGGTTTTGGGCTCGGCTAAAAATGGGTTTATTGAACGAGCGGGTCTCAACCACGTGCTGCTGTTGGCCGAACCGAAATAAGTGTGCCCCGATTCCTTGGTCCATCTATCAGGCTTAGACAACATTGAACTAGAAAAAAGAAGTTGGCAAGTCGAACGAGCAGGACTAATTGTTCCCTGGGTAAAGTAAATTTTAGTCTTTTGTTGAATTTGACTATTTTGGGGCATGACCGTCGAAAGTTCCGGACATATCGTCTTCTACAGCCCCTACGCCTTCAGCCACAGCCCAGATAACAGTTCACAAAGGCACACCGCATGTATCCACATAAACCAAAGATGCTGCACGTACTACTGTAGTCATGCGAGCAAATCAACAACTCTAGCAACTCAAAGCGAGCCCAGCAGCGAATAGACCGCATCCACCCAATACTAAATAGTAAACACCAACGACCGATGGCTCGCCACAGTACCCACCGTCTAGCGATGCATTGCCTGGACCGAATCCAAGAGTGAAACAAGAATAACAACAACTAAGCCAAATACAGCCTGGTGGACTACTTTTAATCGAATTCTCGACCCGTTCGCTCGAGCGTACAGTGCACTTCCACGCGGCGCACGCAATGTCCGTCATGAGCGAGGAGAACGTCAATCGCTAGTTCTGTTACTGTCGGCTACATCTGCAGCAAGCCCGGATCTACTCCGGAATATCTCCTCGGATCCAGATACGGTGGAGAGGATCGTATCTCCAGGCTTTTGAGATGGTCAGGCGACTCCAGCTACTTCTCGGGGGCCGGCACGGAAAAGTTACTGCATCCCTTTTCTTTCATGTCACACATAAGGGATGAGGATAGGGGACGGAGCACGATAAGAACCCCTCACAGAGAGTCTGCATGAGCGTTTCGCTTGTTAAGTGGTGGTGAGTCGCAGGTGGAGCCAATAGCCTACATGCACCAGCAGATCGCGGGAGACTAGACCGGGTAACGAACAACTACGCAGAATACTACGAGTCCGGCTCAATACTTAGTAGAAGGGTAGACGTGATTCTTATAGAATTCTACTCCCATCAACGCGACACAACCTCCGAGCAAAGGGGGAGGGAGATTCTCCGCTTCTGTACTCAGTGCGAATGGGTCATATTCTCGAGAATAGAGATAAGGACCGACGCTTGAATAAGTAATGAAGACTAGGGTCCTCCAAAGGGAAGAAGAAGTATGCACCTCGGATGGAGAATCATACTACTATTGATAATCTAAATCAAGCCTCTCCACACTTTCACCCTGTCCACAGCACAGCTCGACACAAGCACAAGTGAGATTTGATGCACAATCTCTTAAGCAAATCCTGTCCTCTACCTCTTCGGACTCACCTATCATGTTCAGTCAACCATCCAAACCAACCCCCAAGCTTCACGTCAAACTTAATCGACCACGATAACACTTTTGGGCTAGGCGATAATGCTATAGATGGAACGGGAATGATAGGTAACAATGCCTAAGATATCAATTTGGAAATCTCTGCTAGTGATAGTGTCTATCATAGCGAACGCCGTCAACACCTGGTACTATAGTGGCATTCTCGTGCTACCTGATAGCAGACTGATCGAACAAATCATACACATGATGCAACTCCCTGCTACCCTATCACCGCGCTGAAAACCCCCAAAGTAAATGCACGATGGAGGCCGACGTGTCGCTGGCCCCACATTTCTCTGAGATATCTTTCCGCGAACCGGTTGAACTCGCGTCCTCGGGCATCAATCAGGGCAGGCTTGACACTCCAGCTTCGGACGCGTCGCTTGCAGTCACAGTCCTGGCAGCCGAGGTCGGGGACATTCTTCCAAGCCTTCCAGTAATTGTCCAGCGGGTCTGAGAAATGGCACTTCCTAGCTCCGCAATCAGTACTCTTCACGTCCAGCTCACAGCATTCATTCTGCGGATCCAAAAACAGCTTCGCCAGTGATCGCGGTGGCTGCTTCAGAATGAACCACGAGATGACGCTGTATTCGTTTCTTGCGTCCCGGTGCCAGTCCTTGGGCCCGTGGCGGAGGAGCATGCGTTCCATGAGCTCCCGCAACATCCGTAGGGCGGCGTGGAAGTCGACCTCGGTCTGTTCGTCAAGCCAGCCTCGGAACTCGAGTCGTCGTCTGCCAATGTCGGCTTCTATATAGCCCCATTTCAACACTGCGTACACATGGTTGGTATATTCTTCAAAGGTCATAATCTTTCGTCTCTGCGGTGGAAGCTCGTCGTACTCGTCCAGCATCTTTCCTAGAACAAAGAGGCGGCCACTGACTACCGGAGCCAGGGGTTCCTTGGAAGGCTTGAGTCGCTCCGTGTCCCGAGCGATATCCGCCATGTGAAACAGAACGTGCAAGCCTCGTTCCAGACGTTGCGCCAGACGTAGTTCCGCTTCGAAATCCATCTCTGTTGTGTCTGCCTCGCAGAAGGGACCCCATACAGAGGGCACTAAATGTCGTGACAAATCTCTGGCAGTCTTGTGCCGGTGAAGAAATCTGACAAGGGTGTGAATCGTCAACGGTATTTGCTCTCCTGTCCATGGGCTCATGGTGAGGACCGGGTCGAATGCGTCGATGCCATGCTGCCGCATGAACCATATGCATATATGCGGCTCGAGAATTTTGACAGCCTCATAGGTCGCCTTGTTCAGCTGAGAGAGGGTTAAGATGGTATTCACCTCGCCGCTGATTATGATCTGGAAAAGAACATCGGCCACAAAGCCGAAGGGAAGAGGAGCTCCCCGCCTTATAGATGGGGATAGCATCTGTTTGACGATGCGAATCAGCGTTGGGGATCTCCCTCGCACCTGCGGCGTGGGTGCTTGGCTGCGTGTCGCCTTTCTTCGGAAGATCATCCCGACTTACCATAGCAATTGCTGCCGGATTGGATCACCCAAGTCTCTCCGAATCTAGGCGAAATGGAGTGACATTAGGTCCTTTATAAATTTACCAGGGAAGTTGCGGGGAGAGAGACTGCTTGCTCAGGCTGTAAGGGGGGGGTAAATTGCCGTCTGGCAGATAAAGCGTGGACGGTGTGACGCGTTGGCAGTTTATCAGTCGTGTTCTTGGCTGCAGCGATACATCCGGAAAGGCTGGGTAGGCTGGGTGCAGGATGCAATGGCCGAACGACTGTAAGCTGACTGGTCAACTTGGAAACTTATATAATACGTGGTGCCATGTCCGGTGCGGTCATCATGGGGAAGATAGTGAGGAGCAGAAGTAAAGATTGACCACGTTTCATGCGAACAAGTTGGTCTTCACGCTGGTCTTTCCTGTTGATTCTCAGACACACGTAGCACCAAAATCCGTCCAAACTAGTGTCTGTCTAGATGTGATAGCATGGTACACCTGGGGAAATCTCCAAGTCTGTCTGATCATGAGATCGGCGGTTTTTGCTGGTAGTAGCTTTCAATAGCGCCAGGGGAAGAAAGAGGGGAAGATCCGACATCGTCACGCGAGAAGATCGTCCACGAATCAGGCATTCTTCGAGGGCCTCAATTCTGCCAAAACAAGCTTGTCACGTCAGCGACAGTTGACAGGTCTTTTTTTTTCTGGCCCGATGAGGGATGAATGAGAGTAAAAAGAGTTAGTATGGAAGAATTGGGATGAATAGCGAGACTCTCGAAGCATCTCCACACTCTGGGCACTTGTTTGTCGGTGGAGCCGGCCGCGGCTAAACCCAATCCGCCCAAGCTCCATTTTTCTGCCTGGGGCTTTCAACTTTCCATCTCCGCCTCTCCGTCTCTCCCCTCCTTCTCTTTATCGGTCGGCCGCGGAAAATCTCTGGGACGATAACATATCCAAAAAAAAAAATGAAACTGAATTGAAAAATAAAAGAAAAACGCAACAAGTCACAACATCACCTCTCATCTATCTTCACTAATTTCCTTCGCTTCCTCGTCGCCCGACCTTCGTTTCGAGTCACTATCCTTCTCGATTGGACTCTTCGAGAACTTGACAAACTTCATCAGGGTCTGCCGACCTCCCTCTGATGCCATTCCGCATATCGATCCTAGTCGCGCTTAACGCATGATTTCCTCCAAGCCCCTTCCACTCGCTGACGAGTGGACAGATCCGGATGCTTACGTTGAGGCCTTGATTTCCTTCGCTACCAAGTCTGACATCTTTAGGCATCTCTGCGGCGGAGTGCATATCCTTGACTTCCTAACACGAGAGCCGGACCTTTATACCTCCCTGCTACCGGAACACTGGCGCACCTTCTTCGATCAGCATGATGTCCAGGAAATTCTAGACTTGCTCCTCCGCGATGACCTACAGCCCCTCTTCGGCCATAATCAGCGACCAGCCGGACCGGGCAATGCACAGGATGCGGACGCAACAGGGTCGCAAGGTGGTGCTCTCCCGCCGCTGGATCTCTTGGAGTACATCCACCAGATTCGGCGCCTGAGTCTGGGACGGGACTTTACTCCGTCTCAACCCGGGACCCCCGTGATTCCGAGGCATATCGCAGTAGGGATGAATGTCAAGAAGTACCACGAGGTGGCGCACTTCTCCAAGTATGTGGACAAGCTGTGCACTACGGTTGATGAACGACGGGGTGAGGCAATCACGCACATTGTGGATTTTGGGTCGGGTCAGAGTTACCTGGGTCGCACTCTTGCCTCTGCGCCCTACCATCGACACATTGTGGCCATTGAGCGAAAACATCAGTTCATCAGTGGTGCGCAAGGCATGGACGTGCATGCTCGTCTGAAGGAAAAGAAAAAGGTCAACATGTACAACAAGAAAGCTGCCAAATGCAAGGTGTGCGAGGAACCTGAGTCGCCTGCAGCGGTGGAGCCGCGCCCCGATGCAGGGGAGTCCAACACTGCAGAGCAGAAGCCCCAGGAGGAGGACCCAACAGCAGCTAGCGCCAACGGAGAGGAAGAGGAGTTGGCTATGATCAATGTCTTCCGTGACGTCAGTCTTGCACCCGGTGAGATCGGCTTTAAGCCTCATCGGAATGCGCCCAAGGCAGCTGTCGAGGAAGAAGAAGATCCCAACAAGCCTAGAGGCACAATGGACTATATCGAGCACGAGATCAAGGATGGTTACTTGGAGCCGATCATCAAGGATGTCATCGAGGCTCCTCTGCCTGCTGTTGAAACCAACGGCGATGCTGCGGACGAGAACGCGCCTGCGACCAATGGCGCAAAGGCGGACCAGAAGCCGGAGGACGCCAAGGTCATGGTCATTTCTCTGCACTCTTGCGGCAATCTACTGCACCACGGTGTACGCTCCTTGACACTCAACCCGTCGGTCAAAGCTATTGCTATGATTGGCTGCTGCTACAACCTAGTTACGGAGAGACTAGGCCCTGCAACGTATAAGCTCCCTATTCTTCGGTCCATGCATCCTCGTCTGACACAGGATGCCGTCGCGTACGATCCCCATGGATTCCCCATGTCAAAGCGCTTCGAGGACTACGAGCATGAAAGCGGTACTGGTGTCAAGCTGAATATCACAGCACGGTCTATGTCTCTGCAAGCTCCTTACAATTGGGGCAGAAAAGACAGCGAGGACTTTTTCACTCGCCACTTCTACCGAAGTCTTCTCCAGCGTATCCTGGTGGACCGTGGAGTTGTTGCGAAGCCTAAAATCCCTGATGATCTCTATGGCGAATCAGATGTGCCCGAAGATGCAGGAAATCCCCTAATTGTGGGCTCTCTGCGCAAATCCGCTTTTGTCTCATTTTCCGCCTATGCCACCGCTGCCGTAGCCAAGCTATCCCGCGATGCTCACTTCGGTGAGAAGGTGAAAGCCGGCATGAGTGACCTCACTGAGGAAGACTTAAACCGCTATGTGGCAGACTATTGGTACGCAAAAAAAAATCTCAGTATAGTGTGGAGCTTGATGGCTTTCAGTGCCGCCTTGGTTGAGGCCATCATTGTTGTGGACCGGTGGCAGTTCCTCCGGGAGCATGATTCCGTCCAGGACTGCTGGGTTGAACCGGTTTTTGACTACAGAGAGAGTCCTCGCAACCTGGCTGTTATTGGAATCAAAAAATAGGGCGGCTCTCACCATGGGACAAGGTTTTCGCTGGAATGCCTGAGGCCTCCGGACCGAGCTGCAGGTGTCAGGAAGCAAGAAGTTGGGCAGCAGCAGCAGCAGCAACAACAGCTGAGTTACAATAGTTCCGAGACATTGCCAGCCGGCAAATTGGAGGCTTGTTTCCGGCCTGATTCGGTGTCTGGTCAACCTGTGACTAGCCTGATCTAGGCTGCGAGGTGCACACGGCACACGAAGCGGAACTAAGACTGGAAGTTCTCTTACGGAGAATATGATGTGACCACGACCAATAGAGAAACGATAGACGAAGGACGAAGGCCAAAGTGTAGCATAGCGGATTCTGTTAGAATAGATCGTGCGACAGTTCCACGACCGATAACCATTAAGAGCGCTGCTTCGGTCTAGAATCACCCTCGATCAACCACTCCCATGGTGCTCTTACGCGTGAATAATGATGGTGCCTATTTCTTTAGGCAGTCAGAATCTCTACAGAGTAGACAGTATGTAATCTACGAGACACTTGTGGGGAGGCTAGGAAGAAAAGAGTAAGAATTCCACCGATCAGGGTTCGAAAGAAGAGCAAAGTTGAGGGAATTTAAACCAGAGAGTCACAGAGACGGAGTCGAGACTTGAGACCATTTTTTCTTTTTCTCTTTCCACAAAAACCTGATCAATACTAGTAGTACTCGACTACTACTACTATTACTACTACTTCAGGTAAGGCATCTATTAGTGCGGCACCCGCGGGTTCCGAACTGTACAGTGGTATGTCATCACGTTTCCGCTTGTCAATGCATCCTCCCCCATTATTGCACTGACATCTCATCCCTCCCATCCTAATCAGGCACGCTATCGACATTTCAAGCTTCCATTTTTCTGAAAACATGGACCATCTGGAAGCCGAGGGTCCCGAGAGCGATGGAAAGGAGTCCCTTGGCAGACGTGCAGTAAGTTCTGCCAATGCTATTGCTCAAAGCTGGTCACCCACTTGCTTACTTACTCTTCTGTAGTGTGACCAATGTCGTCTTCGAAAGGTACATTCTACCTTCTCGCTAATTGAGACTAGTCCATCGTCGACTGACTTAAAGATTCGCAGATACGCTGCGACAAGCGATTACCGTGCTCCAATTGTCGCAGTTCGCAGATTGTCTGCCGGTCGACCGGGGCAGGCCAGAAACCTCAAGAACCGCGCAAGCGGGTCTTGATCTCTAGCCAGTAGTATGTGTGCCCCTGTCACTAGTAGACCTTTCAACCTGACGTCTCAGTGAGAGGAAGATCGACCTGATCGAGGAGCGCTTGGGAAGCATCGAGGACCTCCTCCGCGAACTCAGATCGAACACTGCTACGACTAGCAGTGTTTCCGAGCCATATTACCATTCCACACCCATCTCCAGCCGGATGAGCCCCTCAGTCCCCGGTCACGCCAACGGTCCTGCTCCGGTAGAGGACCCAGAGGCGACTCCAGCCTTCGAGGGCAACTCATCTCTAGCCGCGCACTCCGCCTACGCGAGCGAGTTCCTAGAGACGGCCGTCTCTCGCAGTGCGCTGCAGGTGTCATCGCCAACAATCCAGGCAGCACTCTCGACTCTGAAGCAGATGGTCAGTATGCAGATCCATCAGGCCCACTCCCCTGCCCGGGAGGTCCGCTTTCCCAATCAGAAGAGCCTCCTGGGGTCGGGTATTCGCGACCTGGCAATGCCGCCCGTGCAGGTCGTTCTGTCACTCCTCCGCCAATTCAAAGGTACCAATCAACCCCTGCAACCGTAGTATACACCCTCATCACTCATCTCTAGCACTAGAAAACCCTAGCATTTTGCAAGGAGTCTGTCCATTTCTCACATGCGAGCGACTCATTGAGAAATGTCGAGAGGTATATTTCGCCACCGAGGAGTTCTCTGATGCAGCTTTCATCGTCGTTCACGGAGGTCTTTATTACGTTATTGGCGACTGCATTCCCTCGATCGCGGACCCCAAGACGCGTAACGAGTACCAGCGATATCTGCGGCTCTGTCAAACCAATATCGAAACAGCCCTGGCCCATTTGAGTATTTGCATGCCGGCGAGACCGGAATATATTGAGGCCCTTGCGATAGGGGTAAGGCTTTTTTTTTCTATGCAGTCGTCTTCAATACCTGCTACACATACTGAAGCTGTGCTTCTAGGCTCTCTATGCGATCGAAATGTCAAAGCCGTCGTTTGCGCTGACACTGACTTCTACCGCATCTCGATTATGCCAGACGTTGGGGTATCATCGGATATCATCATCTGAACGCGACAGTGATACTATCAGAGGACGCCAATTGTTCTGGACTATTTACACTCTTGACAAGGGAATTTCTTTACGTCTTGGGCGGGCTTCAACCATACAAGACTACGACATCACTATGTTAGGGCCGAAGGACAGCATGGGGGTAGCGGAGCCCTGGAACAGCATTTATCAGATCTGGGTCAAATTCGCCACCATTCAAGGCCAGGTGTATGAGCGGCTGTACAGTCCCGCGGCTCTATTGCAGCCGGAGGGTGAGAGAGCCGATCACGCTCGTCGACTAGCTAATGATGTGAAAGAAAATATTGACAAAGTATTCGATGTGAGTATTATCAGAATGGGTCAACTGATGGGAAAACACTAACCGTCAACAGCGAATCATGGACACCCAAGAGTTATCTCATATGGAAAGGATTTATTACTCGTCGGATAAGATCGCCCGAAAGTCGGTCTTGACACTGATCTACAGGGCTATTCCTCCATCTCCAGATTCGCAGAGCACTTTCGTTAGTGAATGCATTGCCACAGCCCGAGAGGCAATAGAACTTTTGAAGGAGACCATGATTGAGGTCAAGGAGCTGACCGAAAATATCAAGGCATCTTATCTACACTGGTACGTCACATACCAGGATATCCATTTGCGCGCATAGTCTCTTACTTATCCCGTAGGACGATTCTTTACACCCCCTTCGTCCCTTTTGTGGTGCTGTTCTGCCACACAATAGCGACGTCTTCATGGGAGGACTTGAAACTTTTGGAAGAGTTTGTGCTTTGCGTTCAGCCAAATTGTTTTCTCTCAGAAGCCATTGCTAAGCTGTACCGACTGTGTCAGGTGCTTAGTAACGTCGCGAGGCTGTACATCGAGGCCAAAGCGCAAGCGCAAGCACGAGAAGATCAGAACCTCATGTCCGTGGGTCAGGAGTTCGATACGTATCTCAGCGCCCTAGGTCTTGCACCGGCATCGACGCAAGACGGCGGAGCCGACTGGACGTCGGCGCCCACAGCTGCCGGAGCGGCAGCCGTGCCGGGAGCTATAAGGTCTGGGAATGAAGGTCATTACGCAGAGGGCCCGCTGCCACAGAATCAGCTGGGGAACTGGTTCTCAGGAAATCAGCATATGATGGGGCTGTTGGAGGAGGATCTGTCTGTCTTCGACCCTTCATGGACCGGATGAACAAGTCTTAGTCTGAGTCTGACGGTGTTGATCTGAAAGACAGTGACTGACTCAGTATTGGGGCTGTCACCACATCATGATCACCGAGCACTTAGTACATGTCGAGATCAACTCCCCTCCAGCCAGATCCACAGCCACAGCACCGCCGTGGACATACACGCTTTAAATACACTTCCCTCCGTCAACAATCATCTCCGCACCATTGATGAAACTCGCCTCGTCACTGGCCAGATACAAGCACATGTTGGCCACGTCATCGACGTCCGTCAGCCGCCCCAATGGCACATTTCCGATGAATCTCTCGCGGTTTTCGGGAGTGTCCGGCATGCCTGTGAACATAGAGAACAAGCCCGTCCCCGACAGCAACGGTGAGACGGTGTTGACCCGGATATTGTGCGGGCCATACTCAGCCGCGAGACCTTTGGTCGCCTAGGATGATTGATCATTGTCAGCAAGCCGCAGGAATAGTAGCCTCACCCTCAGGACGAAAATGGCAGACAGTGTCGACATACATTCGAAACCGCTCCCTTGGACGCATTATACCACACCAACCCCGGCCGCGGCCTGGTCGCTCCCGTCGACGAGATATTAATCATCGACCCACCCCCGCCTTGCTTGAGGAGATGTTTCACAAACACCTGGCTCCCGAAAAAGATACTCTTCACATTCACCGTGAACACCCGCTCCCATTCATCCTCTGTAACTTCCACCGTCGGCTGCACACATTTTACCCAGTTAGCATGCTTCTCTCATCGACCCACAACTACCCAACTTCCACAACAGGACCCTCCGCCCTTCGACTCTCAACAACCCAATACCTAATACAAGTAAAAGAAAAAAAAATTGTACGGGATGGGCACCTTATTCCGATACGTCGTCCCCGCATTATTCACCAAAACATCCACGCGCCCGAACTTCTGCACCGTCACGCTCACCACCCGCTCCCAATCCTCCGCCTTGGTGACATCAACCTTCTCAAAATGCAGCGCCGCCGGCTCCGTCGCCGCCAGGGACTCACCGGCCGAGGCGTTGATATCGGCGATGACTACTTTCGCACCTTCCGCGCCGAAGCGAGTGGCGATTGCTGCGCCGAAGCCGGAACTTCCTCCTTTAGTGGTCATAAAATTCAGAAATTAAAATCAGACTTGTGATATTGTGTGGGATTTGAGGCTGGGGGACGAACCGGTGACGATAGCGACTTTGCCTTCTAGGCGTTTTGTTGGTGGCATTTCTGTTGAGGATTGAGAGTTTGAGAGATGCTGTGTGTGGTTGATGGTGGTAGTGGCAGTGATGGGGTACGTTGTAACTATCGTTCCCGGGGTATGTCACGGCTGATTGTATAGTCCACCCCTTCTCGTAGAGGTTGAAGTAGATTGAGGTAGGGGCTATGTGGGTATCTGTCTGTCTATGTCAGGAAAAGTCCAGCTAAGCAAGTTGCGAGAATAGATGGAGGATGATAAGGAAGGATAGATTCTGAGGGGTAGGGGATTGCCTGTAGGTCCGATCGTTGGTAGCAGGAAACCAGAGCGGAGCTGATCATCATCCTGGCTTGTTACCCCGCCTTGAGGTGGGACGGTGGATCCGGGGCTCGGTCCGGGGGGGAAAGGGGGGTTAGTAACTATAGGAGGTGGGGTAAGATGATCTTGGGAGACGGAGAGAAGTGCGACAGAGGGACTACTCGCGGTACTTGACCAGAGTTGCTGTCGTATACTCCGTAAGTCGTATCTGGATGTCAAGGTTGAGGGACAGATTGGTTATGGGTTTGAGTTTGGATCGTCCTGTGATCGGGTAGTTGTGTGTTGGGGATCCATCTATAGGTGACAATATCCGGAGAAGCCCATGTTCAGAATAAATCGCCTTGAGAAGAATCAGAAATATACGTAAATCTAGTAGCATCGAGGTGGCATGGTAACTAAATAGGATTGAGAATCGAAGTATATGGTAAATACAGTACACATAATATCTGCGATGAGAAGTGTAGAATGAAGGGATATATCAAAACATAAGATCAGCACGAGTAGTAAAATCTGACAGGTGAGAAATGGTATCCAAGTCAAATCAACCGTCAGTAAACTTGATCGCTCGCTCTTTCCTCAGCGTCGGCTCGTCCTCCTCCTTCGCACCTTCATACCTCTTCCTCGTCGCATCCAAGCACCGGATCATACTCTCGCAGAGCCGGTTGAGGACCCATTCTGGCTCCGTCTCACTCGCCAGCATGGGGCTTGTCTCGCCGATCCAGTCCCAGCTGAACACGCCGTATTCATCCTCTTGCAGCTCTAACCCCGAGGAAGACGAGTCCGTGGCCCGGATCAGCCGCGTGAACTCGACCCATTCCTCGTAGGTGTATTTCTTCTGCTCCCCGTTTAGAGCGTCGCGAGTAGTTCGTTGGATCGCCAGCGCGAGTCTCTGTGCTAACTGGATGCTCGAGGCTGGGCCAGCTGCGGTGTCCGGGTCGTTGGCGAGTTGGTCGACGGTCTGTTCTCCCGGCTCAACGCCGCGTGTTTGATGGCTGGTGCTCGGGGACAAAGCGCTGGACTTCTTGGCACCCTTCTCGATGTCCCTATCCAGCCCAATTGGAAAGCCTTCAGCGACGCGCTTGTGCTCCTCGCGTCGTTCCAGAGCGGCGTACAGCGGCGGAATCTTCTTCACGAACTTGGCGTAACGGCCGGATTGCGGGAGAACCGTCCAGTCGGCCGCAACGTCGGTCGCATGTTTGAAGCCTGCGACAATAGTGTCGCTCATCTCGGAGATAAGAGTTGTCATGGTGGGCACAGCAACCAGCGACCAGACAATGAAGAATGGCTTGGCGGCGTTGGTCGACGGGGTGATGTCTCCGTACCCGATCGTCAGAAGAGAGCAGAAGCCAAAGTAAAGCGCTTCGAAGTAGGTGAGATTCTCCATCTGCCAAAACGCCACCGCCCCGATGGTCCAGACGAAACCGAACATGATGACACTCAGAACAAGGTTGTACCATCGGCGAAAAAGAAGCGTCTCACGCTGAATAGCTCGCATGGCGTCGAATCGGTCTTTCTCTTCTTCCATAACAACCTGTTTCGGGCGACCGATCATGGCGAACGCGTCGATTGTGCTTCGGACTTGTCGGCCGGAGCGTCGTGGCTTGTACTCGAGCTGGGATGTTTCTTCAGGTTCGACGGTTACAGAACGGCTGATCGTGGCTTGTCGTTTGCGCTCGACGTGTTTGCGTATAACTTCCTTGTATTGAATGTCATGCGCAAATTGCAGAACGCTGTTGACCACGAGACCCAGTATGATCATGCCGATGACCGTATACGGAAAGACGAGACCCCGAGCCACGGGAGTTGTGGGAGTGATGTCGCCATATCCTAGCGTGAGGATAGTGACATCGGAGAAGTATAGGGCATCCGCGAAGGATATGTCAATAACATTGTTGAAAATTACAGCTCCGATTATGAGCCAGACTACGAAGGCGGTAGTCTGCAAGATGAGCGTGCGTTGGCCGTCTGTCAAGGCGAAGTACTGCGGATAATGTCCGAGAACATATCCCAGCATATTGACCAATAAAATCACGCCGAGGATAAAATAGAGGACCGCAGCGATCACTGCGCTCCAGTACGCCTGCGAATACGTCTCATTGGGAGGGACAGGAGGTGAATAGACATGCATCGCAGCTGTGATACCAATCAAGATGGAGGTTGAAAGGAACCATAGAATGATCGATACAGGCAACGCGATGATGTACCTCACTGTTCGGGTGAAATTGAACAAAAGGAACAGGTTCCCTGCCAAGCCGCATGCCAGGGACGTTGCATTCAAGGCTATGCACCTAGTCAGGTTAGTGCTACAGTACAAGCTTATGGTGCGGGGGATGGTAGATAATTTACCATCGTGGGTCTGCCAAGGGTTCTTGGATGGGTTGCCCGAATGAATCCGTCTGGGTCAGAACTGTCACTTTCCATGATGAAACTAGCGCCACTATTGACATGACATTGGCCAAAGGGGCAGTTGTGGCAGAGATGAGGGGAATAGCTGTTGATGCTATCCACCAATTTTGCGGTTCATCGTCGTCGGCTGGTCTCAGGTGGAATGGACTTCGAAGTCGCTCAGAGAGCGACTTATTTTGTTTGGCTTGGAGGCTCTTCGAGCTGCCCGTCATGATTGCTTTGTCTCACAGGGATGAATGGCCACAACCGCGTTCTGGCTCGGAGTGGCCCAAAAGAGTCCTTTCAATTCAGAATCGAGTTTTCATGGCGGAGTAATTGAAGATAAGATCAACTGAGTGTTTGATGGAAATAACCCTTCGTTCTCATGGTAATTACACAGATGCAGATCCCCAACGCCGCCGATAGAGCCAGGGAGGAAGACACAATAGGGATCTCATTGGTTGTGGAGAGGTGGAAGTGAGATCCTTGTTTTGACTTGGCAATGCGGGATTGATGACGGAAGGTGTCGCTCCCGTGACCCACCAGCCCTGACAGCTTGCCCCTACAAAATCGACCTTCTTTGGGACATGATTTCATGCTGTTGATCTATGTGTATACAGTAGTACAGAGTACGGAGTACAGAGTACTGTGCATACTTTGCTTAGCGTGGTCGTCATAGTACTGTTTCGTTTATAGTTCCCCTGTAACTTGTATGCGCGTGCACATTAACCACACTACAAGCTGATGCGGTGTCACGTAGTCAGACGAGGAAAGGGATGGCGAACGGAGGCTGAGAACTACAACTTTATGGTTCATATATTTCTTCTGCTGAAGTGGTATTATGCTAGCTCGGTCATAAATCGTTAACAGCCCAAAGCGAGACGATAGCATCATACGTCCTCCCCCATCATCTCCTCAGCATTTCGTCGGAAGACTCGATCTGCCAACCCGGGCACATCCTCGCACAGGCGCAGACATAATTCGGTGAACGGCTCGATGTTCATACCAGCAAATCGCGTATGCGGCCAGTCCGTCGCATAGATTACTCGGTGAGGAGCCACACGCAGAAACTCCCGTGCCATTGCTTCCAGGTCGCGGTAGCGTTCGTCCGTGCTGTGGCGGTAGGGGGCAGAGATCTTGACGTATGTCTTTCCACCCTGAAGGAGCGAGATTATAGAAGCAAATCCCGTCAGAGTATATGGGTCGAGTGAGTTTGCTCTTGTTGGATCGGGGCCTCCAAAGTGATCTATGCACACCTTCACTCCCAATTGCGGGACGATCTTCTCGAGCATAGGGACCATATCCAAGGGGATATAGAGTTGAATCGCCCATCTTAGCGATCGGATGAGCTGCGCATGCTGCAAAAGCGTCTCTTTCAAATCACGTTCCTCAAGCACCTTGCCCACAGATTTGAGATTCACCCGCACGCCCCTCACCCCTATTGAATGCCAGTGTGCGAGAGTTTGGGAGTCAATTGTCTCTGGGTCAATTACTACAACCGCACGTCCGCGCGAGGGTCCCACGTGTCTGAGTGCCTCCAAAAGACAGGAATTATCGGTTCCGTAGATAGACGGCTGGACTAGAACGATTTTCCCGATGCCCAGAGTAGACTCAAATGCGATGGCTTCTTCAATCGTATGCTTCGAGGGTTTGTACACTGCGTTAGGGGAAACGGGAAAGCGCTGTGGATCCACGACGTGCATATGCGTATCCCATGTCCCTGGAGGTAATCGATGCTTGATCGGGGTGGATTTTGTATTGATCTTGCGTACTTCGATGTGATAAAGGCTTCTCTTATCCTCTTTGAACGACGCGGTGCTGAGCAGGACCTGGGTCTTGCCAACGAGGCCGGCTCTGGGCTTGAAGTCTGTGAGTAATTTGCTCATAGTGGACGAGGCCATGGTACGCGAAACGAGAAGAAAGCGCTGTCAGGAGATTTAGGCAAAACTCCAGGCAACATGCTATGAGGTACGGACTGGGACGGTGAGACTCACAAAAGCCTTCTCGTGCAATCTTCCCACTACTCCCTTTATAAAGCACCCGTGCCGGGACATGATTCGACCTGAAAAGGGCTGAAAATGCTAGTCGGGAGGGAGATCCCCCCGTTCGGCGACAATAAATTGTGGATACGCAAGGGACTCCGGTAGACTTCGCATCGGCTTGCCGATTGTTTTACTGGACACGGGCCTAATTCGGCCTGGGTAACAGCAGCCAAGGGAAGGTGTTAAACCCAATTTATATCGAGATGAAGTGGGTGACCCACAAGAACGAGGCTGATCCCAATACTTCAATGATTGTGCAAACTCAAAGTGCTCAGGAGGTCGGACTTTGACCGCGCACTAGGGGGAAAACACGCATCGCATAGTCCCGAAGAAGGACCGTGACAGGTCTTTTCAGGATCAGTAAGTTAGACTGAGTTGTTTGCGAACGGTTCTTGAAACGTTGGAAGAAGTGGCTCCTGCTGGTGGATGCAGGCGGTGCGAGCCGCCGGATGGCATCTTCCCAACATTGTGGTATGTTGGCAGTAAACGAAGGGGGGACTAATTGTCCGATAGTGCCCGTCGTACTTCTTTGTGAAAACTGGAGAAGTGTCCATAAAGGTTTGCACAAGTCATGATGTGCTCAAGCGATCAGGAAACTTCCAAGTCAGTTGTTACTACAAGAGAGTTACGGTTACAGTCAGAAGCCAAGGCGGAAGTTGACCGAGCGGCGGAAAGTCACGCCCCCTGGGAGTGGATAATTTCTTCCCCTCCTCGATTTCCTCTCGGCTCCTCGTCCACTCTAATCTCGTCGCCTAAATTGTGGTGCTTCATAGCGTCGGCTGGCCAAGTTTTCCCCGGATTTATCCCTTGTTGATTAGTGTTGATTTCCTTGTTCTTATCATCTGGTCCTTAATTGAATTGTCCTGAGGCTTGGCCCCCTCTCCCCGCGTTGACGTCGTTTGGCGCCATCATGGGATGGGCGGCCATCGACTGGTCGCGATGGACGACTAATCCATTCTATGCCTCGGTCGTTCTTATCATCGCATGTGGAAGTATTCCCAAAGGTACCGTTTCCCATCGCTATCATTTGACCTCGAATTGTCCTTCGCTAACTTGTGAGGCGTGATGCTGCAGGCTACGACGAAGGTGGCTTCAGTGCCAGCACCAAGCTCGAGTCATTTCTAATCGACTACAATCTGGTACCGTCTCATTGGGAACACGACGCGGCTGGACTAGCCAATCGCAGAGCCAACATCACCTCCTTCAATGTGCTAGGTGCGGCGTTTGGTGCTTTGTTGTCCTTAGATCTGAATGATCGCATCGGCCGGTTGCCTGCGTGGCGTTTGGCCTGTCTAGTCTGGGCATCGGGCCTGTTCGTGCAGGTCTTCTCTTCGGGCATCTATGGATTATTGCTCTTTGCCAGAATATGGGGTGGCCTTGGGGCGGGCGCGTTGACAGTGGTTAGTCCATTGTATCTCTCGGAAATCGGTAGGTAGTCAACAAATGTGGCATTCCTGGACAATTCTGATTGGGCTTAGCTCCTGCAAAAACCAGAGGCTTGGTCGTGAGTACTTTCATGGTCATTCTTTTGCTGGTTCTTGCCATGGGTAAGGCTCTCATTCGCTTGATTTACATCCGGACTGTGATCTAATGCTTTCGACAGGGTTCTTTATCAATTATGGCGCTGCGACACACATGGCCGTCACCCGTACCCAGTATCGCTTGGTGCAGTCAATTCCTTTGGTACCTGTTGGGATCGCATATGTTGCCTCCTTTATTGTTCCAGAAACACCCCGCTATCTAATCTCTAAGCAGCGCTACGATGAAGGACGGGTCGTCTTGGCTCGCCTCCGGGGCAAGGACCTCGCTGATCCAGACGTGGAAGATGAATATAACGCTATCCAGGCTCAAGTGCGGGCAAAGGCGGCAGATCTGGGCTCTGTCACGCATTGGCAAGCCTTCAAAGAATCTCAGATTAACCCTAATTACCGCCAGCGGTTCTGGCTCTTGATGATCATACAAACAATTGCGCAATGGACGGGAGGTAACGGAATTACATACTACATTTCTACGATATTTCAATATGCTGGCGTTGTTGGAAATGCCAACTCTTTAATCTCTTCAGGCATATATGGAATCATCAAGCTTGTCTTTACAATGGCTTTCACATGGGGCCTGATAGACTATCTGGGTCGGCGCCGCTGCACCCTGGCTGGGTTAACACTACAGCTCTTGGCCCATATCTACATGGGCATTTACATGGGTCTTCGACCCGGTTCGAGCCATAATCAGTCGGCATCTAATGCCGCTATTGCCTCCGTTTTTGTTTATGCTGTTGGCTGGTCCATCGGTCTCTGCAGCGTTCCGTATCTCTATGGAGCCGAAATATTTCCCACTCGCATTCGCAACGTCAGTTATGCCCTGAGCATGGCGCTGCATTGGTTTTTCCAGTTCGCCGTGGTGCGGGTCACGCCGAATATGTTCGTCTCCTTGCATATATGGGGCGCCTACCTGTTCTGGTCCATTATCTGCTTTCTGGGGATTATCATCCTTGGTGTCTTAATGCCGGAGACCAAAGGCGTTCCCATGGAACGCATGGGCGACCTCTTCGCCTACCCGTGGTATTCACGCTGGCGTGCCAAACCGAAAGATGTCGCCTCAATGTCTTCTACCGTCACGCCTGATGCTAGCTATTATACTACTCTTCCATGTCAGCCTGACCATAAACATCCGGACTCAAGGACCGACATTGCGAGCCTTGATGAGAATGAGATGAATGCATTATTTGCCACTAATCAAACCTTTACTCTTACGTGCTCTAAATAGTTCCCGTCCGTGCATCCTGGTCAAGCAAGCGTTCTATAAGTCTCTTGGCTCTAACGAACAGGAGCTTCGTTGGTTGAGACTTCACGATCTCAGCCCCTCCTTTTGCGTGTCTATACACAATGAACTGCTTATGTCTCCATACTGCGTTGGGTTTGCACTTCTTTATCACAGATCTTGATTCGATGGTCTCTCTCTCAGCGTCATAACACTTGTTGTTTTCCTGACAAAATGTTCTGATGGAGAGATGCTTCTCAAGGTCTTGCAGAGAGTTTCTAATATACTTCATGAGTTTATCATATGCGAACATTGCCAAACAGAGACCGCGTTCTCTCTCCATAATCTGATTCCTTCGAGGTCAAGAGGAAATGGGTTAGTTCTTAGCGCACTACAGATTCTGGGGAGATAACCCTTAAGTTACCTCAAACCTTCCCTACTTCCCATACATCCGCTGCCTCCCAAACCACGGATAGCGCTGGCACAAACCGCGTATTTCAAAAAGCATATGACGTTATATGTTGCATCAAATGCCCGTCATTCAACAAAGTCCGATGTGGTGTAATGGCTAACATCGCTGTCTCTCACACAGCAGCTCGGGGTTCGATTCCCCGCATCGGAGTATTTCTTTTGCTTTTGTTTTTTCCTGACTTACTAGCCGAGATCTATGTATGTCTTTGTTCAATTGATTTTTGTTGGAAAGAGCGTGCGGAGAGGTGCCTGCCATATCGAGCGGAGGGTAGCTGCCCCCCGCGCGCCTTTTTCCCCGGGCTAACTATGTTATCTCAGTATGAACTTTCTTTTTCGATAGATAAGAAACGATATATCAAGATTCACAAAAGAAAACCACTGGAATGAGCTGCTGTGTGAGAGACAGCGCTGATGGGCTCACGGATCTTTATTCGGATACGTATAGCGTCATCGAGTACTCCCTCTGGCCTTGCAGCAGAGCATGGCAAGGAGGCCATGATCGATGTATCATTGGACTACAGGCGGCATCTGACGATCTTGAAAGGGATCATGTCCGGACGACTTTAGGAAGGAGGGTTAACCAATTAGGCGTTAATATTTCCCCACGTATACGACTGACTACAGTAAATTTAGTGCACAAAATACGCCCTACAATACAACATGCATGAAACGATTCCCTCGCTTGTAAGCTGCTGTCCTAGTCCGAGCTAACTATTCCTCCCTAACAGTTCTATGCCAATTAATCCCATTTATATATACATCACTGCCTGTTCCATCCGTAATCAACAGCTGGGGTCATGTTCGTCGTCATCGGCTCCGCGTACGAAAAAGCCTCGAAGACCTCGGGTGTAATCTCATAAGTACCGGGGTTATCGAGCGTCATCACGGCGTTGGGCATCCCGCCGAGCATGTGCGTGTTGGCCATCTGCGGCACGTTCGTTTGGGAGAGCTCAAAGTCGGCAACCGGTTGTTGGTAGGTGTACGGAGGAATGACTGGCGCCGCAGCTGCTGGAGCTGGGCCTGCAGGATGGGTGGGGTGGGCGGTCATAGGGTGGTCGGATTGTTGGGGCTGGTGTGCGGGAGATAGGCGGCTGGAGGTATTAGAAAGAGGTGCTGGGGCGGAGGAGCTGTGGGAAGTGTGAGGTCTGGAGTGAGGTCTGGAGTGAGGTCTGGAGTGAGGTCGGGATTGCGGTTGAGGGGCATGTGGAGGCATTTCGGGTTGTGGCTGCTGGTTCAGTGGCGGGAGAACAATGTGGATATCAATCTGAAGCTTCTGCAGCTCCTGGTAAATGAGGCTTAGCGCTGTGGTGATGACTGTACAGCGAGTTATTAGTTTTCGTAAAGAAACAGGTTGAATATGCTAAAGGCGAAGTGTAACATACCAGGACTTGAGCCCTTCACCCGCTCCAGTGCATATATGCAGAATTTCAGCTTATCGAGGGTGCCCTGAGCAGCATACTTCAGGGCCTGAATCTCCAGAAGATACACGGATGCTGCGGTGTAGACGCTATATGCAACAGAAAGGACCACATGCACATCGCCAAACGTGCGGCGATATAGGTCGTAGAGTGAAAGAATAGCCGTTGCGGACGTCATACATTGAAAAAGATGGCTTTTATCGTAGGACTGATTTGCCTTAGAGCAGAGAACCGGCCGATGCAGTAGAATGTTGATGGTGTGGTACAGGCAGCTGTGACAATGTCGTTAGTAACGGTCGAAGCGAGGTCATGCTCAAGGGACATACTTTAATGTTACAATGTGACTAGGAGGCGAATATGGTGGGAGATCCGTCGCCTGTAGCTTTAGGAAATGAGGCAGATCATCCCACCAGTCGGCCAGGTTCTTAGCCTGTTCCTGGATGCACTCGTAGAATTCTGCCTCCGCGACTTGCCGAATGGGGTCATAGATGTGGATAAGAATCTGGTTGAGGATCTCGGCCAAGCCACACATCTTCATGAAGCATGAAGTTGAATGGGCCTGAGTGGGCGGATAGTGGGTGCCGTCTGGAAACTCGACCCCGTGAGGTGTCCAGATCTCTACCTCGGCTGTATCATCCAAAATTGTTCTCGGAGGACTGACGCGGGATTGCTGCATGGTCGGGGATCGCCCAAAGTACAGACAAATAAGTTTATCCCAGAAATAACAGCTCCAAAAAAGCCGATTCCTGACTTCGATATCTTCGTCACTCAAGTGTGCGCTGTCCGAATACTTGCGACTGTCAATTGAAATGCCTAGATCGTCTAGCATTCGAAAAGCCATCCCACTGTATAGCCACGCCTGAGTTCGATTGCCCCGTCCACATTCCTGTGCGCTGAGGAGAAGCAGGGTCTGAATGGTGGGAATGCCGATTTGGCCTGCTCTTAATGAATCATAGAGACCTGTCACGGCACGATGTGAAAACTGCGCGCCGCCTTCGAAAGAGTCAAGAATCGGACCAATTTTCGGCTCTGCTTTGCACCATCGTACTGAGTGGGAAAGGACAGCGTTGAGCAGAGCTTCTGAAAAATATGGGCCGTTGATTTTCATATCACCTGTGATGTCGTCAGTTCATGCCTCGGCTATGCTGGAAATGAAGCAACAGACGGGTGAAGGTAGGTCTGTATACGAAGTTGAAAAGTGGTTGAATCCAGCACCAATGCGAGTCAAGGAGATATTGAAATGGCTCCTAAGAACAATCGACTATTAGTAGCTTTTCAGTTTCTCAGATCGAAATCAACCAGTCTTACAGGCATGATTGCCATCTGCTCATAAGCACGTTCACGCCAGGCATTATTTATAAGCCGTTCCTTGCGACCTTCTAAATGCATAGCCAGATGAGACGTTGAAGCAGCCTCGCTGACAACGCCGCTTGGAAGCTGGAAGAGGCTGGTAGGTCCGTGAAATGATATTCGTCCATCATGCTCGACCTTGAGACCCTCGAAGTCTCTCGTGAGGCTCTGGTCATCATCTTCCTCCTCTTTGATACGAGACCGTATGCGCGGACTTGCGCTGGATTCTCCTGTGGAAGCCGGAGAAGCTACTTTGGACCCCAGGGGCTCTGAGAATTGTTGACTGCGAAGCTTCGTAAGCGCGTCTTCGAGCTGCGCCACGCGCGTTTCTAGCTGCTTCGTATATGACAGGGTCGGAGCACTAAGATCCACGCATCAGTAAGAATCGACGGGTTAACTAACGGTACCTTGCGGAGTGAATGCGCTTGGGAGAGGGGAAGGCAGAGGAAATCTTTAGGGTCAGTGACAAGAATGAGGGGAACTCACAGACTATAGACGCAGACTTCCCCGCGTGCTGCACATCGTGAGCATGAAGGGCTAGCTCCATTACATTTCACCTAGCCAAAGCAAGTCAACCAACAGTCCTGCCAGCTAGGCGACGATAACCATCTACGCTTGGTTTGGGTGGGTGATTGAATTCAGTCTCGGAGGTCATCCGATGCTAAGAGGAACCCACCTTTCGCTTGCGACAAGCCTCACAGGAGAAGGCGCTTTTTCGGGGAGGGTTGGTCTTGGCTGGCACTTCGGCCATGTCCGACTGGTTGGATTCTACAACCATGGAGCGAAATACTCCTTGCAAACCATGAAAGAAGAATCGAGGAGCACAGCTATCGCCATGTGTAAGAGGGAGGGGAAAAAAATCGACGTTGGCGCGGTCGAGAAGCGGGGGTTAGAGTAAGAGGAAAGAGAAGGCGAGAGAGACTGGCATGAGTGGGGGGAGGGACGCGAAAGGGCGGGCAAGCGTGACAAGAACCAAGCCTTGGGCGAGGAGGTGCGGTCACTGCGGCGGGCGCACTTTATTTTCCAGAATTGGGTGGACCGTGGGGCGATTCAAAGATGGGTTGGTCTCAAAAGGGTGTTTCCTACACCAATTGCACCAACTGATGCCCCGTCAATCTAGTGAAATCGACCGGCATTTGTGACTGGGCTCGGATGGCAATCGTTCTTAAGTAGCCCCTGAATTTTCTCAAGTGTAGCTGAGGTGGTGGTGAATGTGCCACTTTTTCGGAAAGCGAGATCGTAGATTTGGAGACATCGGGATGAAATGAATGGGGGGGGAATCGGACCTGGATGACGATATGATTCTGTCTCGGGAAATTGAAACGACCCCAAAAGCTCACAGCCAATCAGCAGCCCGACACCGGAGCCAGCACGGCGGTGGCGGCCACCAGAATCAGGCAGACCTTCTCGGGGTCGGCGCCGAATTAAGCTTAAAAGCAGTCTGGATCACGTGCGATTCTTGCTGAGACCGCAAAGAGTTAGGGCGGCTTTACTCAGCGGGTCGATCATCCGGGCTAGACGTGAGGCTATCATATCGCATACCGGTAGTCTATACATATGATTACATGGGATATTCTCTCTATATACACTTGTTTCATCTACTCTCAAACAAACTGCCGCTCCAGATGCACCAGCAGCCCATGCACATCATCCACCGGCAAGGGGATCGCTCGAGGTTTCTGCAGCGCCTGCTCGCCGATGCATTGAGCCAGAACAGACTGCAGCTTCTCCGCGTTCCGGTCAGACTTGCTCTGTAGCTGACCAGTGATGTCGAGTGTAATGCGCGATGCTGCAGCATCCTTGGATCCTAGGATGAAGATGAGGTTGTACTTCATTTGCTTGGCCCGTTGGATCTTCTTGTTCAGGGTCTGGCTGCTGGTATCCACATCGATGAGGAAGGTCGAGTCAGTAAAGGGTAGAGGCTGAGGAGTGCCGCCCGTCTGATCCGACTGAAGGGCCTGGAAACCGGAAATCTTGGCAGCAGCCTCGTGCGCTTTTTGCACTACTGTCTCATCCTGGTTGACAGTGAGGATAATTCCCTGTCGTGGAGACAGCCAGAATGGCCAGCGGCCAGCATATTGTTCTATCAGCAGCGCCAAAAACCGCTCCAGCGAACCAAAGTTTGCCCGGTGGATCATCACCGGTATCGCCCGGCCGGGAGTCTCCGGGTCGTAGTCCGGCTCGCCTTCCGCTACCTGATATTCCAATCCAAACCGACGGGGTAAATTCATATCAAGCTGAATCGTGGAAAGCTGGTGGTACTTGCCAGCCTGATCCTGAAGCTGAATATCGATCTTAGGCCCATAAAAAGCACCATCGCCTTCGTTTAGAGCCCACTCACGACCGGTGTCGTTAAGCGCCTCGCGGAGCTGACTCTCCGCACTATCCCACATCTCCAGGCTCCCGATGAAGTCCTTCTCAGGCCTCGTAGAAAGTGCCAGCCGGTACGGCCCAAGTCCGAAGGTCGTCATGACCAGGTCGACAAAGCCGAGCGCCGATGCGATCTCTCCTTTGATCTGCTGCGGCCGGCAGAAAATATGCCCATCATCCTGGTGGAATCGGCGAACACGGGTGAGGCCAGTTAAAGCGCCCGAGATCTCGTTGCGATGAAGAGGACTGAAGTCGGCATAGCGGATGGGGAGTTCGCGGTACGAATGAGTTTGCGATTTGAACAGCAAGCAGTGACCTGGGCAGTTCATCGGTTTCAGGCCGTAGGATTCGTCCTCGCCAGGCTCACCCTCCGTGTCTCCCATAGCTCCGCGGCCGCGGACCTCGTACATGTCGTCTTTGTAATTCTGCCAATGACCCGATACTTCCCAGAGTGAACGCTTGTATATCGTCGGAGTCAGGACCTCGCGGAAGCCGTACTGGAGGTATTGTGTGCGGAGGAAGGTTATGAGTTTGTTGATGATATGAGTGCCATTAGGCAGGAAGAGCGGCGATCCAGGGCTGTAGATGGAAGTGGTGAAGAGGTCCTGGGCAGTTCCCAATGCGCGATAATCGGCCGAGGGCTGGGGCTGATCGGGCTTGTCGGACTTTGGGTCATTGCACGACGTACAGGGTCGCGACGAGGTGGATGAGAGCCATTGTATCCGTGGGGAGGGCCAGCGCACAAGGGATGACCTGTAGGGTAGTTTAGTTCGTAGCAGCGATGCGTGCCGTATCAGAGGGGTCAATTGTCGCATGACGGCAAGTTCAGTCTGGGGTTCGAAATGAGCGGGTTGAAGCTGGAGGATTTTCCTCGTCCATGACTCGACGCGATCGGCCCGATTTGGCATCGCGTTCCCGTGATTCTCCCCCACCATCCACCGCGTCTTGAAGACGATCAAATCTAGAGTTATTGTTGGCCAGAACTTGTTTGAATACTTTCTGCTACGGATTATGAGAGGGATCGAGTGCGATGCTTGCGGGCTCTTCTCCTTGGACGTCTTATCTCTCAGATAACCGGCTTTAGTAACACCGTCTGGAGGCGCCGCCCTCTGCTGGAGCAAGAGACTCGAGATAGCCCTTGTTGTCACTGCATTGACTGCAATTCTTCGGATTTTCGCTAACGCCTAATTGACATGAGGTCTCTACCATTGGTTCAATACCAAAGAACTATATGACTCGGCGAGTTATTGTCTCTGTGCTTAGATCATCATAGTAACACTTGTTGCGACTCCTTGCATGCCCCTCAGGGACACCACACGTTCCTGGGTCTACAGATCTGCTCCCCCTAGGCTTTGCTGCTCATACACCATTACCAATCATGTCTAAACATCAGAAGCTTCAGGATAGCTCTATCTTAGGAGAGTCATGGGTCGTCGCACCGTCGCCTCTTGTCAAAGAGCTTCCACTTGACAACAAAAACAATAATAATAACCAAACTCCCCATCAGACTCACACAACACCGCATCCAAAACAGAGCCACCATGACAGTCTGTCGGAATCCATCTCCACCTCGTGCTCTTCCATATCGGGACCCGAACTTATCATGCCATCGATATACGAAGCTCCAATCGCCGAAGGCTCCTGGATCGCACCAATTGCGTCTCCGCAGCGCGCGCTCCGACGCAGAAATCCGTCTTCTTCAACTGCACCGATCACAAACGCGGAGCAACAATCTTCGACCAAGGCGCGAAAAGGCGCAACCCCGACCCCTACAGTCGCACAGCATGGGGCTCTCAGCCGCCGGCCTCCCCCCATCCTTCCCAGTCGCGGGTTCATCCTACGTACGCTGCTGAACGTGCTTCTCCTTGTGGGTATCTGCCACCTGCTCATCCTGCCCGAACTCGTCCAGCAACACCAATCACTCTGCGCCATCCCAGTCCTCGCAACGCTCTACCCAGTCAGTTGCATCCCTGTGTACCTCCAGCGGCCCAACGGCAGCACCAGCCAAAGCAACGGCCCCTTCTCCCACCAATCCACTCTAGACCCCCTGCAAACCCTCCTCGACACCACCCTCCAAACCATGACCCCGCACAGCACGACGCTCAAACACACCGAATCCAAACTACGCGACATCCACCAGCTCCTCAAGAAACAGTACCCAGGGAGCAAGCACGAGCTGGACCTGGAATTCTCCGGCTGCCTGGAAGCCACTCGCACGGCCACCCGGCGCTTCGACTCGCTGCACGCGGACCTGCGATCGGCAGTAGACAGCCTAATCGCCGCACGGGGCAGTAGCGGCAACGACCGCGGCTCGGCGGCGGCGGCGACCACCAAACCCACCCACTTTCACACTTCACCGGACGCGCGTCTCTCCACCACGCAACTCACGCGCCGGGAACAATACGTCGATCAATTGACGTCGCGCATGCTGACCAAGGCGGACTCGCTGCTGGGAGATTTCGCCACCCTCGACGATCACTTGGATTCCATCGCCGATGTCCTCAAGCGGGAGACCAATCGACGGCCGCCGGCCCCTCAAGCAGTTAATGATGATCGGCGGCAGCAGGAGCAGCAACACCTACCCCATGGTCCAGGGTCCTCCCCGGCGGGGGGAATCAAAGGCATACTAGTCGGCGCGCTCTTCGGCACCGGGACTGGTGGTCCACGGTCGCCGCAACGATCACACCAAAATGACGAGCGAAGCAACGCCCACACCCAACCACTACCCATCCTCTTCCACGACGCCGCGACCCGCCATCAACCGGTTCTGGCTGTGATCCAGAAGCTGTCGGACGAGTTACAGCAACTCCAGAACAAGAGGGGAGGGACGATGACCTGACGTTCCATCACTTTTGATAGGGATAAAGTACGGGTATAAGAAGTAAGACACTCATACGTCATCCCACGATCCATAACTACCAGTCAACAGCTACAATACTTGATATCACGATCGACATGAACAAACGGAAGATAGGAAAACCCTGATGCATCTTTTCTTTCACTTTCTGTTTCTTTTCTTTTGTTTGTTTGTTTTTGCACGAAGTACACGCAATCACGATTACGGGGCATGGAATCCTTCGCAAAATGCATACTTTGTGAGTAATGCACACAGTACTGTTTGTAACTACCTTAGTTTCTCTAGTCTAGGCTGGCTACCTGTGAAGCCGCGTGTGTCTCCATCTTGACAGCAAGCTGTCTCAGGGATTCTCCATACTGACGCAGCTCGAGAGGTGTGGTCCAAAATCAAGTTCCTCCACGTCTTCCAGGTCTGCGAGTCAGTTGCTCCGTTTCTGTACTTGATCAAAACAACCCATGAGTACGGGTACGATAATTACTCCACTTGCAAGATATCCTACTCGTGGTAGAGCAGCCAGATCTCAATTCCATGAGAGAATAATAGTATTACCATTATCAACAAAAGGCTACCTACCTTTCTCGCTCAAAAGCAGACGCCAGCAAAAAAGACAATTCCGGATGAGTGGCTAAGAAAATAACTCTGCACGAGCAAAAGAGCGCATCGCCGAGAAATGTGTGCAAGAAATGAGGTTGGGGTCATCCCGTTCCTCTCCTCGTCACAAGTCCAAAGAAATAAACCAGACACAAAATTTCCTCAACTGTCTATTCTAGACTTCCGGTTCTCAATTGTCGGGGAAAAAATAATAGAACCAAAAGTAACAGAAACCAAACAGTGCAGCGCTTCCATGTCCCTGTCCTTTCCTCGATCTTGTTTCTCCAAGCAACCCAGCTCAAGTTATGTACAAACCGTACAAGTACAGGTTCGGGAATAAAAAGTGTAAAAAGGTTATGCAGCGAAGATGATTAAGCAAAAAGATAATGGGTGGGGGGAGGATGATGACTCATGACTATGCCGGGACGAAACGTAAAATCATTTCCATCGAGGAAAAGATCTTACAGGCACAGCATAGCACAGAAGACACCGAGAAGCATGGCACCGACCGAAGTGCTGACGGTGGAGGCGGCACCGGTGAAAAGACCGCTGGCGGAGGGGGAGGCGGCAGCCGCAGCGGAAGAGGAAGCAGCAGCGGCGGCGGCGGAAGAGGAGGCGGCAGCACCACCCACACCACCACCAATCACACCACTGGTGGCGGCAGCGGCAGGGGTGGAAGCAGCAGCGGCGGAGACGAGAGCGCCAACTCCAGCGCTGTTGCCGATGACACCACCGGTAGCGCTAGCACTGACGGAGGCACCAGTAGGAGATCCCGTGGAGGAACCAGCAGCACCCGAGGCAGAAGAAGCAGAAGAGGCAAGGGTGGAGGCAGTGGAAGATGAGGCAACAGCAGAGGAAGAAGAGCCGCCGGTGACTTCGCAACCGTCCTTGTTCACGACAATGCTGCTGTAGCTGCCGGTCTTATCACCGTAGGTGTAGCTGCAGCCCGGGTTGTTGTTGGTGATCGAAACAGACTTGACGTACATGGTGAAGGGAACCTTGCTGTAGTCGGTCTCACCTCCGGCCCATTCGATGGTGCCGGCAGCATTGTCGGAGTCACCACCAGCCCAAATACCAATTCTCAGGTTCATGGGCGTCTGGGGGAAGCGAGTGCCGCTAGAGGCGTCGTTGTAGGCCAGAGTGCGGACCAGGTTACCGTCGACGTACCACTTAAGAGCAGTCTCGGTCCAGTCGACGGTGTAAGTGTGCCAATTCTCCTGAGGCGAAGAGATTTCAACCCAGGTGGCGCGGTCATAGGTGGTAGTGTCACCCTTGCCGAAGTAGTTGGTCTCAACCTGGGTAGTGTCACCGCCCAGAGCTTCCTATATATGCAATTGCGGTTAGTCAGACATTCCATGCAAGTGAAAAGATCAATCGCGTGCGAGTAGGTATACATAGGTGGCAAGAGAGGGGCTGTGTGATGTAGTGTGCAAACTGGTGACAAGTATAGGGCCTGAAAGGGAAGCCTACCCAGTCGACCTCATCCAAGTCGTCCGACTCCAAGACAATGCTGCTAACGATACCAGTGCCGCTGGCAGCCTTCATGACAACCTCGGCTCTGCCGAAGAAGAAGTAGAAGTTGGTCTGGATGGTGGGGGCCTGGCCTCTTTGGTTGATGGTGAACGCAGCACCGTTCTCATCGAAGGTGACGTTGTTGGCAGTAGCAGTCCATCCAGCGAAGGAAGATTCGCCCTGGGTGAAGTCGGATGTGAAGGTGGAAGAGCTCAGAGCTGTATCAGCAGGGCAGGTCTCTGTTGCACAAGTTAGATGGGGCACATGGGGTACTTGAAAGCAACAAGCGAGGTCACATACTCTCCAGAGGGTTACAGTCGGTGTAGGTCTGCGCAGTGCACAGGGGAACCACTGCAGAGAGCGCAGCAGCAGCAGCATACTTGAAATACATGATGATAGCTGTTGTGATCGCTAAGATTGAGGTTAACGACTGTGAGTGAGGTACTGAAAAGCGAAAGTGGGAGATGAATCAGCAGGTGCAAAGACGCTGTTGCTTGCTGAGTGTAGAAACGAAGGTAAGTGTGAGGAGTTTGTAGAAGAGAGAAGTAACCGGGGGAAGGTGGGAGATCCAGATACTTAAGTAGTAGTGAAGTAAAGTGAAGTAAAGAAGAGTAAGACACACACTACTTGGGCGGTAATTATGATTTATGAAAAGTGAGTAGTAGTAGTAAGTGACAGAATGGACCCAGTGGCAGCAGATAACCAGACCCAATGCCAAGAAAGGAAAGGTGAGAGGGAAAAAGAATAAACTTCCGTTACTATGGGTTGGAGTGAATGATGGGATGCAACTAATAGAGCCAGTGGGTTCTTTCTTTTCCGACTTTTTTTGGGTATGTACACCGTCATAGATTGGCGAAAGGGGAAAAGATACTACTACTTCTCTTGACTCACGGTTTACGCTTATGTCCGAAATTATTATGGAGGGGGGGAAGACCCTGCCAGGTAGTAGTGAATGGGTGGGTTAAACCAACGGTACCAAGGATGATAAATGGGGGGTTCAGGAAAGGCACCACAACAGGTACATGGTGGTGTTTCCCCTGGCTCGTCTTCTATGAGGGAGAAGGAGAAACGAGGGCTACAGGGAAGGATGGAAGGATGCGAGCGAAAAGTCTGGGCAGGCACCATCGTAGAGGCAAATCGAAACTTGAGGTACCTTCTGCGTCACGGATCCGGAGCTGGTGGTCAGACAATCTTGATTGCAGGAGGCAGGAAAGCAGAGGAGAGGAGAGGAGAGGAAAGACAAGACAAAGACAATCAATTCATGTGGAGTCAGACAACTAACTGAAGACGGCCCCAGCACAACTGGAGACTGGCGTCAGTTCGTCAAGAGGCGTCAAAAAGGGTACTTGGGGCTTATCCACTTGCCCTTTTCGAGGGACTGGGGAAAGCTCCGGGCTGCGAACAGTGTGCATCGCGCGATACGAAGGTCCAACCAGGAATGAAAAGCTTGTGCCAGTGGTATGTGTCACCTTAGCTTGCAGTAGTCCAGAAGAATCTGCCAAAGTACGGAGGATTTGAGGAACTTCCAAAGGTCTCTCTCTCTCCCTCGTTCGAGCCCCTTGGATAGATGGATGAATTCCACGGGTTACAGTAGGTCTCCCTTGTTGTTCCTCTCCTCCTTCCATGGTAGGCCGAACACTCAACCTTGAACCAGCCCGGGTTTCCAAAGGGTACACGTCCTCGTGGTGTCATTCGCCCTATTTTCCAATCTCATTGATCTATTGCCTTAGTCGGTGAAATAAAGTGGACTGGTTTTTTTTTATGAGTTAGGCAACGATACTCACTATGACTTTTAGTGAACCGGAGCCGAAGGGGGCCAAGTCTTGAACCACACTCCCTTTTCGCCACGGTCGCTTTTCTAGTCGATATCACAGTATGCAACCCTCTCTACGCTCGGGAGATTAGGGTGAACTACGATAGCACATAACAGTCTGACCAACTGTTGGTGCCCTTGCTTGCGGATCGTGTCAGAGAACTGTCACAGCACTGTTCAGTGCGAAGCGATCGAGACCAATCGATAGAGGCGGGTGATAGCCGTGGATCGCCGCCCTTGAACTCATGGCTTCCCATTAGAACTGCAATACAACAGTGTGGCAATTTATTGCGACTGGTGGCTATATTAGAACACAACTGGTTCACCATGAGAGTCATCCAGAAAAGTACTGCGCTGTTTTTACAAAAAAGGGCTGGCTGGTGGGTGAACCAACTCGGCCCTAAGCGACGCGACCCTCAGCTGGGTAACTATTTTCGCAAGTCAGAAGACAACTAAATCAATAATGTCTCACTCGGATAATTTTTCTACGCTCTCGAGTCTTGACGGGCACAAGAGAACTGGACACGCTGATGTCGTATTGACGCGCGCGAAATCAAGGGAGAAAAGTAAAGGGACGCCTTTTTTTCTCAGCCTTCCACCATGTAATGGGGCTGCCCAATATCAGCTGGACCGCCATGACCATGTCTTAGATGAGCACTATCATGGATACCTCTGTCGTGCGCTGCATCCGGATAGTTGCTCCGAGGAAAGGGTAACCAGTCCACTTGATTAGCCCGTTGACGCATTGCGGGAGATTAGTGTAGCATGCAGTGCCATGCACAAACTACAAAGTCATTAAATCATCATCCTAACTGGCTGTTATCAGCCTCAACCTGAGACAAACAGGGGTCCGGTGTAATCTGCCCTTTTCCCCTGGCCCTGCCACTGAATACTTCCTAGTATCCCACCCTGTCAGTTTCTCCCGCCGCGGACGTTGGATTCCCGGCCCCTCCCTCCACGTGAATCCTGCAGAGTTGCAGGCAAACAAAGAGAGCAAGCAGAATTCGACCTCAAGCAGAATCGAACTCAGACCCTCGAGGCGTCGAGGCGGCTGGGCGCCTTGTTGTTGCCTCATAAACCTGGCGTGGCGGGCGGCTCAACCTTCGAGTCTCTGACATGTGACCCAAACAAAGGTTGGGGAAAGAGAGCACTGAATGCGGTCACGCTGCGGGATGCTGCGATCTTGTTGGGTGATTTGGGTTGATCGGGCGCCACGTTGGTCGCTGATCACCCGGTCCTCGTTTCCCCTCCTTTCCCCCCTCCTTTACCTTCAATCACCCCCCCCTTGTAGTCTTCAATCCTTCTTCTCCTTCATCCCTCCGGAGCCTTCACAATATCCCACATCCTATCCCACTCACAATAACACCGAGCAATAAGTGCTCTTGTCCGAATATGGTGCATAAACACACTAAGTCGACGGCTCGTCCTCGCTCCGCTGGCTCACCGTCTTCCCCACTCGATCGCGATATGGATCGGAAAGTCTATATCCCGCTCTGCTTCTGTCTGGTCTCCTTTGCTGTGATGGTCTACGTCAATTAATCCGGGGGGGCTGGGAAAGGCCGATATCCCTGCGGGGTATTATCTTCAACGACGGTTCTCCGGCACTTTAACACGTCCCGTCATCTCGTTCAAGCCTAATGCAGCACGGGAACGTCTATACCGCTCGACTTCACACGAGCTCGAACACAACCAACCACCTCCGCAGACTCCCATCGCGACAATTACCCCGGAGGAGAAGACTCAGGGTCAACCAGCATCATTCAACCTCCTTTCGCACTTCCGTATACATTCCCGCTACCAGCATTCAACCACTCGGCAGCGGCCGTTGGGAATGATATTTAACAGAGCATCCGTGATACCACAAAACATCAAAACATTGCCGTCGAAGCGTCTCCTCCATCAACAGGCTGGATAGGATTTGTCAGTTCCGGAACTTAGTAGGGAGACGGCAGGTTCCGTTCATGCAAGCTTCCTTGGTCTGGTTTCGACCTAGTGATGCACACACGGCTGCAAGTGGGATGTTTGCGCGATACCCCGCGATTCCGACAACTTGCAAGTCCGCACATCACGCTTACTACTGCTTACTACTGCAAGGTGACGTCTCGATATACGTATACCATCGGACGCCACTGTTGCTTGTCTATTTGTCTTTACTGTGTTTTTCTCTATTGATACCCTACTCGCATCCATGCGACTCTATCGTCCACATTTCCTATGTCTTGCATTTGTCTTACATATTTGAGATACTCAAGATAACTCGAGGACCCAATGACATAAACATTATCCTCCAGAGTAGTTCCAGCCTTATAGCCGGAAATCACGTTGAGTAAACCCAACAGTGGCAGCAAGGGAAGAGAAAAAAGAAAAGAAAGGAATAAACTGTTTCCCAACCAAGGCTCACCCGTCCGAGCCCAATATCGGGGTACACTGGCCGAAGAACCGTTGGGGAACGCTGTCGACCCATGAAAACATTCAAGGAAAAACAATGCTTTCCATTGCTACCCAACAACGCCCCGTCGGTAACGACAACATGATATAGAGTCCCATGACCAAGCCGGGCACTCAGCCCGCCTTCTAGTTGACCAACCTCCTCGTGCATTAAGCTAGTAACGGACCCGAATTCCGGCAGCATAACAGGGTGCAATCCGTCTCGATCTTCCTGCATGAGACTGGACCAACCCGGTCTGCCCATTGCTGTTCTAGTGACCTAGTCTAGCTAACTTGTAGCTGCTAGCCACTTTTTTTTTCTGTCCAGTAACGCTATCTGCTGCTATGTCTCCACTGTAGATAAGACCGCATGTCCCAAAAATAGGCGATATAGAGCCTAGTGGACTGGAAGTCACTCGGAATAATTGAGACAAGTTTTCCATGGCTTCGTATAGACTACGCTTTATTTACTATATATCGCGGTCTTCGATGATGTGAGGGTGGGCAGGATCTAAGGGGTGACAGTGAGGACTGACTACTATTGACGACGGTCTGTGAGTCGGGTGGCAGTGCTGCATGGTCTATACTTAGGAGTTTGGAAAACCGGTGGTCGGGATGGTTAGAGTGGGAGGCCGCCAGTTGCGTGATTGGTTTCTGAGGGTTATGCCTCGTTCCTGCTGCTGTGTGGGATACTATCGTGGGGTAAGTTGGTTCTAAAAGCGCAAGGCGCGTGTAGGAGTTGGATTGGGCTACCGTGGTTTGGGGAGTAGACAATGTGTCTTCTTGGTGATGTCGGTAATCGGCATTATGTACAGTATGATCATTTTCTATGCTAGTGGGTGGTGGTGCGCATACATGGTACCAAGTCAGTGGTCCGAGGGACAATTATATTGTCCGATTAAAGAAGAAAACCAGACTAAAAATGCAAGGACCTTACGCAAGCCAACTCCTGTCAAGGAGAGAAAAAAAAATGAAACATGAACGCAGGGAAGACTCAGGTGGCCAAGGTACAAAAAGGTCGTGCCCGGGATCGAACCGGGATTACAGGAATCAGAATCCTGGGTGCTAACCATTACACTACACAACCTGGTAGTTGTCTTGGGCTTAGAAAAATATTTCTACATCTTCCATTCACCTGGTGCACTGGCAAGTCTGCGACCTTCGGGATCATAGTTCGTTGTTTGCGAACCGAACTAACCCTCAGAGTCGATATGATATCATAATATACTCGGCATTGCTCGGATGTGGGGTGATGGCTCACATTAATCTCTCTGATGAGGCTGGAATGCAGCATTCCTACTCTCTTGGCTCGTTGTTGACGAAGAAGGACGGATGTGGATATATTTTCAGCGGGCTCGGCTGCGCATGTGTTTGCCGGGTGCGTCGTGGGTTGCCTTTTCTCGATCCATGGATACTACCTATCACAGCGGAACTGGGACGAGTCAGACTGGACATTACTGATGTCACCGAAGTGCAAAAAACGTGTCATGCTTGAATATTTCCAGATGGCATGACGCAGCTTGCTGTATGAACCGGGCAGCCATGGAATGCGGACCCGTGACAGGACCGGAATCGAGTAGATGCCGACATGAAAATATCGAAAGGGAAAGTAGTCATGCGCACCTACAGCAATATCATTCAATCCACCGGATATGCACTACTAACCCAGCAACAGCATTCATGAGACTCTTGCCAGACTAGACAGATACAGGCAGTCTACGGACAGGTGAAAGAAAACACACACCACAATCCATTTAACAAAGTCGTGCATGCTATACAGACATCACCAAACGCAGCTGCGCGAATAGACATGCTGGTCACCAGAAGCGCATTCCTGGCAAGGCACATCTTGAGATCGGTTCATATGACACTAAGTCCACCAGACCTGTCAGGCAGTCCAGCAGCATGGGTCATTTCCCCTTCTATCACGACATACGGACGACAAGCGCGAGCAGCCTCGACCCAGCCAGGGCACTGCCATCGTTGAACGCACTCAACCTATAACAATGACACGAACATTGCGCGGAGCCAGAAAAAGACCCCGCATCGAGTCCCGTAATGTAGCCTTTAGCCCCGCGGGCAATGAACTGGGATATTCAGAATCACCCAGCCAGCGAGCAGCTCTCGAGAGCAGCTCGGGACGGTGCACAACCGAGTCACGAAGCCACAAACGGGCTGGAGTATGCCTCGACAAGCAAGAAGCATGAAATTTGCCGCGATGATAAACGATGACCCCGGAGACTGGCATATCAGACCACATAGCAATATGCTGTAGCGCACAGGCACCGAGTCCCCCGTGCAGACGTTTGCATTCTCTAGACTCAACGGATATTGCACTGGATCTCTTAAAATGGGTGGTTAAGGGACTTGTAGCAGACACCTGCTGCCCTAATAGACCCCGGATAGGTCAGCCAGATGTCATCTTGACTACCGTGGAGTCAACGACTCTGTCTTCAAGTGCAAACAGACGATTTCAACGCGAATGCAGTATGCACACATCGAGTCCATTGTTTGCCTTATATTTACAAGTCTACAGCATTCCTTCAACAATCGGTTGTGTAGTGTAATGGTTAGCACCCAGGATTCTGATTCCTGTAATCCCGGTTCGATCCCGGGCACGACCTTTTTGCAACTTCCTCAGAGTTGAAAGAAGGAATGAAAGGCTCCGGGGCCCAATGAAAATGATCTTTTCCTTTCTGCCCTGAACCGAAGGAACCCCATTGGAAACCCTATCACAACTATCGTGCGGCGATCCAGACCCGGAGATCTTCCCGATATATACAGATGGGATTCTATAGACGAGATATTCCAAGTAAACATGCCGCATAGCCATTGACTCGAAGCCATCGTTGTTGTATATATATATGCCTCAATTTGCCAACCTATTCGCACAATTCATAATCCTCCAGAGCCCTCAATCTCTACCCACCAAACCGGGAAGCATTTCATCTCTCTATCTTCACAGAACCAGAAGGTGAAAAAGAAAAGCGCATCCTCAATCCTTGCTTGACCACCCATTCAACATCCCACCAAAAGACAAGCAAGTCAGACCACCAAAATGCATCCCAAATACAACCTCATCATCCTCGATTTTGACGGCACCATCTTCGACTCCCACGCCGCCATCGTCACCACCATGCTGCGCACCTTCCAGCACTTCCTTCCGGACCACCCGCTGCCCCCGACCGAGGAGCTCAACCACCTCATCGCGCAGGGCCAGAGTCCCGAAGTCACCTTCCGGGCCCTCCTGCAACATCACCCGGCTGCACTGGCGGCATTCGACGAGCTTGAATGGGTCCGCACCTTCCGCGCCCTCTACGCCATCCACGGCCAGCCCCTCACGCAGCCCTACCCTGGCGCCATGGACCTGGTCCGCACACTCACCCAGGCGCACAAGATCCCCGTCGCAATCGTCAGCAACAAGGGCTTTCCCGCTCTGCGGGCCGGACTGGAGACGCACGGGTTCTTTGCGCCGGACTTGATCCCGGAGGAGTTGGTGATCGGGGACGGGGTGTTTCCCGGTGGGAAGCGCAAGCCCGATCCCGCGGGGTTTGCGGAGGGATTGGTGCCGATGCTGCGGGGGTGGTTTGCGGCCCGGGGGGCTGAGACCCACCAGACCTGGTTGGATGCCCCGGAGGGGGTGGACATGCAGAAGGTGCTGATGGTCGGGGATACGATGACTGATATCCGGTTCGCCAGGAACATTGGGTGTCCGGTTGTTTGGTGCCGGTTTGGGCAGGGGATCCACGCCGAGTGCGAGGCGGCCGGGCCCGAGTTTGTGGTGGATGATCTTCGCGAGTTTGTGGCGAAGGTGCTCGGAGGAGATGATCAGAGGTAGGTAGGTAGTTGTAGGGGGTTTTCCTACCCTCCCTTGGATACGTACTCTGCATAGAAGTAAGATCCTGTAGAGGGGGCCTCTTTTCGATAACAAACCCTGCCAAATGAGGTAAGATTTTACACAACCATAGTTACTCTGTAATAGAGGTAAGATTTCACACAACAATCCCTTTCTTTCGTAGAGATATCTATCATATAACAAGTAATAACAGGGTGATACATCAATGACTATCCAAGAAATCAGCGCAATGCAACTCTCCGGACACGGATTCTACTTGTGAGGTGAGGTATATACAAGATGGGAGGGTAAAAACCCAGGAAACGGTATGAGTATAAAGCCTGGCATGGACGGAGAGATTGTAGTTGCTACGGAGGCCGGGAGCCTGGTGAGTTCCCTCCACATTAGGGAAGGGAATATGTATGGGGGCTGCGCACCGTTCAGGTTAGATGGTTTTGACGGTTATAGATTGTGTCTGTCATCTGGGTATTGGACGGGAAGCGCAGCATACTGTCTGACCGCCCCGAAGTGGATCGAGATGAGCCATGGCTGATGCTCTCTGACGCATTTTGTCTTGCGATTAGATGGTGTTGTATCTTCTGGTCTGGTGCTGTCACCTGGAGTTGAGGGCAGGTACGCTTTAGGTCATATATACGGGTTCCAGTTGCGTGTGAGCCGTGGATGGGTCTGCGTCATCGTCAGGGTAATGAAGTCATTGTCTCGAACACAAAAATGAAATGCCTTATATACTCGTTCTCGTTCGCATCTATGCTGTCCACATGGCAAACCCCATGGGGGAGCAAAAAGGTCGTGCCCGGGATCGAACCAGGATTACAGGAATCAGAATCCTGGGTGCTAACCATTACACTACACAACCTTGGTTGCTGATATGCATGTGTATATGCCTACATCAAGCCTTTCTGATTGCTGGTGCAGCTCAAGCCTGTTCTCATGCATCGTAGCAATCCTACTGAAACAACTGATCATACACGATCGAACGATTCACCAAAGTATCAGCATAATTTCCATTTATCTCGACATGCCGTGTTTGTGCTTGTACATTCATGGAGAATCTAGCTAACATATTACGTCTGTACATTCGTTATACATCAATGCCAAAAAGCCAGCATAAAACAACATCTGAAGTAACACATCCCATCGGTGCATGTGAGTGGATGACAGACCAAAGCCTTGCGTACACCAACGGCCAAAAGGTGAAAAGGAGGAGTGGTGTAGGCTCTGATAGAAGAGCTTCGGCTAGACGGCGCCAGCGCCAGCGGGTATCATCCCTCCGTGTCGACCAACAGTTCAAAAGTGACCAAGGTAAATAGACAGCCACGAAGCCTTGCATGATCTAATACATCAATGAAAAAGGTACAAGCCTTCAGCTTTGGTGATACATTGAGGACGGATCATCCAGCAAAGGGCTGCCTGGAACTGCATCGAGAGCGACAGCGTGAAGTGCGGGCTTGTCGACTTCGAGGAGAAGCCCCTTCTCACGACGCTCGAGTCTCTCCTTGACCCACTCTGCCACTTCAGGATCCTCGGTCGAAAGTGAACCCTCAGGCCCGGTACCACCGACCAAAGGTGTACCCGCCTCAGCCGCACCATCCGATTCACTCAGGGGTTGCATGAGCGAGGACAGCCAAGGGTGTCGGAGCAACATAGTGTATGAGGGGCGGTTGTTCGGATTCTTATCCAGACAAGCGCGGACAAAAGCATGCGCTTCTTCCGAGTATCCAGTTTCGGGGAGGGTGGGTGCATCTCCGTGCACGATCGCCTAAAAAGTGCATGTTAGTTGTGGGAAGTCAAATGCTCACTAAATTTCATCAATACTCACGTGTAATTGACTGAAGATGTTGTTGAATGTCTCTGGAGGGTAAGGGTAGCGGCCGATGGCACACTCGATGATAGAAAGACCCAAGCTCCACACATCACTCTGGACACTGTAGGTTCCACCTCCGCTAGCACCAGACTGTTGAACGCCACCGCCAGCAATGCGCTCGGGGGCCATGTAACTCTGGCATCCGATGTTGGTCTTGGCAATACTGGCCACGAGGTTTCCGCTGACACCAAAATCACAGATCTTGATCTGTCCGCGCGAATTGATAAGAATATTCGTAGGCTTTACATCGCGATGGATGATGTTATGGTCCTCCTTGAGTGTCCTCAGTCCCATGACCGTGGACAAAGCGACCTTCCGGAGAATGTTCTCCGGAATACCCTCCTTGTAGATTTTATCGATCGAACCACCGTCCATATATTCGACGCAAATATATACCGCTCCTTCCTGGAAGAAAGCGCCGTAGAAGTCGATAATGAAAGGCGAGACACACCGATGGAGAATATCCAGCTCCATGATGATTTGTGCGAACTTGCTCTCGTCCAGCTCTAGACGGATCTCTTTCATCGCCATGACAACCCCAGAGAGCGAATCTTGTGAGGTTCCCGCACCATTCTGCTCAGTCGGACGACTAACAATTCCTCGCAGCCCTAAGCCAGGCTTGCGCATGTGCGGCCGACTGTGTCGGACTTTATAAACAGTACCATAATTACCCTTACCAAGTTCATCCAGGCGATCCACTTCATCCAACGATATGCTGAAGCTGTGGCCTGACGAGAACTCAATTCCACCACCGTGAAGGATCGCTTTGTTCTTGAAGTTGAGCGTCCCTGCCTTCGTGTCGATGAATTCGGAATACTTGCTGAACGCCGTCTCCGGTTTTCCAGACTCACCATTAGACTGTCCGTCTGCCACGGGGCTGTTAGAACCAGTGGCATCGGAGAGCTTCAGGCCAGGCTTCATGCGTTTGGCTGCCAGACCACCGGGTTTCGGTGTGTTCAGAGTAGGCGAGCCATGAGGGACCGAGGGAGATGAAACCCAATTCTTGGTGCCCGGCCGGACCGCCCCAGGAGGCAGGCGGCCCGCAAAAGCACCACCTAGAGATCCATTCGTGACGGAAGGCGGAGATGAGACGGGGCTGGCAGTGGATGTGGATGGTGGAGAGGCTTTGGGCACAATATGCGTCGTGTTGGCATGCGTCAGACTCGGCGGTGCTCCTTGTCGAGATAAGGAGAAGGCTTTCATTTTAGCCAGAATGTCTTGATTCAGTCCTCCCGGTTGTGCGCCGCTCATCGAAGCCGGAGGGCGAGCAGAGGTGCCAACGCCCCGTCGAGCAGCATTGATTTGACCTAGGTGTGTAGAGGTTGGGTTGATTGTAGCTTTGTCCATGGTCGGTCGCAAGGATGGGACCGAAGCGTATGATTGCGTAGTGGCGAGAGACGGGGAGAGGTCGTCGTCCGTCGTGTCGGATCTGCTATCGATGTCTGACATGGTGGATTTTGAAGTTGAGATCTCAGCTAGAGGTTCTCGCTCAGTGTCCATCATGAGACTATCAATTTTCAGAAATCGTTTGCTTTGAGAGCCAAAGACGCGCGATTGGCGGGTTCAGCACCGGCCGCCAATACCGTGTAGAAATGCAGACTCGGGATAGTCGGGGGGAGTATCTTGGATCAAACCGAGGGGCGGGGGTTGAGGTCGGAATGATCGGAAAATAAGGTGTCTAGGGCAAGGCGACTGCGGCTGGTCTCGATCGGTCGAAGGGTGCAATGGCTTTTTTTCTTTGCAGGGGTTGTGCAGAAGCGAGCTACCGCAGCGGATCTGAAGGGAAGAAAACAAGGCAGGATTTCGTCGACGCGGGGCACACCTCAGGCCATTCCCGAGCACGACTCTATATCAGACAGGTAAGAGCAGACGGCAGGGAGAAGCCAGAACAACGAAGAGTGACAGTGGGGAGAACAAAAAGTAACAATCTTGAGAAAAGCGGGTGATTGCAGAAAAAGGAAGAATCTAAGAGAGGCAGGGAAAAGAAAGAAAATGGTGAAGTTGGAAAGGAATGGGAGAAGTCGAGCACGTTTGTTGGCTAGTGGTGGTGGTGGGGGGGAAAGAACTGAGGGGCGCTGGAGTCGAGAATCAAGGATAAGGCACAGACAGTGGAGAGGAAAGGAAGTAAGAGGGAAGCGAAAATTGAGGATTGTAGGATAGCGAGAGTAATCGAGAATCGAGAACTAAGGGGGAGGGGGTGGAGGAAAGTGAGAGAGGGAGAATAGAAAGAAAGGGAAGATGATGGAGGCAAAGCAGCAGCAAGAACTGGTCATGAGCTAATGAACCGTTAATATATTAGTCCCTCGTTCGCGCGCCGCCGCTGTCGTAGTGGATGGAAACTGGGACTATGAGAGGGGTCGGATATGATAGCAATAATTATAATAAAGCCACGCAACTATTAAAGGAAGCAGGCAGCCGCCCATGAAGTTTAAAAAAAAATTCTATGGAAAAGAAAAGCAATCAAACCAACCAAGCAATAAAGTCAACAAGCATGGATGGAAGCCAGCCAGCAAGTAAACGAGGATGAGAATAGTTGGGTCAGGACGGGAGGTGAATCTATGTTAGATAATGGCGTACTCTGTAACTAGTCAGTATGAATGTATGATTAATGAATACATTGATCCTCTGTGATCAATCATAATCTTTGTTAAGATTCAGACAAACGGGCAGGAAATGACCGAAATGACCAAATCGACATCGGTCACCACCTAATCATCTAAGATATCCAATATGTAAGTCGACAGCAAAACTGGATTCCCTCCCTGTTCATCTTGTGATAGAAAGCGCCTCAGGCTTCCCTTGTCCCGCCCGACCGCCAATTACACGTGCCCCTCAGGCACATTTCACTTTTAGCTGTTAATACTAGACTCAATCAGTTCAACAAAGTACATCATGATTGTCCATCCCTTCTCTGCTTTCTTCAATTCTCCATTTACTGTGTATGCTCATCGTACATAGTACATCTCGACTGACTTCAACACCTCCCATTTGATTGCCCCCTCCACCTTACCTCTCTCTCTCTCTCTCTCCATTCTCGCCTAATTCCCCCGCCACTCCCCACACCGAACTTTGGCCGCACACAGGTATCAGTGGTGCTCGATCGGGGGGATATTTCTGCCTGATTCTTGCCACTTGCCATCAATCGATGGATCACTGCCGTCGCTACGTCGGAAATAGATAGTCTGTGTGGTGATTTGCGATGACCTGATTCTTTCTACCTCAGGGACACCAAAGTAAAAGACCGCTCGGTGGAGCGGCGGATGCAAAGCCCTGCCTACCGGACGCGCTGCCGAGGCTCGAAGCCTGAAAAGAGTCGCTGTTGGCAATGGCAATGGAACCGCTCGTTTGTCAACCAGTGTAACCCGCCCCAGTGAACCAACCGAGCGAGGTTACGTTACGAAACGATGGCTGCCAACTTCCCTGCTTTGGGGGGCAGGAAAACCACTGAACGCGATGCCGTTGCTCCCCGCTGCTGTAATCACTGGGGACCAATGGAAAGAGCACGATAGAAAGGCTAGTTCCGAATCGTGATACCAGAGCGAGGAATGACATCCAACGGGGAGGGCCGACATCATCGGTGGGTGCTAAACACCCTATAAGGTCCTCGTCCCAACTACCGGGTCTGCGTCTGGGGCCGCGTGGTCCGTCCTTCTGTCAGAGACAAATTGAGTCCAAGTGGAACGCAGCTAGACAATGACTGTCTACTTGGACTGTCAGATATACGGAGTACTGAATAAGAGAGACTGCCACGGTCAATCCTCAAAACCTAAGTATAGCCTAAGTACGGAGTACTCGGCTTGCCTTACATAGTTGAGTAGTCACCAAAACAAAATTTCCCAGTCTTGGCCCTATCAGCCCGCCCTGTGGTTGTGGTCGGCCTGAGGATCAAACCATTCAATCCTGCACCCCCCCCCAGACCCTGTTCTACTGTGTATCTCCAGGATCCTGACGCCTCCCGGGTGGCATGCGCGGTGGCATATCCTGATCGACCAGGAGTTCAGTTCTGAATACGATGGGGCAGGTACACCGGGCAGTCGGCCATCCCTGCATCTTCACGGCAGCCCAATGGCAAAGGCTACCAGCATATCCCCAGCGGGTTTCACTGGGCCTGCCGGGAGGTTCCAAAACGGATCCTGATGGGGCTGCTAGGGTTGGTTTGGCGGCTGCCTATAGCAGCGCTTGTTATGACTATCGTTTGCAGTCGACACGGACATGGGGAGCAGGTCCGAAGTCGACTAATTACATCTTCTGACTTTTCTCCCACTATCCTTCATTCCGCGAGTGCATTCTACAGTGCGGTGGATAGCACTGAGGCAATATGTGTCAAAAGTACGGAATAAAGACCGGATTACCCTAACTACTCTAGACTACTGTAGAGTTGAAGCAGGTTCGTTTTAGTTATCGCCAACGGCTGATGCAGCAACTAGTGAGGTCGATCGTCGGGAGGGAGGATTTGGAGTAAGTCAACCTAGTAGGTAGGTAATGGAGAAGGAGGGCACAGCTAAATTACCTCCGTAAGAGTAGTTGATTGGAAAAGTGGAAACAAGACCACAGTGATCGACTCAGTATACATAGTAGAGTACTCGCTGAATACACACAATGGCAATCTCTTGGGCGCATTTTTGTTCTCACATGGAAGGCTGAGATCGGGTGATGGTGAGGTGCATTGAACTGCTTGTTATTGGTTGCTGATCATGACATAACCATGGTGGGAGGATTTCATCATCATGATCCTGTCTCTCCCCTTATCGTTCCCTTTTCCTTTCATTCTCCTTCCCCTCCTCCCCCCTCCCTTCTTTCACTTCCCTCGCATATCTGTATGTATCAACTACGTTATGTGTATCTGAAGATGGTGGGCGAGCCAGACCGATGATTGTCACTGCCTCGCCAAGCAACACATTTCATCGCCCTTACTGTTGCCTCAGCCCCGATGAGATGGCCGCCAAGTGGTGGCTATGACTTCATTCACCATGGTTCTGTATCACATTGCCAAGCAAACCTGTTGCTTTGGTGGGAGAACTTTAGCTGAGCATACCCTACGGTAGTTATTTTGATTGTCTGAACAATGGGATTGAATGGTACTTTGTATGTCGCACTTGCGATTGAGTTACTGTGTACTCCGTAGTTAGTCCGTATGCTTAGTGACTCGCAAGTTCTAGAGCTGAATACCAGCAGGCTGCCTTGGCATGGCTGGGCGCGATGGACGGGCCTCCCTTGACTCCGCCTATCGGAGTTCACCTTCGGCCCTGGCGCGATCCGAAACCAGCGATGCATCCATCCCCTTCGTTCAAGCCAAGAGCTCGTTCAACATTTATCTAAATCTGTTCCATGGCTGGGAGCATCGAAGCGACGCGGAAAATTTTAATAGTATCGTCGCTATATAGCTGGATTCTGAGGTACTGAGTGGGAGTACCTTGATTGAATCAGATAGATAGTTATCCTCACGGAGATCCATCCAGCATCAATTGACAGCAACTGCAGCCTGGGCGAGGCTCTAAACCCAAAGCAGCTCCAACCTTAATCTGCGTCTCATTCGTCCACCGCCTTCTCCGTTATCTCAAAGAATCTCATCATCGACCAGTCTGGTCCGCGTCATCGCCATCCTCATCCATTGGAACCAAACACCCTTCATCGTACTCCCACCCCCCAATCTCTTTCTATCCCCCTCAACGTCCAATTTCACGACTTGCACAAGCTCCTGTGACTTCCAGGCTTCATTCTCCGCGTTACACCCATACCAATTTCATCCTATCATCCCGCCCGTCGATGGCCATTTTTACCTCGCCCAGATCGCTACAGAATGCCGCCCACCCGTCTCTACCACCTCAATTCATGACCCAGGTCCAACCGGGATTGGGATCTGCCATTTTTCCCAGTGGCGCTCATTCGAATCACCCATCCTTCTTCCATCTCGTGCTTCTCGTCTTCGAGGCCGTCCTCGAAGTGGTCTGTGTCAGTCTTCCGGGATACTTTGCCGCTAAGCAGGGTTTGTTCGATGCCGATGCTCAGAAGCTGGTGGCAAATCTCAATGTCACACTGTTCACGCCGTGTCTGAGTATGTCCTAAACATAACACATCCTTTGAAGCGCTTCGGGTGTGCTGACGTGTTTTGCTCTTTAGTTTTCACGAAACTCGGATCTCAGCTTACAGCAGAGAAGCTGACCGACCTCGCCATCATCCCGGCCATCTTCATCGTTCAAACATTCGTCTCCTATTCGTGTGCTTTTGTTGTCTCACGATGTCTGCGACTGAAGAAAAGACCCTCCAACTTTGTGGCGGCTATGGCGGTCAGTATCAGCGCGATCTGAGCAAGATTAGACTCTGCATGCGGGCACGATATTGACAATTTTGATTGCTGCAGGTCTTCGGAAACTCCAACTCGCTCCCCATCTCCCTCGTGATGTCCCTCTCCCAAACGCTGCAGGGTCTACATTGGGATCGTATACCAAACGATAACGATGACGAAGTGGCGGCGCGTGGCATCCTGTACCTATTGATCTTCCAGCAGCTGGGCCAATTAGTTCGATGGAGCTGGGGTTACCATGTCTTGCTAGCTCCCAAAGAGCGATATTTGGAAGAAGGAGAAAGGGAGCAAGGCGCCAATCTTATCGGACAGGGTCAGGAACGATACACAGACAACCCGGAGCAGATCGATCCCGACGAACCGCTGGTGAGAACTCGCCACACGGACGACGCGGCGGAGTCCTCGAGAAGCGTTGATGAGAGTGATGAGTTCACCTCTGGGCAGGAGACACCTGTGAGCGCGCGGGAATATCCCTACACAAAACTATCGCCTCATGGTTCGGGTGAACAGGACCCCAATGACCCCACCGTCCTCGGCCCTCCCCCTCAGGGCCCGTTTCTCCCCCGCCAAAGCACCATCGGCGACATCATGTGTTTTCCCAATGTGGAGGTCGCAGCTCAAGCAGACGAAAATCCCACCGGAGTCTTCCCACGCTTTAAGAAGTCTGTCGGCAAGGTTCGTGGTCGGATCGCAGGCGTCTGGAATAAGGCAACCGGCGCAGTCTTCCGACGATTGCCTGTGGGTGCGCAGAAGGCGCTGAAAGTCGGCTCCAACGGTGCCCGCAAATTCGCTCACGGACTCTGGGACTTCATGAACCCACCCCTCTGGGCTATGCTCATTTCTATCGTCGTGGCGTCCGTGCCTTCGCTGCAAGCCCTGTTCTTCGATGAGGGAACCTTTGTTCGCAACTCGGTGACACGAGCCATCAGCCAGAACGGCCAAGTCGCTGTACCATTGATCTTGGTGGTGCTGGGTGCGAACCTTGAACGTAACACGTTGCCCAAGGAGGCTCTCGAAGATGTGGACCACCCGGCCGAGGAGAAGAAGCTGATCATCGCTTCCTTGGTGGCGCGCATGGCGCTGCCCACTCTCATCATGGCGCCCATCCTCGCACTGCTGGCTAAATACGTGCCAGTCAGCATCTTGGACGATCCGATCTTCATCATCGTCTGCTTCCTGCTCACGGGCGCTCCGTCAGCTCTGCAGCTGGCGCAGATCTGCCAGATCAATAATGTGTATGTCAGCGCTATGTCCAAGCTGTTATTCCAGAGTTATGTGGTGTGGTGAGTACAACTTCCTCTCGAGCGACCATTTAACCAACCGTCGACTAATATGATCGCAGGATACTACCTTCCACTCTCTTCCTTGTCATGTGTGCCCTGGAGGTCGTCGAGTGGTCTTCTGTTTGATCTCCCTCGTGTTGTTTTTTTTTTCTCTTTCGTGGCCTTCTTGACTTGGGAGGGATCATTGCATAGTCTCGGATTCCTGATATCATTACCGAAGGGGTTCTGCGGCGTTCCCTGGAGTCCGGGGTCAATTACTTGTTGATTTTCATTGTTTGATGTTCACATATTCCCCTCGAGTCTTGTCATTCTGTACTGGTATGTTCGGTAGCGTCAGTAACCATGCAAAGAGCACTGAGGGTAGGGCAGAAACCCGGATGCAACATACGGAGTATAACCCTCATGGTGAAGAAAGGGCTTGGTGCCAAAGTCAAAAGTCAATCGAACTTCCTCTACTGTAGGTCTCTTGGTAAGGAAGAGATCAGTTCCTGAATCCCCCACCGCAAAAGTCACGACTCGTGCTTCCTTCGGGGCAGTGCAAGCAAAGCTATGTGTATAAGTATTGCTAGCCTGACGAATCTGCATGCTGTGATTAATTCTCCTTACCCTTGGATCAGGTTGAAATCAAGATACCCTTCCCTATAGTTACCCATATCCATTAAGTCAGAACCCCCAAGAGGAAGAACGCCTTCCTCCCCTTCCCATCAACCTTAGGGGCCTAAGGGGTAGGTAATATGAAAGCTGAACTGATGGAGGGAAAGAAATAGCAAAAGCAAATATTCAGACAGGCAGGAGGTGAGTAAGTAAGTAAATGAGCACATACCCAGCCATCCACCCCCACACTGTTCGGGGCGGGACATGTCGCGTGCCCAATATACATACACGGTAGTGGTGGAAGTGTACCGTGCAGTACGCCGACGTCCAAGCGCGGCACAGTGCCCTGCCCTGCCCTTAACCTGCTCTCCTTGGTTCTATCCATGCAACCAGACCGATCGGGCTCTTCTCAGTATGAGGGATTTGGTGAGGGGAATGCGAGATGCCGTCATGGGTTGGGGGTAAGCACATTCTCCGGTGACTACTGTGTATGAGGGCCGGCAGGGTGGTTGTAGTGGTTGACTCACACAGTGCTTTCCCTTTGTGCTTGATACCACCTACTATTGTAGATACTCCAGCGAAGAGGAAGGGGACATTACTAACTAGTGAAGATGCCCCTCCTACAGTACATCCGCGGGAGAGAGGGCAACCCGCACGTACCCACACACTCCCGGCTTGGTGTTGTTCTCTTACCTGGTAAAAGGCTGTGTCAACACGCCAATGGCAGTCAACGGGGTTCTATTCGCTCTTCAAAAAACAAAGATCGTTCTTAGTTATAGTCAGTCTAGATGCATAGACGAACATTGAAACCTATCTTAAGGCGAGATAGGCAGGCAGGCAAAAAGGTCGTGCCCGGGATCGAACCGGGATTACAGGAATCAGAATCCTGGGTGCTAACCATTACACTACACAACCTTGGTAGTTGAATGGTTAATTCTTTTTATAAAATATAAGCCAATTTGGTAGCTAGGATTGTGAAATCTGGTGAAGATCAATGAGTCTTACAGATGTGACTGGGTACCTCGTAATACTGGGGAGTCTGTTCCTAGTTTTGCGGTTGCATCGTCTATATATCGGGTTGTAGTGGGCCTGCTGGGTTCGGAATGAGGCTTAGGGTCTTTGTAAATTTGGGCGATTGATCGCGATGGGATCAGGGTCTTGCAAGGCCAGCAGTGAGTGGAGAGGGAAACAGACTCGATGACAATCAACATATCGATGCTTTCAAATAGCTTCGAATGCTTAATCCCTGGTTAGAGTAAGAGAGAAAACCGTCCGACTCACAAAATAGACACGTTCGCTCGTCCTAGCCCTACCGGGGCAATCCAGGAGCAATGTCTTCAATGTAAGCATCGCCGAAATCCGCTCGAATCGCATTTGATTAAAAAACAACGAGATGCTCAGATTCTGGAGTGACTATAACATTCATAAGCCAGTGTCTAGCTCTTGCCCAGTCCAGCACTTGGCAGGTGTCCCAGACGATACTTAGCAGTGCGGTAGCCAGACGCGCATGAGCACTGCACCCAGTAAGAACAATGATGCCAGAAGTGACCACATTTGTCACAGCTACTCGTAGATGAGGTGGAATACTCAACTAGACTGCTCCGAGTGAGGGTTGTTTCGTCAAGCAGAAACCGAGCTTGCTGGTGTATCAATGGACCTGCGACCGGGGGCCTAGGAACGATCGCTCGAGCCCGCCTGGGCCTGGAACTCTGGGAAAAAGCTTAGTATAAGCGTGAGACATCTCTGAAACTAGGGCCAAGCTACGCTGTAGGTTCATATACTCACTGAATCTGCCATTTTCCTCGCGTTCCATCAACAGATGTAAAAACATGACATTGTGGGTCGCAGAGCTGCCGATTGGCACACGCACCGCCAGCGCACCCTCACTCAGTGGAAAGTATATGGACTTCATTTACGACTTATTGCGATCAAACCTGTTTTGACCACCCATGGAAAGAAGCATACATCACTCAGGGCTCAGCATGGACTCGACACGAAGGTCCTGTGTTCCACTGGGCCGATCGCCCGGCCCGTCCGTCACTCCACCTGAGCCGAAGTGGTGTGGAGCCATGATAGTGAAGGGTCGCCGATGGCCCGCTGCTCCCAGCTGGACACCCAGCAGTTAAATCAAGGCGTGATGTTGCCCAATCCCTGTCACGAGAGCAAGGTGCAATGGCTGCCCCTGTCACAAGCCACACCCCCACGGCGGTATATCGCATCACATCCACGACACCAGACAAGAGGATGATTGGAGCACCGCCTTCAAGGAGAACCGGCCAGTCTGCCACTACCACAACTCCCTCAAGTCAAGGTCACAGTAGGAGCCAATCGCGCAAAGAACATGCTCTGAAAGCGACAGGCAACAGCCCCCCCCAAGGACAGAAGGGTGAACGAGTCAAGTGGCGCTGCGAGCTTGTCTTGTGAAGCGACGATCGTACTTCATGGCGGTTAGTGACGAGACTAGTGTCCATGGCTGCGCCAATAGTGATAATAATGCCGGTTCATTGAGTTATGACATTATCAATCACGTCAACCTCGCGGGAAAGGCCATCTGCCGACCGGCGCACAGGAATCAAGGTCCATCGTATGATAGGTCTTTAGGGCCATGATAAGCCCAGCTTGGCTAAACTTGGCATCCGCACTCTGCAGATCATGGCATCAGACTCGTATCGACCGCTAAACTGTTGACTGTGGGATTCTGGAGAGGTTGCGGAAGAGTCCCTGCTGACAGGACCCTGGAACAGAATGACATCGCACATTGCCATTGATCAATAGCGAAGTGCTCTTTGGCCAAATTGCTTCATGGTACTGACAGGGCTTATCTATTCAGCATCGGTTGCGTTGACAGCTGCAGCTGATACCGCGTCATCGTGCAGATCCACTTATCCTGAATCAACTAGTCACCAACAGACCGGCCTCGGCTTGCCCCGCCACAATACACTGAGGGGAAGCAGTCAAGAGAAGGGAAGGGAGAGCCGGTTTTCATCGTCCAGCTGAGAAGAACGGAATAGCTCGATCGCATGACGTGCGAGGTGGAATCGAGGATCTGCTGTGGAGGGTGGGCTGAAGAAAGAATGGAAAGAGCTCGACGATAAATAAAAGCCGTCGGTAGACCCCCCTCACTCCCTCTGCCTTTTGCACCTGTTTCCCCCTTCTCCTTCTCCTCAACATTCAGCTAATCAATTCTTCTTTTCGATAACGCATACATTGACTGGATTCCACTGGACTGAACCAATTGGCCCATCATGGCTACCAAGATCCGTCTCATCCCCAACCTAAACTACAAGAGGTCTGGCACCAAGTCCTACGTGCACCTCATGCGCAAGTACCGCTTCAACCCGACCAAGGAGGGCCCCTACTTCTTCGCTCCCTCCCTCCACCAAGTCGGTCGGGTATACCACGATAAGCCGATCGGTGGCCGGGCGCACGTGCAGCAGACGCTCAAGAAGCGCCAGCTGGGCACCGAGCAGGTTGGTGAAGTCAGTGCCGAGGATGTGCAGAACGACTCCGAGTATCTGGCTCAAGTGAGCATTGGCACCCCGGCGCAGACCGTGAGTCTGGACTTCGATACAGGATCCGCGGACTTGTGGGTGAGTGAAGCATGACTATTCACCCCCCTGCTTCTTCATTCGTTTCCAGAGGGAGCATTATTGACGCAATTGTCATAGGTCTGGTCTACCAAGCTCCCTTCTGCCACCATCTCCGAGTACGGCAAGAGCCACAATGTTTTCGACCCGTCCAAGTCGAGCACCTTCAAAGAATTGGACGGCTACTCATGGCAGATCTCGTACGGCGATGGCTCGTCGGCGTCTGGCTCTGTCGGGACCGACAACGTGGATATCGGCGGCATCACCGTCAAGAACCAAGCTGTCGAGCTGGCCGAGAAGATGTCGACAGAGTTTGCCCAGGGCGCCGGCGACGGACTGCTTGGGTTGGCGTTCGGCAGCATCAACACTGTCCAGCCCAAGGCCGTCAAGACGCCCGTCGAGAACATGATTGCGCAGGACGACATCCCAGACTCCTCGGCCCTTTTCACAGCTAATCTGGGCTCCTGGAAGGACGCCGACGATGCTGATAAGGGCGAGTCCTTTTACACGTTCGGCTTCATCGACGATGCCACCGTGCAGTCCTCCGGACAGGAGATCTCGTACACCCCTATCGACAATAGCCAGGGCTTTTGGATGTTCAACTCTACTTCCGCCACGGTGAATGGAAAGACGATCACGCGCTCGGGTAACACCGCCATCGCTGACACCGGCACCACTCTGGCGCTGGTGGACGATGACACCTGCAAGGCCATTTACGATGCGATCCCTGGCGCATACTATGATAGTGAGACTCAAGGTTATATCTACCCGTCTGATACCACGGAGGAAAATTTGCCTGTTGTTTCGTTCGCTGTAGGCGACAAGCAGTTCGTCGTGCAGAAGGAGGATCTAGGTTTCGCCGAGGCCAAGACCGGTTACGTCTATGGCGGTATCCAAAGCCGTGGTGACATGACCTTTGACATCTTGGGAGACACTTTCTTGAAGAGTATCTATGCCGTAAGTCCTATCGCCGCCGCCAAATTCTGAGGTGGCAACCTATGAACTAATCGATCTCTCAGATTTTTGATGTCGGCAACCTTCGCTTCGGAGCTGTTCAGCGCGAGGAGCTGCAGCAGAACCTTTCCTTGCCCTCTGAGTCGTCTTGATTGACAGAGGGTAGGGGTTTTTCAATGAGTATGTATGAGACCAGCGTATGTATAATCAGAAGTTAAATCCAATGAGAATATTTTGCAAAGAATTTCCTTTCGTGGGATGAAATTGTTGAACGCATTAGCACAAATGCAGCTCTTGCTTCTTCCGTAGCCAGATCATCTTCCAGGTCACCCAGAAAGCAACACGTATAGCCGAATCTATCCGTCGATAAGCCCAGTCACCATGACCTGCACTTTCATATGACCCTCAATAGGGTACGGCGTTCCAAAATCGCGCGCCAGCTCAATAGTGCTTCGAGGCGTCTCATACAACTTTATTTCAAACTGACACGCGAGTGTTGCGATGATAAGGTAGAGCGCTGCAAAAGCCAGGCTGTTTGGAATTTAGCACCGTAACGAGAATTGAATTATGATTGAAACTCACTTCAAGCCCACGCACATGCGACTCCCCTTCGAGAAGTTTATAAGATAGCGAACCAAACAGTTTCCCGCCTGAGCGGCCCGGATCCAGCGTTCAGTCTCAAAGGCGTGCGGATCAGGGAAGATGTTGGGATTCATGAGGATGAAATAGTGCGTTTGAGCGACGGGAGTCTAAACGAGAATTCTGTCAGTAGGTGATGGCTTTGTCTGTGTTGTAATCTGCTTGACTTACTCCTGGGGGAATTATGTGGCCCTTGTATTGCAATGCTTCCGTGGGAGCGATCCGAGGCGAGAAGGTAGCGACCCCAGTGGAGAGGCGCAAGGTCTCATTGACCACTCCAGACTAGACACAAGTCAACGATAGATTTTTCTAGGTGGATGACATCCTACCGGGTACCGTGCTACTTACCATGTAAGGGAGTTGCTCCAGTTCGTTCCACATGGGACGAATCCGGCGTAAGCATTACCTGCTTGAGCTCTTCTCGCAGTCCCTTCATGGTCTCGGGTCTGTCGATCAGATGGTACAAAGCGACCGCAAGGGATTGCGCAGTGGTCTGCGTTCCTCCAATGGTCAGTGCGAAGCCTTCATTCATGAGTCGTTCGGGTGTCCTAAGATGCTCCGGCATCTTGGGTTCTGCGATGGCTTCGGTGAATGTTGTATGGCCTGATTTGGAGGATGAAAGGCTGGCTTTCAAGGCCGCCGCGCCACATTCATAAAGGTCCTTCTTCTGGCGAGCCAAGGCATACGCGGGGGCGCTTACTTTGCGCAGCAGGTCCAGTGGCAATGCGTTAATGAGTGTCTGCATGAAAGGGGAGGATAAGGTGAGGTGAGTCATCTGAAATAGTGCATTGATTCCATCTGCAGAGCATTGAAGCCTTCTTGATCCAGATTGCCCGGGTTGAACCCAAATGCATAAACATGAATCACGTAGCATCCAAATGGACTACCAGGTGTGTGTTGTAGGCGGTGCGTAGATGATGCACTAGCTTGTCAAGGCTCTCATGAATCAAGTACTCGATATCGACAATCGTTTGCTTCGAGAAGAATTGATTTGAGGGCGCACGGCGTGGGCGATGATCATCATCCGTGATGCTGGAGAACCCAAAGCCCTCGAGATCGAAGCGTGCGACGATGAGGAGATCCTTCTCACGCTTACGGGCTCTGGATGCGTAGATCTCTTCATAGTAATCTGGGTCTGTGATATGTATAGTTCTTGGGCTGATTCAACGATGGGGCCTGGGGCAGTCAGATGTGCCGCTGGTAAGAAAACCCTACTGGCAGCGAAGTCGCAAAACTGACTAGATACGTGATGCATTCTCTCCATATGAGAAGCCCTCCCTTGATCACATCGTAGTCGAACTCGTAGGCGTGTGTGATCGCGGCGAGCTTGGGACCAGGAATCTTGCGTGGAGGATGGAAGTATAGGCGGTATATACTTCTGCACGCAATATAAAGGGTGATGGCAAAATGAAGACTATCAAGGTCGCCATTATGCTCAGAAATGAGTGCCCAGTGACTTTTGTGAAGTCACAGATTAGAATAGGTCGAAACCAGGAAGGATGCTTGAGAAGCCGCAGAGATTTATATCAACGTGGAGTTGAGAATGCTCGATACGACTGCCCCCCCGCCCCTAAGAATGGCCGAGACTGCTGAGATCCATTAATCCGTGACCGCTGAGTGACTCAAGATCGGCTAGAAGCCACTTATCAAGCCGTCTTGTGAGGTGCTGCAGCACCGGGCTATGGCAGCCGATTAAACGCTGTGTCGATTGGACGCATGCTGAATTGCTAGAACCCCGCTTTCATTTGAGAGCGGCTCGATAGTTGAATAATTTCAGGCCGATGGCTGTGTCACGCTGAAAGTTGCCCGGAGGGTAAAGAGAACGCGGTCGGAGAGTCGAATGAAGATGCCTTGAACGCTAAGGAAGAACTTCGATAATCTTGCTTTTCAAACGTGGGTAAACTACACAAGAAAACCCTTGCTGCCGTGTATGAATTATTAGTATTATTGCTATCATTCATGCATTGATGAGCTGCATGGTAGACCCTGATTGAGTACAGAGTAAGTTAACTATTGGACAGTGACTAATGTGCCTCGGCTAAGTCAGTCCCAACGGTCAATCATGCCTAAGTAGTCTAAGACTTACAGTACTCTGCCGCCCGCTCGCTTGCTGCGCTGGGCCCGACACTAGTTATTTTTTAAAACCCGTATGGCCCATTGTCTAAAGAGCGGCTAGTAGCATGCTCGCACGCGGCGCGATAATACCTCTTGTAGCTACTTGCAAGGCAGCCGAACCATCATTGCATTCAGTAACGCCTCTCTGGTAATAGGTCTGCGGTGGTCGAGTTAGGGAACCCTAAACTTGTCGGGATGAGCAGCGCAAAAGCTCGATAAAGTATCCATAGCGCGTTAAATCAAGGTTCGCAAGTAAGGTTGCTCGGCTGTCAGAAGATAAGGTAGGGTGAACGGACACCTGGCACCTTGCCACACGAAGGTTCGTGCCGCTGGAGTAGTGGATCTAAATGTCGCATCGTGTTCAGCGAGTCGGTCATATTGTTTCATATGATTAGTGGTACTGCAGGAGTTCAAGCCTCGTGTGAACATCCAAAGCATCTTTTCAGTCGCATCAGTGTATCAATTTTTTCCAGAAGCCTGATAGACCGAGACTCTTCGATGATAGCTGGAGTCTGGTAAATACCCTCTTCGCTGTGCGACCTTTCAATAATTCCCACTGAGCCAGTCGAGAGAGTGCACTGGTCGTGTGTGTCTTGAGATGACGAGTTATGGAAGGCAAGACTGAACCAGAATGAATTGGGTGTTCGAGCGCGGAGCAGCGCTTTGAAGATGCAAGATAGTAAGGTTCCTGCGCAGTGACTTACTCTACTCCGGAGCTCAGTCCAGGCCCAAGCGGCAGAACCCCACGGCCTTCTGAAACCCCCGCCTTCCTTCCTGTTTGAGTAAGACAGAGGAATCTCAACTCCGGCGATTCACTCACTCACTTACTCACTCACCATGTCTCAACTTCTCCTTCTCAAGTCAGATGGCTCGCACAGCATGTGTTGTGCAAGCTTCTCAGAACTTCCATTAAGTCCCTACCTTGTGTTTTGTGTCCTTCGCATGACATATCTCAGGATGCCGTATGCTTTTTCTGCCCAACCGTCCGATTTTGAACCCCTGACCCCAATCAATCCTTGCACTACCTCATGGCACTGCAATTGAATGACTGAGGTCAGAGGGTGGTATCGGCTGATCAAAGACTGACCAAACACAAGTCGCTGACAGGGTTAAAGGGAGTATCAAAACGTCTGCTTTTCTTGTCCAAGGTGGCAAGTCCAATCGATGATGATGTCGCATCAGAGTATCGCATAGACGAAATCCATCCTAGACTGCCGCCTTTTACGAACGCGATCTATTGAGAGAAAAGGGCCGATGTTCAAAAGTACCAGGTGTTGGTAGGAAGCGGCCCAAGTACAGGAAAGACGACGGATGCGTGATGAGAAAGTACCGTTGTTAGCATCTCTCACTAATGATAAATCTAGACTATCACTCGAGATAATATGCAATGACAGAGGGCTCAGCAAGCCACAAGCCGCCTGTCAGATTGAATGCTAACTGCGGTGTTTGGCCGGAATCACTCGGTATCGTTCCATGGATCAACCTAGCGGTGAATGCGAGATCTGCTCGGCCAGGATACGTGATTACGCTGCGAAGCATGTTCTCTGTTAAGAACCCCGCCTCGGTGTACCTAGAAGCACCCGCGAAAAGATGAATTCAAGGGTATGCCCGGCCTTATTACGTGAGGGTCAAATGCATAAATGAATAGAAGCACTCCTTGCTGCAGCTCGAGCTGTTTTGGGAAACAAATCCAACAGCATTGGAAAATTATTCGAACATGATCAGCCCAAACTGCCATATTTTTGACTCCCCCGGCCTTGCCTTTGGAATGCGTCGCCGGTAGAAAATATTTGTTAGTTCTGATTGGCCCGTCTGGGGATGTCCAATCCGCCTACCAAGCGCCTGTGCAACTTAATCCTGAGCATTCCGGTGGACGGGAAGGCAAATTCTATCAATGGGTTAATTTTCTTTGAACACGACCGCTTCGTTGTGAAATAAGATCTAGCGAGGAAGAAGCGTTGTCGGTGTGATTGCTTAAACTTCTCCCTACTATTGTCTAGGCAAGGGCGAGTGCGAAATAATGAGATATAAGCGTACAGCTGTCCCTCCGATGAGGGATGCTCAGTACTTCCTGTCCATCTTCAATTTTCGATCTTGATACTGCTAGGTACCTCAAGTCTGAGATGAGTCAAGAATTAGAGAAAGCTCCCCATGGGAACTATTTGTCGGCAGACACCACGATGGAAGAGTTATCAATCGACGGAGATGATGATGATGCAGTCCTTCGAGCAAATGGCCATGAGGCAGTTATGCCCCGGCAGTTCAATTGGATCTCTGCTCTGGGACTGGGGTTCTCTATCACCAACTCATGGATCGGTTATCTTGTACGCACACTCGAGTAGACCCGATGGTCCTTATACTGATACTCGACTCTGCTGGACTAGAGCAATTTTGGACAGAATTTGAGCTATGTCGGTGTGCTAGGCTGTATAGTCTGCCTCGTGATCGGGTGGGCGATTCAGCTGGTCATCACAATGGGACTTGCTGAACTGGCCTCGGCCTTCCCGGTAAGAAATGACCCAAGATTTCCCTTTGAGCAATCATTAACCCCTGAACTAGTCTAGTGGAGGTCAATACCACTTCTGTTACATACTCAGCAGTAAGAAGACCAGAAGGTATAATGCCTATATTGTGGGCTGGCTCTCGGTTCTAGCCTGGTGGATGGCGACGTATGATGTTCCACTGATCAACCCTGTGAGCTGTACTGACACCCCTTTAGTTGCTCCGGTATCTCGCTTGGCGCAATCTTTCTCCAGGGAATTGTGGCATTCTATGTCCCAAGCTATGAGTCGAAGCAGTGGCATACGTACTTGATTTTCCTTGCGATTGCGGCTTCGACCAGTATGTCTGGCGCCCCTTCTCAGGACGTGTAGTGCTAAAAGTTCAACAGTGATCCCGATGTTTGTAGCACCGACAAGGATGTCGTGGGTGACGCAGTTGACGCTCTCTCTAACCTTGTCTGGGTACCTTGTTTATCTCATTACCGCCCTAGCAATGCACGACCACGTTCAGGGTAAATCGTTTGCAGTGGCAACCAATCAGGCAAACAGCGGCTGGAACAGTGGCGCAGCCTGGTTGCTTGCTATTAGCAATGCAATGTATGCATTTGCTTCCGCGGATGGCGGTAAGAACAGCCATTCGCAACGGTTTAGTGATGAATCCTGTTGACTTTGACAGCAATACACATTTCTGAGGAGATACCACGACCGGGGCGACGTGTTCCTCAAATCATGATCATGACAGAGGTCATTGGTATTGTGACCAGCCTTACCATGATTGTGGTACTTTTGTACTTTGCCCATGATTATGAAGCCATTCGAGAGTCCACTCTGCCTAGTCTTGAGTTGATATATCAAGTGTCAGTTTGCTGTCATCTCAATTTAGCGGGCGTTCTGACCATTGCAGGACTGGAAGTCGAGACGCTACCCTCGGTCTGCTTATTTTGCTCTGGGCAATTTATGTTTGTATGACAGGCCACCGACATCCTCTTGCCTTGCTTGACTGAACACTAATTCTGAGAAGCATGTCTTCCACCTCAATGGGTGACCTCTGGTCGGATTGCCTGGGCACTAGCCCGTGATGTAAGTTCATGCAGTATGATTCCGAGCATTTCCAGAATACTGAGCATCTTGATAGGGAGGCACGCCTTTTCCCGAGTATTTCTCTAAAATCAGCCCGAAGCTAGACTTCCCTGTGCGCACCACGCTTGCATCCTTTGGCTTTTGCTCCATCTACGGCCTCCTCTACCTCGCATCCACTACAGCATTCAACTCTATCATCAACGCCGCCGTCCTCTTTCTCAACTTAACCTACATCATTCCCCAGGGTCTGCTTCTCCTGCGTGGCCGGTCATATCTTCCACAGCGGTATTTCAGCCTCTCATGGGTCGGTCTTGTCTGCAATATCTTCTCGGTGATCTGGGTATTCTTCCAGATCGCCTTGAACTGCATGCCACCACATCTGCCTGTCACGTTGGACTCCATGAACTATAATTCGGTGGTTTTGACTGGCATCCTTGTCATTGTCAATGCACTTTGGTTTGTCTCTGGTAGGCATACCTTCCAAGGCCCTCAGTTGACGCGCATGCACTGCATCTGGGCGGACTTTGAGCGGGGTTTAGGGGCGGACTGATCACGTCTCCGAAACCAGCCTTACGGCTGCGCATGGCGCGCATCCGAGCCAGCCTTTGTGGTTTTGACTCATGCTACTACCTACGCTAGCTACCCAAGTGGACATTACATATAGACTCAACATCCTTTGTGATTAACACCAGCCGTGGCTTGTATATTCCTCTTTCCCAAGCATTCATCAATGCGGGATTTAAGGCTGAGGGTCTAGAACAGACTGCGATCGCGACGGGAAGGAATGCCCGAACGCGGGTGTGTCTGCGCCTATCCATGTCACGAATAACCGTCTGGAAGCCTCGTTGGATACTCAGCCACGCAAAACTTTGTAGTTACATACCCCTTGACCTTGACTGCCTCATATGTGATGAGATGTGAATTGGCGTATCCCGTGGAGGTCGCTCTCTATCTATAGCAACTATAGAGTCCGTATTGAGTTAATGATGCCGATATACGTAATCTCGCCTAGTGCCAGACCCCTTAACGGATTGGGTAAAAGGTGATTTAGTCACGGGTGGCTCTCTCCACCGCTTCTCATCCGAGGCTTGTCGGTCGTTCGCCACGGCGAGTTCCCGGAGCCAGAGCAATGGCAGCTTATCATCACCCGAGTTCAGAAGTAGAGAAGATTGACCATTAGATGAAGGGAACGGGGCTGGTTCATTGCCTAGATCTCCCTCAACCCAACTACTGCGACTTGTGCCACTGCATGGTATTTCACCCCCCACTTTGGAAGCCTCTCGGCATATGCGATACTTTCCTCGAGCAGCCAATCCACACGCTGCTCTTGTGTAAATAAAAGGTCAATGGATGGTTAGCTCTGGTGCTAATCAGTTGCTAGGCTGAGAACCCTGTCAGTCATGACTCGGGGTTCGGCGGTATGGAGGACGGCCTGGCTGGATTGAGCCATCCCGTCTACCTGGATGTTTGCCTCAGATGAGGGGATGGAGGTTTGAGATACCCCATGTGTGAAAGGATAAAGCGCTTATTGCTCATAGGTAGGTTTTGAGTGATTTGTGTGATGGGATGTCGGTGGCCCCGTCTCCCCTGTCACGTCACCCGTTCAATCCTCTGACGACGCCCTTCCCAGGTGGCTGATTACGTATGAGCCAGTCTGATTTTCAACATGACTGTCTAGCGTCGACATCCACTGAGTTCAAAAGTCAGTACACATGATCAATGGCTCAGTCGAGCAGCGACCCCCTTTTTGTTTCATCATGCTCGCTTCAGGACGCTCGAACCTCTGAACAACACCATCGAGTCTCTTTACGCTCTTGTGCTCCTTTGGACACCATAGCCCGAATTAATCGGGGTTACTCCTGCGCAGGAAGCACACAATTCAATCGTGACGAGAGACAATTACAAATGTACTGTTGCCTACGTCAGTGAGACGATAGAGTATCGGACTATGCGTTCTTCTCTTGTTTCCGCGTGGTCGATGTATGAAAGCAATATGATACCTGCAAAGAAACAGGAGAAGGCATGACCCTTCAGCACTGATTCATGAGCTTGGAACCATCAGCCCATAGATGTTTGGCCTCTAACAGACTCAGACAGCAGAACTCAAGAGCTTCAAACTTACACCCCAGCGCTAATTGGCCCTGATCGACTGTAACTTTGCGGCTTATGTTTTGTGGACCGTCATGACCTTTCATCGACAGATCTTCTCCATATCCAAGTCCCTAAATTATGGTACCATGTATTCACCTTCGGCCACTTTCATAGTAGCTTCACAAAAGCGAACAGCAACATAGCAGACACTGCCTCAAATCTGGAACCAGGCGATTGCTGTGATAAGGAATGGGACCAAGAAGCCAAATCGCGATCGTTCTACATCCCTGGCCTAGGTTGTAAGACGCCACAACTCGGAATTGTCTTCTTTCATATCTACTTTATTTTGCAATGGTTGTTTTGAGGCTAGGCGAGTTCAAGCCTCGCTCTTCGAGTAGCCGATCTCTCTCCGTTGTCACGACGCGCCCGGAAGGAATGGTTGCCGTGGGCAGAACAATTTGCACACGGGTTCGCTCAAGTTGGGATACTTGTAGCTTATCTTTCAATGGGGCAACAATCTTAATCCAGGTAACCAAGGACTCTGAAGTCATCGAATCTGTTCTAGGCTCACTCCCATTAATGGTTCTAGGTACTGAGAAGCACACGGCAGTGTGAAGGAACCATTTACGTGTTCAGTAGAAGGAGTTGTCTATATGCATTCACTTCTTCCTCGAAAGTTCAGAGGTTCTGTTCAGTGCACTTTTTGAAAGCAAGTGCACATCGGGGCCTGGAGCAATTCCTCAGTTTGCTCGAACGGCTGACCCCCGTTTTCCTCGAGAATACTGGGGTGGTTGGTGCCATATAGAATGCGGCTATTTACCTGATCAATGAACGGTGGCCCTTGGTCAACATACCTTGGCCGATCTTGCATCTAGTACCGAGTGACTCTCTCCATGCTTGGAAAATCGAATTCACGAGATGACGACTATTGTATGTACACAGTCTGATCATCACCGAGGATGATTTATCATTCGACAACCCCTTCCATATTGGCCGCAACTCCGCGTTTCGTGTATGCTCAGGCGTCTCAATCAGCCCAGCAGCTGTCACATTGAGCAAGAGGCAGTATTGTTCCGCTCGAAGCCCAAAGATCGCCCTGAGCTCTGAAAAATCACGATTGCTTTTTCTGAAACCGATGCCAATTGAGCAACCAAATGACCGGGGTAAATCCAAGACGATAATGCTATGTATATAACCAGTATCGCAGGCACTGGGAGTTACTATGGAGTTTTGATTAGAGCTTCAGAGCTAGCCGGAGACCGGTGAATCGCGGTCCCAAGAGAGGCCATATCTTGACCATCAACCTTGATCAATAGTGCGATTGAAGACAAGGGTCACTATTCGAGTTTCTTTCACCCTCACAACGGCGGGCTGCCCTGTTCTTCCCGTGATTTGCTCAGTGTCAGCCGACTTGCGGACGATATCACTCAATGGGCTGGAGTTCCTCACTTGAGAAGATCCTCTTAACTGATCTTCCTTGTTATCGAGGACACTTTGAGGCGAGTAGATCGACACGAGCTTCCAACACATTCTCCTGTGCTAATCAAATGCCTCTTGAGTGGAGTGGGAGAGGGACTAACTCACCGAGAGCGAACATATCCCAGACTACTGAATAATACAACCCATATCTCTCAAACGTAGACCATAGACTCTAATGGTGAGAGCCAGTTCTTTCTCTAAACTCCGTCTTCTAGTAGCGAGAAGTCCGGAACCTAAGAACAGCCCTGTGAAAAGGGAATACATATTGTCTCCGACTGGCCAATATCAAGCATCTCATCAGCATTCATTTTGGCCTCGAAGGAGACTAAAATCTCAATACCATCATGGGTTCGTCTCGCTTCCGTCAGTTTTGGGCTGCTATTACTATAGCTTCCGCCTTTCTCACTGACCAGGTCGGTTGTCGTTCGTATGGGCCACCTCGGTGTCCACCTAGTACCAGCTGGTTCCTACCTACTCAATAGATTTTCTTCTGTACCTGTACTTAACGAGCTTCGCGAGCGAAGGAAGAGACATCTGAAAGCAGACTCCAGGGTCTCTCCGCCACATCAGAAACCTCGTCCAGTGACAGACGAAACCTTGTTCCCTAGCGGAGTGAAGTGGAGGATCTCTCTAAATCCTCCGCTAGTTTAGATCAGGTGTATTCCCTAGGTATTCGAATTAGGTTTTGTCTTTTTCGGTTGAGAACTACAAACTATGTACTGTATATGCTTTCCGTTTCGTGTCAGTTGGTTGCAGTCTTCATCGATCCGTAACATCCTTCTCTCTTTTTGGGGGGGTGGGTTGGGAAATATAGGCCAAGCACGTTCTTATCCGTATGACAGCAACATACATAATACTCGGTCGCTAAGACTAAAGCCCCAAGCCCGAGCCCCCCGTCCTCGCCCCTCCTCCCGCCGGCGCATTAAGGTATGTATATATACAGTACACACGAAACCGTCCCTAGTGATATCTACAGCACCTCCACCGGAGAAGAAGTGACCGCAACTGCAACCCCAAATATAGAATAACGGAGAGATACTGACGCAAAATACCCCATGCAGAACACCCAATGCGATAGTATGCAGTATGCATATATGCAACATCATGTCCAGCCCGCGTATGCAATCGAACGAATAACCATCAAATTCCCCTTTCGCACAAGGGGATATACAGATTGTGTCATCAATGTCAAAGCCAGGTAGTCAGTTACAATACATATATTCTTCATTTGTTAATCCAGTTACAATTTTTCACAATCCCACACACACACACACACACACACACACACACATCCCTGCCCCTCGCGCAGCAAAGGGGAAATCCCCCACTGCACAATAGTACGTACACCTCAATAAATCATTTCAAATCAACTTAAAGTGACCAAAGCCTGGTCTCCGGGAAAGAAAAGTAAAACATAAAAATTCAATTCTCAGATGCATTTTTTTTCTCACTCTGGCTGGGCTTAAAATTTGGGGGATTTGGCCGTGATCGGCCGGGATGGAGAGATGAATGGGCAGGGGTTGCCACGTGTATTATATGGGTGCATGTGGCCGGCCATATGCAACTGCATCCATCCATGTTGCATTACTTCCAGAAAAGGGAAGAAGGTCGGTTGGCAAGTGGAATTTTGCTTACTTGACTACGCCGTAGTCCGTAAATTGCAGTGGAAGTAGGTTTGACTGGACTAGACTAGACTAGATTACTGACTAATTGAATACTGAGTACTGACTACTGACTAGAACTAGACTAGACGACTACTAATGACTAGCAGTAGCAACATGTGTGTGCTGGGGCGCTGGCCGGCGGCTTACTGCAGTGGGGGCCGAATTTTTATTTTTGTTTTTTGATGGACTTAATCTATTGTTGTGCCGCATGGGGTTGCTGCATGCGCCAGGATTCGGACTAATTGTCACTAGGTCTGGTGTTGGAGTGGACGAGTTTTGTCCAGTCGAGGTGGGGGAGAGGAAGAGCATGCCATGCCATGGATCATCAGATGGCTGGGCGATAATAGAGTAGCCTGTCCTGTGTGTCTTGCTTGTTGGGTGGGCATTACAAACTGTTCATTGTTTCGTGTTTGTACAATAAACATGACTAAATCCCTGGTCACTACTTGTTCAGCTTCGAGAAAATGTTCAGATAATATATTAGATTGTGGTCACTGGCTTGTTCATAGCATCATCACAAACGGGTGGTATAGTTTGTCAATCCCAAAAGCCCCAAAATCTAGCCGTCAGTCCAAGCCCTTCTCGTCGTACCCCAAGTATAACACAGCCCTAACGCCAAGGGTATATCGCCAATGAATCATCGCGTTCCCTAGCTCCTGTCATCGCCGCCCACCCAATGCCCTTTGCAGGTAGTAATAAGGCTTGCTCGCTTTCGCTGGCGCAACATGCCGCATGTTTCATGTCCACCAATGTGGAAGTGGGGGTAAGGATTGTCACAGAACCAAAAGGGAAATCATTAGCATAGCATAGCAATGCAGATTCATGATAAGAAAAACAAAAAAGAAAGAAAGATAATTTCATCCGCTCTATTAGCCATTCGCTCCCACAACCGAATCCCGATTTATGCCGTATTTTGTTCCATAGCACCAGAAAAGAAAAAAGAGGTAAGGAAAAATCAACCATTGAGATTGATTAGGTGCAGACACTGCCATTCCATCCTGATTCTGGAACATGGTAAGCCCCAAATACAGGATGGGGCTCCTCGTAGAACTGCATGTTTAGCCCCACAGATCCATCTAAACGTGGCAAGTCCCCACAGACCACATCATTCATGTATGGTGTCTGAAAGAGGGAAGAGTGTTGTTGCAGAGACCCGGTATGGCTATAGTCTGACAAGTCCTCGCGCGGATCGGAGAGCAAACGGGGCGATGGTGGGTAAAGGCTTTGGGTAGACGGCGGGGCCGTCACGTAGGATCCGGTGACGTCGAATTGAGGACTGGCGATGGTAACGGCGGGAGGAGACTGCAGGGGTGGGGTGTAGGGAGCATAGGTGGCGGACGCAGAGGAGGGAGAAGAAGAGGAGGCGAGACGGTAGTCGTGGACATTGTGGTAGGGACTAGGTGGGGCAGGTGAATAGTGGTCAATCGAGGTGCGGGGTGACCACTGTAGACGGCTTTTGTACTTCGCAACAATGTGGCGAGGGAGGTCCATAAATGACAATGCTAGCTGAACTTCAGGGTTGAACGGGTCTGTGGCGCTTCGAGCGACGATGAGCCGGTAGATCTCCTCAATGGGCCCCAGAGAAAGTGGTCCTAGATAAGCACCTCCTAGATCCGGGAACAAGCTGTCGAGTACCACTCCAACACCGAAGAACTGGGCCAGGATCGACAGAGAACCGACATCTGCGTCTTCGGGCCGTAGCATGGCCGGCGGGAGCCAGAAGAGCCACCTGCGGAGCGGTTGCATCCGCTCAAAGGCCTGCTCGGGAGTCTGGGAAAGAAGATCGCGCTGGAAGTGTCGTACAAATTCGAGGAGTTCGCCAATGCGGCGATAATGGTCGTGGTTGTGCGAGGTCCGCTTCTGTACGGTTTGCAGTGCTATCATGACCTGGTCCAGGCTTGCCAGATCCTCATCTTGAAATTGGTAGCCAGACATGACTGGGGTGTTGGTGCAGCCTAGGTATCTCTGGTTCTCCAAATACATAGCCAGCTCTGACTCATGTTTCCAACTGGGGTGCATCGAGTTCAAGACCTTTTCAGCTGTCAGTCTTATTCCTTTTTCTTTCCGAATGGGTAACGTACTGTAGTCAAGCCCTGCTGTAATGAGGCCCAGCTCTGCCACTCCGATGCCTGCCATGACAGAAGAATAGAAGCAGCAAGGATAGCATCGCAGTTCTCTTGAGAGAACGCGCCAATCGCCTTGTGGAGTCTTTGAATGGCTACCCCTCTATGATGGTATGCGAGTTGCTTGGTTTCTTGGTTGCGAGTGATCCATGCCAGATGGGAAGCTGCCATGGTCAAGATGGAGCTCATAACGAAGTCGTTGGTGAGCGCAATAGTAAGGAAGCTAGAACACCGATGTTGTAAGCAGGATGCTCGTCACGTACGGTTGAACTTGCAAAGGGACTTACGTTGGCATCTTTTGGGCCCAGACGGTACAGTTTCCGAGCCCCCGACGGTGGAGATCGATAGAGAGCCCGATAATGTGGTGAACAAGACGCAGGTCGGTGCGTGAGAGTTTGCTCCAGCTATTGCGAGGAAAGTGCATCAACTCGGGGAACGGAGGTACTCCTGTGACGTGCCAGTTCTTGATCTCCGCCTCGATCTCTGCCGACATCAGAAGGTCAGGGACGTTGCGGATTGAGGCGGCCTCCTCGTGCACGGCTGCGACATCCATGTAGTCACAGCGACAGTTGTGCTTGGTGCAGTTACGGCTATTTCGGGGTCAGCAGTCGACATAACAAAGACACAGTGCTACGTACCATTGAGGGAAGGTCTCATCGCAGCGAATGTGACGTCTCTTGCAGGTTTTGCAGCCAAAGCGAGACTTGGTGTGGCTCTTGCGAGGAGGACCACCACCGGGACCGGCCATCTTGTCAGACTACTCGAGGTAGCTGTGGAGAGGACTTGTGTTAGAGAACAAGACGTGTGCCGTAAAGCAACAGACACGGCGGACAATAAGACTGTCGGGAAAGGTAGATTGACGGTCAAGAGCGAACGTGAAGGAGGGGGGGTGGGAGGGGAGATTTGTAGTAGTTGTTGGACGAAAGATGGTGGAGGGAGTCAAGATGCGGAGATGGGCGATTTGCGGGATAGTATGATCTAATATATCCAAAGGAAATACTAAGACCACCCGAGAGTGACTATCGGATCATGGACGTCCACGATAGGTCGAAGCAATGCAGAGTCCAAAAATAACCTCGAGCCGCAGTCCCAGGCGAAGATGAACAGATGAAATACACGTGGGAAATACGAGAAAACGGTGCAGTTGCGAGTGTCAGTGGCCGGCCTTATATTTTGGGCTCGACCCTCTTGATTGCATTCGCTTGGCGACCCTGCCCCCTAGACCACTCTCGTAGACAAGCAGTAGACAAGGAAGAGGGGTGTGTGAGAGAAGGAGGGGTGCTGGATCAATGTGGAAGGAAGAAGTAGACGAATGACGCTGAAGATCGATAGACTTGGGAGGGGAGGAGGAGCAGGAGATGGAGGAATACACTGAGTATAAAAAGACGGAGGATAACAGACACAGACAGCCAGACCAGGACCGGCCGGCCGGTAAGGAAGGATGCAGCCACTTTCAGCTGCGGGTCGAGGGACCGTTACGGTGGATTGGCATAGAGGTAATTTTGGGTTAATCAGAATTGAATTCATGGGTCAGTCAGATAATCTTAACAAGATCCAGAAATAATGACAATAAAAATAATAAAATAATAATAATAATCATCAGCATCATCATCATCATCATCACCATCACATAATAATAGCTAATGATGAAACAGAAAAACAAATTGGCAATAAAAAGAAAAATAAGCTGAGAGAGGCAGAGGAGGAGGCTACGGGGAATAGTCTAGTATAGCGAACCAGAGAATGACAAAACCAAAATCAGTACATAACACAGCTACTAAGTGGGCAGTGTACTGTTCGTACAGCCGTACCAGAATGTCAGTCGAGCGAAAAATAAAAAAGTAAAAAAAAAGAAAGAAAGAAGACCAAAAAATCCCTCCATCCTTAAAATAACCAAATAAGCTAAGGACGGGTCGAATCTCTGGGGATAGACTAGGAGCCAAGATGTTGAGCGCCACGGTACGACCGGTCAGATGCTGATCTCCAGCAGAACCACAGTTCCGGTCATGGTGAACAATGCAGGACTAGAACAGGCGATAAGAGAATAAATCAATGGTAGTACAGAAAGGACCAACCCACAGCCCAGTAGTCAACCAACGCGAAACGAAAAATGTGCAGAGGTCATCAGCAACAATAATCAAATAATCAGAAGCAAAGAAAGACTATTGTCTCGATCAGTTTGGGTTCGAGCCCAGTCTCAAATGTACAGGAGGAATGGAACCATGCGGCGATTACAGCACATGTGGCCGTCATGACGATATGAGATGACTACTGATTATTTAGGGATTAGTTATGTCGAAGATTTAGCGTAGTTGAGTCGACTAGGGGTTTAATAAGAATATAGTATGCAAAACTTTCATCTGATACTGCTCCAGACATGGGTTCTGATCTCTAATCCGTTGCTAAGCAGAAAATCGTGGGCGGTGGGAGGCGCTGGAGAGGAGAGGGGGTCAGTTATGAGCCTCCTCGACTGGATGGGGATTAGTTCAATTGTGACTAGGCAAGACTAGCCCTGACCGGTGAGGTCCATCCATGATCCAATTCCATGATCCATCCATAATGAGGAATCCACTTTCTACTTCAGGATGGTCTGTGGAGGTATGATTGGTCGCTACGATAACCCCCCGTCTCTCAGCCCGCCAAAAGGCCAATGGAGACGGAGACACCGGGGGGGCCACATGGCAACATCACCGCCAGGTGCTTGGGCCATCAAGGTTGAAACACCCGAAGCAGATTCATTTTCGCCTCCCGTCACAAGCAGACCGTCCACTATGTGTGTGTCAGCGAAAATAGCTAATTAACCAGAGTTATGTACTAAACTAGTGGACGACCCTGCCTTTGCGCGGGAAAGAATGCTGAACCAGATTAGGTGAAGATAGCGGCCGAAAGCAGGTGGCGGAAACGAGAGGAAAATAGGGATCCGAAACCAAGAATCAAAATAGATGCAGTAATGTACTGTGTGTAAAAGATGGGGAGACAACAGGAGAAGGCCATCTGTTTCAACAACGGAGGTGATGCATCCAAAGCAAGACGCTGAATGGCTGTCAGACAATGCAGTAGGTCAGGTCTAAGCCTCCCAGACAATCGGGAATTAGTCAAGGTCAACCCCGGCTGCCTTTTCAATTCCCCGTCCGTCACCTTCTCCAAACTTGAAAATGCGGTCTTTCCCAAGTCTATCGACATTTTACAACTTCATACTCCGTATCAGAATCATTCTCACCAGAAGAGAACCAAATTACCCCTTGAACGCCGGAATAAGAGCATTCAAGCGAAGTGCCACAGTGAATCTAGCCCGCGAGATCAGGGCGGTGGCGGAGGGTGGGTTGTCAACGGACAGACAAGCCTCCCTCAAACTCTCTTTTCTCTCTCTCTTTCTCTCGCTCTCGCTCTTCCTCTGCGGCAGGCTCAGAGAAGAGAAAGTCTGGACGGGGTCTGCGGAATCCTCAACCCAAACTTTGACGGGAACGTAAACATGGTTCCGCATTGCTCTCTTGATATCTCTCTCCTAAATCTCAGGCTCGACATTGGTTGGGAGGCCTTTCCCCGCCTTCACGTATTGGGTAACTTGCTACTTTGGTAACTACGGAGGGATACGGCTTGGTTGCTTGGTAACTTGGTTGGTTGAATAGTGTATATGTAGGTACATCATGGATAGTTACTCCGTATACCTTTTCAACTACCTTACTAGTCGAAAGGATCTTGGTTCGGGTCCGGGGATCAGGCGAGTTCCCCTCGACTACCAGACCCATGACACTTTGATTGACAAGCTGCAAGCTATAGAACCAACCAGGCCTCACAAAGCACAGAGTCCAGGCCCCCCAGAACTCGACCTATAGTGGCGTTGTCGTCTGCCTCTCCTCTTCTGCTCCGGCCGGGCTTGAACCATATCAGTAGTCACGCTCTCAGGGTCATCACTCCCTCGCGTAGAATTGATAGGCTTAAACGAAGTGGGCACCGATCAGCTTCGCCTGTCGGCAGCAAGTCTAGATTTGATTGCGATGGAGCTTTAGGGATGAACTGGTAGTGGAAGTATGGTTTAAGCTCCTCCAGCTAGTGAGGCAGTTTTAGTATCGTGAGGACCCCGCTTTTCCAGCTGCCACAGCCGCGTTCCCATCTTCGCAGGGCCGATCCCAATGGGTGGACCACCCAGTCAACGTCTGGGACGGGCACCGATCTTTGTTCTCCCTGGACTGAACAGTTCCACGACTATGGTTGTTCTGGGAACCGGGAAGAGCTACTGTTACTTAGCTTAGCTGGTCGGAGAAGAGTACCACCACTACATTTTTTTCCCGTAGAAGGCTAGTATGTGCATATTGTACTGTACTGTAGTACATGGTATATAATCTTCACAAAGTATGCGTGAAGATGATGTCCAGCACTTGTATACTCGGAGTGACTACTGTTCTACACAGTAGAATTAGACGAAGTAGGTGGGGAGGATCCATGATGCGCACTCCTGGTGCCAAAGGAATCCATCCTCATTAAGCGACCGAAAGGTGATTGGATTTCCTGAGCTTTAATGTTGCCCCTTTTGTCTTCCAGTTGCTCTTGGACTTTACCTTCCCCGCCCTCAACTAAGGTGAGAAGTTGACTCCTTCCCAACCGCTCGTGGAGTTGGCGAGTTTTGGTCGATGGTCGTTGCCCGCACCACCCGCCGCCGAGCACACGCCTCCACTCCCTGACTCCTGACAAACGACAAGAACTACTAGACCATGCAGGGCCTTGTGAGGCGGACTGAGCGCACTCTCCGTCACCGTTCATGGTGCCTGAAAGACCTCCCTTCCCTCCACTGATCAAAGGGGCAGGGAGGCCAAGCCACGCCTCAATGGTGGTCCATGTCACAACCTTAATGTGCACTAAAGAAAGCACCAGTTGCCCGACCTCGCAGTCCGCCAACAACGCGTCACAAAGATCTCCGACCTCTCCCTTGATTCGACCGCTGTAAAAGTGTGGGTAGATACTGTGGTTTTGTGCAGATTATGCAGACTCTCTCTTGGTCGCCTCATGAGTGTACTCCTCCCTATGACTTACCTAGTCCCGCGACACCGGTTGTATCCGAGTTTCCTCAGAGCGTGCGCCGATGACTCTAGGGAGTATGCGTCGTAGACTTGTAGAGGCCCCTCCTGGTCCTGCGCGGCATAATTGGCAAGTCTCCTATCACCAAGCTAAATGGGGTCATCCAGCCGAGATCTGCGCCATTGTACACCAAACCACAAGCAAATATGCAGCGTGCACAACTTTCCATATCCATGATGGGTGGCGCATGGCGGATAAGTAGTGGTCTGTCTGTCTGTCTCTCTTTTAAAGGTTTGCCGAACATAAGCATCAATATGTACAGACACCCCCAAACTTTCAGCGGGGAGAGCCTGTGCAAGTGTGCAAGTGTGCATCAATCATTCTGCCACAAGTTCATGGAGAAAGATTCCAAGGCCGCGCCCCAAGAAAACATTTTCTCTTAGACAGCTGAGCTTGTCTAGGAATTTAAGTCATGACCCTCTTGTCCTGGTGAATAGTCTGAAGAGATCACAACACCATGATGCACGAACAGAGACATCTCCAATCTCTCCTAGGGGTTTGATTTTGCATCCGCCCCTTTTACCTCGACCCCTATCGCTTTCTATTTCTTTTTTATTTTTCCATTTGTCTTATTTTTCTCCCCCATCTCCATCTCCCTGTGATCAGTGTCAGCCCGCGCTAGACGGAGCCAAACAGACTAAACCCAAACAGGAGGTGCAGGCTTCGACTGGCCCTTCTGGAATGACCAGCAGCCAGTTTGTGCGAAGACTTTGGTAGCCTAACGCACGCCCCTAGTCTGCCATAGCGTTGGCCTTCCTTTCGCAGTATTTTTCCCACTCATCCCACCTTCTGAGCTAGCCAGGTTTCGACTAGTGGTCATCGCTTGTAAGCCGAACACTGCAGCGGCGCCCATCTGGCGTGCAAGGTGGGGGGGAAATGCGGCGCCCGCCAGCCAGCCAAAATAACCTTGTCTGAGTGGAGAGGGAAATCAGTTGCCAACTTGCCAGAGGCTAAGAGAACCGAGAAGATGACCTTCGGATGCTTACGCCCAAGAGGAAAGGTAACTTAGAAAATGTTGGAAGCGTATATTGAGTTCTTCTGCAGGGTCGCCTCATCTCATTCATCCCACCATCACCATCGTCATCATCCTTTCAGGGATAGCAAATTGGCTTCCTTTGCCCTCCACACTCTCAGCATATGATCGGGGCGCAAAAGTCGCACGGTTTCAGCCTCAACGACTGGCGCTGGGACCTCCCTCCAGCCCATCCAGCCCGCTTCCAAGCAACCCCCCCCCCCTCTGACCGTCCCGATTTGAATTGGGTCTTTCCAATCGGCCGGATGAAACAGCGTCAAGCCTTCAGCTAGCTGTCCGACTTCCGACCGTCCGATCGAGTATCGACCCGATCCACCTCGGTCTTTCCGTACCGCTTTTGTTTTACCTTGGTTTCTCTCAATTCGGTAATTTTTGAATTGTGGGTACGGAATGGGGGCCATCTTCCGGGATCTACAGTGGGGTAGGAATTAGAAAAGGGGGGTGGAAGAATTGGGGGTAAAACTGAATCAGTAGCTCACAGAGTCTTGGAGGGTGACTCTCAACTCTCAACATACTGACTTACAGGCAACTTTTGTTTGACAGACTGACCGGCCGACTGACTGACAGCCACGCTTGCCTCAGGTCCACAGATCGTACTGTTATAAAAAAAAAAACCGACCGGGGACCAGGAGGTGGTAAGTCATGGGAGCGAAGAGTAGTAAAGCGCATTTAGAAAAAAGAAAACGTCAAAAGGCGGTCATCTAGATTTGAACTGGTACCGCCATCGAGCTAACAGGAAATCACCACGACGATATTCAAGCAATTTTCTGATTCTGATTGGAGATAGGTGCGCAAGCCGGAGAAGTCACTTAGTTACTAGTCAGGTACTTATCCAGCTCTCTCTTGGCACGGCCAATTTTGGACAATTCCGGTAACTGGTCAAGGAGGCTGAAAACCATCATGGATCCGACTCCAAAAGTCCCGCCGGCGTCCAACAATGGTTTAGTGGTTTCATCAACCCGCAGGAGCTCACTACCTCTCCTTTTACTGTACAGCATATGGTGCCAAATCATCGCACATCCCGGGGCATCGGTCCGGGTCCGACTAGCAAGTAATTCAGTACCTAGTCTTAGACGACCTACTCAACTCCATTCTACGGAGTATGCGGTCCAACCCGTGAGAGGCTGAGACTTGAAATCCAAACTCTCCCAAGTCCAACGTGGGCATGGATGGCGCTTTTAAAACATGGGCTCGGGTGAGAACTCAGTGCTAATCAGAGTCCTAGGTTTCCTTGATGTTTTGTTAATGCTTTACGTTACGGAGTAACAGTTAAGTTACAGGATATTTTCCGAAGCATCAGAATGAGGCGCAGAGGACATCATCCGCATCCACCAGAATAGACGGCCCAGACTTGACTGACATCCGCCTGCAGACCCGCGATCATGGAGGGTGGGAAGGGAGACTCTGCGGCAGGAGGCATGCAGTGTCGTACAAAGCCTCGAGCCACGTTCTTGACGATGATCGCATCTTGCAAAAGAACAGCGGGCTGTGAGACGCGGCGAAAACCATGTGACGCTGACGGACGGTATCGCTACTTTGCTCTTTTGCTAACGATGACGGTGGAGCGATGCGTCGATGAACGCATGTCTACTCCGTAGAGGCATGGCATCCCTGTCTAGGGTCCTCCTGCTGTCAGCCGAACGAGTCGTTAGATTGACATTGTCATTATTTAATTGAAGATAGAGGTTAATGAGTTTACTAAGTCTAATTAGTCTTAGGTACCCCTCCTCCGCCGTCCATGACATTTGCTGCCAAGCGGGGGTCCATTCACATGATGTATGCATGAAATGAACCTTTAGCGAGGCAACAAATGAGATGCTCTGCCCAACTTCCGTACCTCAAATTCTGGGGCCCAGGCAACCGAAGGGAGGATAGTGCGTGCGGGTGGAAATGGGAATTAAGGTACTCCGGAGTGACTAGTACTTCGTATGATGCTGGTGCTAATCACTGTTGAGTGATTAGTGTCTGTATACCAGCTAAACTAGTGACTGCCACCGCGACGGGTCGGCGATGATGGCATGTAACTACTACTCCGTAATATCGAAGATAAGGGAAGGTGAAGGGGGGGTTGGGGAACCACAGAATCCTAGCATGCCATGCTAATTGCCATGCGATGGCGGCCATGATCATTCCGTGCTTACGGCAGTAGATGCTACTGCTGCATGAGTGGATGTGTGGGTTGGCAGGATCGACTCGGCCGCTGGACCCTTTTTCTATTATTATTATTATTCTTCTTCTTCTTCTTCTTTTTTTTTTTTTTCAATTATCTCTGTTGTTCTCGGCCGCCATGCTTTTGATAGATTGAGAGGCGCGCGCGGCGCGGATCCTCTCAGATCACCCGATGAGAAGGGAGGGAGGGAGGGAGGGAGGGAGGGAGGGCGGACAGAGGAACTGAAACAATGATACTTCCTGCCCGTGTAAAGTTCTGTACCCAAGGTGAAAGGGAAGGTCGAAGCCCGGAGTTCGGAGGGAGTGTGTGGATAAGTAGAGAGGAAATGGAACATTAGTATCTATAGGGGATTGAAGGGGCTTGTAACAGCGGCTCGTGATGTTTACTCAGTTCAGAAGAGAGACACACACACTTTGACGAACAACAGACGTAAAGTGGAAGTTGAAGAGGTTAAGCCAGACCAGGTCAGGCTCGAAGCAAAGAAGAAAAGTCATACTTAACGACAGACATAAAGTTACGGGATGAGAACTGTGCAGAGTACCTGTTTACACATTTACACAGTAGTGACACACAGAAAGTTGCTTCCATTGAGTGTGGATGCTAGTTCTCTCATGGATGATCTGTCTAGGTGCTCCGTACTACGGAGTAGAAAGGTATGTACTCGGAGTACAGTACCGTGCAGCTTTCCCAAGGAAAAGGCTAACATTGCATCTCCCCCCACTAACCCTGGTTGAGTAAAACGCCGTCGGAGATCTCCGATCCTTCACGCGACGGCTCCAATCAGACGCCGCAACCCATTCTCCGCATTTGATGAAAGGAACCCAACGTCTTGTTTCCAGTCAGTGAGTGAGTGGGTGCCAGTGCCCATGCCAGTGAGTGCCAGTGCCCCCGAAAAGAAAAGAGGGATTTGGAAAAACAGCCACCGTGCCACACAAACTACCGCCCACTGCCCAGAAAGAACCCCGCTGGGGTCCCAGAGCTCGCACCACTAACTAGCAGCATTCCCGTCACCCTCATAGCCGGCTGGCATTCTGGCACTGGCACTGGTCAAGCACGGCAACCTTGGTATCATACCCGATCTGACTCGACCAATCACACTGCCCACAGAATGTGGAGCTGAGTTCGCTAAAGAAGGACATATCGGGTTAGTGAGCGTGGAGTCCTGCCAGCTCTTCCAATAGCGTGGGTCGGCCAACTTTATCTCTCCTTGAGGAAGCCTGTAGGGGAGGAGGGGTTCTTTTTCTCGGGACCGATACACAGCTTCCGGTGGATGGGTTGGGAGCTTTCGATTGGGGTTAGTCACGCGGAGTGGAGAGAGCTTTCGAGGAGCTGTTTGTTGCTTGAGGCTGGAGATGGTTTATTTTTCTTACTCGTGGTTGTCTCAACTAAACCCTACTGTGTAGGTTGCTTGCTACCTTAGCTGGGCTCTAGCCAACCAAACCAGCTAGCAAGCAAGCTGTACAAAGAAGAAAGGGCAAGATGATGGCATCGTTCGTCATGACTTGTGAAACACTTCTTTGTCTGTCTGTTTGGTGTTTGTGCTTTGTAGATCTCCTCACGGGAGGACTATCTTTTGGTCGGATACTGTAATATTACAGAGTACATCTAGCAACATGTATTATATCAAGTTACAAGTTACAACAATTAGTTACTGACTCATGACCGAGCATGATTCAGATTAAGATGGAGACGATCAAATACCAAACTGCGATTCGAACACTCAACACAACACCAAGTAATGATGTCTGATTCCAGTGGTTTGTCTCATGTCAAATTCGATTGTAGGGGGTTGTGTTTTCGCCCCCAAAAGTCCAGGATTCAAAATTAGACTCCCTGAGAGAAAAACAAATTCCGTCTGGATTTTTCTGTTTAGTCCCAGATCCATGTCAGAACTCTGAAAACTGGTGGATTTTGGGTAAGAATATCCTCGCCCCCCCCTATTCCTTGTGGGGCATCATTCTCGGCTGTGAGTCAGGTTTGTTGAGCCTGGCTTTTGATTTAGGTGGTGGTTAATTGGTTTGACTGTGTACGGAGTACGTTGTTGTCACTGGACCAGCTTCTAGTTCTCAATGTGTATACACCTGGACAAAGGGTACAATTAGATGTTGCTGGTATCACGCAGGACCCAGCCCGCTGGGCCACCTAGTATGTCGTGTCATTCTCTCTCTCTCTCTCTCTCGCTTCTCTGTTTTCCTAGCTGCGTGCGACTGATATAGTCTATAGTAGCAGTGTACTGTCCCACCATGGACTAGATCTCGGAGCCGGCCACCATGAAAGATGAACAAGCATCTAGGTGCGAATGATTCCATTTTCCCGGTTGAACTTGCATTGCGACTCCAACTGCAGTTTGACTGTATTTGTACTGTGCCCACCACTATCCTTGCAGAAGTCAGCGAGCACTGTATGTCAGATCGACTCTTGCCATCCTTAACGTATCCTATCTGAACCCCCCCCCCCGGTAGTCCCGGGCGTAGTTCCTCAGGCAGGAGAAGTAAGATTGTACTACATATGCTGTGCGGTCGAGTAGATGCCGCTGCTGCGGTACTACCATTTGCAATATATTGACTTTCTGGTCGAAGTCTTCCATACTCATGCTCGATCATCTTTTGCATGGGTTCAGACAGATCAAAGAGCTGGTCCGTCATTCTGTAACCAAGGCAAGGTAAGGCACACGGCAACTCTTTGGGTTCAGGTGATTGAGCGATGGGTTACGGTGGTTGGTTTGGGTGGTTGTGCTGCTATCTGCTGTCGTTTCATCAGCTCAGCATTGTAGAATCATCTACCCAATAAAGGGCATAAATGTAGTTGTTAGTCACGTCATTGAGAAACATACCTGCCTACTTTCAAAAATCTGTGCGAGAGAAAAAGAGAAGAGCACCTCCACAACCCGCTATTAGCATCTCGTTCTCAGCAATAGAACCACTCACCCCGACCTTTCACATGAAGCAAATCCTACAACCTCAATTGAATCCAATATCTCTCATCTCCGACTCCTGGTGTACACAATACCTGCACATGCAAAATCTCGTTATCGTGAGCTAATATACAAAGGTAGTGATTATCTCGCTCCCCCGGCGCCCCAAACCTCCCCCCTGGCAATTGGAGAGGGGCGGGCAAAAGGGGGTATACATAAGCTACATATAGGGTAACTTATCCAAACTATATAGTTAACTACCCCGGTCGATGCATAGATTATTGATTAATGTTACATCTCTAGTCCCCAAAAATTTGCCTTCTGCGTTTTCCCGTCCGCTGGTTTCCGCCCGCTGTTGCATCAGATTCCAGATTTTCGTTCTTTGGGAACCTTGATTATAATCGTATGATGAAGCTGTAGCGTTACACCTGGGCAATGGGGCATGCAGCCTACCCACTCCTCTGCAATCTCCTCGTTTGACGACTGAACTATGTTCTGGGTTCTGCGTAGTTAGAGGGCTTATTTGGGTTTGGGTTGCTGGTGTTTTGTTGTTTGACAGGTCTTGGTGCTTGGCATGGCTTATGGCTTGGTTGTTTGTTTCATTGCAGATGAGGGTCCTGTACAACTACCTCCCGTCCAGGATGATACCCGGCAGGTACATGCTGGCACGTGCGGATTTACATCGCATATCCTATCAGAGTCGAGCCGGGGGTTACCAGATTGGGGATTGGGGTTTCCTTTTACTACTGAGGTTTCTTTTTGTTTTGGCTGCCACTGCAGCGATGAGTAAGGTATATATGTAGTTGGTATGCTAGAGGCATGGATCAAGCTGTCAAGTCAGCTTATGTTGGCTTTCTTTTCTTTTCTTTCTTTTCTTTCAGGTCGTTTGCGCTGAGGATAATAGGGTGTTTGTAGCATTCATGGGAATCTGTCATGGGGTGAGGCAAGGGCTTCTATCGCACAGTGAAGTACACTACCTTATGGTATTTCTGCATTCAGGAGTTGGTAGTACATGTTTGCGATTCATGTTTCATGTTTGGGTGAGGAGCATGGCTTGTGGAGGATGGATGGCTGCTGGTTTGCTCGGAGGATATATCCTGCGTTCGTGTTGGGGAGAGGGGCGATGCACACTTCCGGGTGCATTGGACTGTACCTTCAATGTTGTAAGACTTGGGTCATCAGGACTCTCAGGGCAAGTGAGGCTTTCATAGTGTATGCTGTACTGATATTGTGTTGATGCAACAAGAGCTTCAATCCAAGGGAAGTCTCGTCGTCGAGGTGTTCTCGCCCGAAGAAGAGTTCTTCTGCCAGGCTGCCTCTCCGTCCTCGGTAGTCATCAATTCATCCATAGAGGGTGGAGATCGATATTCCTCCAGCTGAATTGACTCTCCCACTCTCTTCCACACAGGCAGCAGTACGCATCGATCCAACCATGCCCCAAATCAACTCAACAGTCCTTCGTACGTACACAGGGTTCGCGAAGTGCTTGCAGTCCAACCTACAACTTACCATATAAGTCAACGCGAGACCCATATGCTGTCCTCAAACGACAAGAACCGTCACCCCTTTCCATATCACTTCCAGTCGAGCAGGAACAACCTCATCAACAAGAGAAGGGACACTCGTGAGTTGCACCTGCAACTCGGGGTATGACCGTGACTGACGTCTGACGTCTGATGTCTGACATCTCCTAGAGTGAACACCGATTCCTGGAGGCGATCTGCTCCCGGTCTGGGCGAGTACAAAGAGAACGTGCGGGTATCCATGACTAAAAGAGGGAGGAGCGACGGTAGTAAGTTAGCCCGAAGATAGATACCAGATTCTACACGCGATTAGTCATGATGCTGTCGAAGCAGGGGAAATAACTGTCCAGTACAGTAACTTACCCCAAAGAGCCACTGATATGGTGAATATATTGCCTCACGCAAAACCGCACTGCTCCCTTCAGAATGGACGGAGATGGTAAGTGATTGCGACGTCTGCGAGGGGATAGATCCAACAAGGCTACTGGGTGCACGACCACTAACCCAGCCCCAACCTTTACAGGGGGGGGGGGGGGGGGGACAAAGAGGGAGAGACAGCTCCTCCATCCACATCACAGACAAACTCGGCATACAGACGATGCGTTTCCCCGCACGAGCTTCGAAAGACCACCGGGTTAGTCGTCCTAGTTTCGCCCCAGATACGTAGTCGCAGACGCGTACTGGCACGCACCTGTGGGTAGCATATGGCTACTATGGCTACTACCTACTGCCTTCGCATAGTAGAGACATACACTCTAAGCAAAGGAACTGCCATGGACACATGAGCAGGACAAATTACACTAAACCCACATTACATCACCCGTGGTCGACACCATACCTACAGTATAGACACTCAGTACACACACCCATACATTTTCGCCGAGAACTATACAGAAAGAACTGAAGAGTCCATCCATCATATACTTTTCTAATCCTAGTATCTATCTAAGGCTAAGAAACAGAACTGAGAGAAAGACTTCAACCCTCAGAAGGACTCGAAGATCAAATCCATGGGCATGCACAAGTCCCTCCACCCCCATCATGAGCAGCCGATTAGCAATGCAGTCGCATCAACATGCCCATCCCACTAACCACCTTCCTGCCACAGCATCCTGCACTGTATTGCACTATACTGTACTGTATGGCACTCCCTTCTCAAGCTTGTTGCCAGACATCTGCAAAGTCAGCTATCCACATCGACATTCGCTCGAGTCGGACACCAACAGTCAAGGCGACAACAATCCCTCACTGTCGCTTCCTCTGGCATAAATCATTCAGCATTCAAGGTCAAAAGCTAAGAAGAGATGAAATCACATCAAAAGAATAGGTAGAAAGTGGTGGAAGGCAAGCAAATTTTATACGCCTTTCGCCATGTGATATTTCGGAACTCTCAAATGAGACATTAACGTGAGAATTATAGATCTAAATCTGATATACAGAACGAAGTCTCTGGGCAACATGGGCCGGAAGTTGCGACAGGAAGGAATCGAAGTTGGGTATCATATTTTTGTAGCCTTGCAGAACCTACAATCCCGATTAGCGTAACTCAAGCCGCAGGATTGCATATACATACCTGCTGGAAAGATGTTTGGATGTCCCGGTAATCATCCTGGTTCAGTGACTTGGTGGGGAATGCCGCAATGGCCTGGAAGTAATCCCCAAGGAATGACTCCATCGCTTCCGGATGTTTCATGACTACTTGGTTGAAGCCCAAGAAGGCCGACGCCTTTTCACGCGAGAATTCGATCTTGTTCATCGACTTCAAAAAGACGCCAGCGTACTCGCTCAGACGAGGCGCAAGTTGGTCCGAGCAGCAGATTCCCAGCCGACCAAGCGCCATCGCGGCGTTCTCGTTCACAGAATCGATGATCTCTTCGTTGTTAATGATGATGTAGAGCCCCTGGTACAGCTTCTCCACATACGGCGACAAAGCCGCCTTCTCGTTGACAGCGATCTCTCCACACGACCAGCACGCGTTGTTGAGCACACTGAACCCGGTGTGACGATCGTCATCGTTGATCATATCCAAATCCAGCTGCTTGATCAGAGTCGGCATGATCTGGGGAATGAAAGGCTCGAGTTGAGGGAAGATGTTGATCGCACAGTCGCCCAGCAGGGCGTACGACGACTGACGGACCTCATAGTTCGGGTCCTCCATACAGAAGCAAAGAAGATCGAAGAACCGGGGCTGGGAGTTGGCCACCAATTCGCCGCTCTTCTGCGGATCAATCGCCTGGATGATCGCGCTCAGAAGGTCTAAGCTGGTAACCAAGAAGTCCTTGTCCGGCTCCTCAACACCCTGATTGCTGACTGATACCATGTACTCTTGCAAGTTTTCATAGATGATCTTGATACACCGCTGGAAGAGAGGCTGCGCAAAGGGAGCAAACGCATCCCCGTAAGCGGCGGCAATATAACCGAGGCACTCCAGCAGAGGGAATAGCTCGCGAGACTGGTCGGCGACCTTATTGTAGCGATCAATAAGCGCAGGCATCAGGATGTTCACGAGGTGAGGTTGCGCCAACTCTCCCATGACGCACTCCGCCAAGGTCTGTACACAATCGTACAGGATATACATATTGCGATCCTTGTATTTTCCAAAACACTGAACAAACTGTTGGAGGATCGGTTCGCAGTAGGGGATCAAGTTAGCATCAGACTTCTCCTCAAGGCTTGCGAATGCCGACGCAGCTGCCTCTTGGACTTTCTTGTTACCGTCAAGCATACGACGCAGAATACCGTCCATCATGGGCTCAAAGTAACGAGCTCTTTCCGAGGGATCGGACAGATGGGAAGCCCACTCGGAATACCGTCCTAAGCACCAGCAAGTGATTTGGCGCACGACGGGCTGGCTGTCATTCAGACACGAGATCAGATAAGGAACGAGCTGGGGAAGGTGGGGAGTGACCGCGTCCATGCAACCGTCAGCAACGGCCCCCAAGGTCAGAACAGCAGCTTCGCGCTGGGGCCACTGTTCGTGACGGAGGGTCTCCATCAGATAGGGCAGAATGATCTCGAAGATTGGTTCGTGGTAGACATTGGAGAAGACGTCCAAGGCCGCTGCGGAGCACTTGCGGAGAGTCCACTCATCCTCAGGATCATCTCCGAATTCAGAGTCCTCGATCTCACCCTCGCTCAGCTCATCATCCTCATTCTCGGAGACCGCATTGCCGTTAGCTTGGTCCGGCTTGCCAGTATCCAGGCGTGCACCTTTCGACTTCGCAAATTGAGGACGGAGATCTTCAGCGCGATCCTCTTCCTCGGCATCCTCGCCCTCTGCGGCCAAGCGGATGGCCTCGTCTTCATCGTAGACCATGCTCCGCAACAAGACGGGTACGATCTTGGGCATATGCGGGGCCAGTGGCTGCTGCAGCTTCACCTGTTCACCTGCAACGAGCCAGAACTCAGCCGCATCAAGCGCAAGCTCCGGATCCTCCTGATTGTTCTGTTGCATGATTATATAGTCGACAAGCCCTTCCATGTGAGGGATCAGTTTCTCCGGAGCGAAGTCCACCAGCTGGGCGAAGGTTTGACACACCGTCCGGCGGACATCGGTGCTGGCATCGTTGGCTAATTGAAACAGGTGCGACAGGAATAAATCCATGGAGGCGACAAGCGCCTTAGGTCGGGTGGGCAGGAAAGTGTGAATTGTGCGGAGGGCCATCGAACGGACTTTGGCGCTCTGGTTGGAGGTGAACTCGAGAAGCTTCGGGATAATCACGTCGAGCGGGCACTGGCCCTGGTAATCGCGATCCAGGATCTTGCGGTTGTCTTCGCAGACCTTGGCGAGAGCGGACATGGCTGCTTCTTGGGTGAAGCTCGGTACATTCCCGGAGTTTTCGACAAGCGACAGCAGCTCGTTGAGGACATCTGGCCATGCCAGCAACCCGGCCTGCTGAACCAACTCTGTGATAATGTTACCGGCGGAGCTCCGCACTTGCATATTATGGTCGCGTAAACTGATCAGAGTCGCCGAACGGATGTAGCTGAGAGATTCCCCGTTGATTGTAGCATAGGCGACGCGAATCTTAGTCTTGAGGTTCATGGCGGCGGCGAAACGGACCATCTCGTAGGTTTTTTGGTCCATAGGGAAATCCGAAGGGGCCTGTGGAGTGCAAAAGAGCCAGGTAATATAGTTGACATAATCTGGTGAAGAGGTCGCTTGTACTAGCATCTATCAGATGAGAGAAAAAGATCGAAGGAGAGCTCCAGTCAGTCATTGTGTTTTTTTCTTGTTTCCTTTTTTTTCACTTTTTTTTCAAAACAGTTGCAGAAGGGCCCCCTTTTTTCCTTCTTCCAAAACAGAAGAAACGCAAGATAAGCGTTGACGGGAAGCGCAAGGTGTGAGGAAGTGTATGGGATCAGAGGACGAGGTACAATCGATGCGGGCAGACAAAAATTCGCAGATACGAGAGGGGAGGAGGGAGCGGAAAGAAGAGAAGGCACACACCTGTTCGGCCTGCTTTTGAAGCACGGAATCACGACCGTTCAGAGAATTCCTGAGACAGCAGGCCAACTGAACCAATGGCTCGTCCTGCGGTTGCCACTCCATGATGAAGAAAAAAGAAGGGGGGGGAAGGAGGGGGAGAAGAGGGGGGGGTGTCGCAAAAGCAGAAGCAAATGCGGGAGTGGGAGTGGAAGAAGGGAAGACGGGAAAGAGAGAGAGAGAGAGAGGAGAGAGAGAGAGAGAGAGGTGGGGGGAAGAGTAGCAACAACAGCAGCAGCAGCAGTAAGTAATACGGAGTAGCAGCAGTGTGTAGTAGGAGAAATGACTAGTAGAGAGACTAGGAGTAAGTAATGAGAGAGTAATGGAATAGAGACTGGGAGGTATTGGCACTGCAAGTGAATAATAATGTGGAAGGGCGGGGGGGGAAAGCAGGCAATCTGTGGTTTCGCCCAAAACCCCGCCGTCTGGCTGGCAAAATTACTAAGTCACACTTTCTGGTTCCCTCCCACACGCCATTTTTCTTCTTCTATAACTCCGAGATATCAAGTCGAATAACCCCTTCAACCACACTGATAACAGAAAGGCCGATCCGAAATCATGGAATGGATGAACAAACCAACAAAGAATCAGGCAGACCATAGAGAGCCAAAAGAAATTGATAGATACCGCGTACTGTACTGTCATTGCCCGTTGTCTCCGTGGCTGGAGCGGTAATGGTAATGACGGGTAACTTATCTATCTTATCTTTGGCTCTCCGATATTGTACGACTACTAAAGGTAATACTACATCCAAGACTTCATCTTTCCTGACTCTGCGGAGTAGAGACAAGAGAATCAAACTTTGTGCGCACGTGTTTCTCAGCATATGCATCGACGCCGATAATTTAAGGATAACTCAGTCGATAGATCAAGTTCTCCTTGGGCTCGTTCTTCTTGCTTAGCGAAGATAAATCCGTAGGTTTATGCTCTCCAACCCGAGTAGTAGCTGCTATCAGTCGGAGAATTGAAATTGAATTCAAGGGTGAGCTGGGCATCCACTGCCAAAGAATAGTCATATAGCTTCCAACTATCAACGCTAAGGAACCACAGTACAATACTCCATGCACATCCGCCCGCCTGTTTGACAGCAACACAAATAAAAAAAAATGCAACATCATGCCCAGACCATTTTCTTGATGTCGTACACCAAATGTTCCAAGTACCCCGTGCGTTTCTTCGCCTCCTCCAACGAAATGATATCCGAAGACTCAATCAGGGTTCGCTGTTTGCCATCCTCAGGGGGGCCATGCCGGTCACCCGCCCTCACGGCCCGCTCGATCTCCTCGCATATGCTTCGAACCCAGTCCGAAGGGCTGACGCTGCTGGTCCCCATGACCTGTGGAAGGGCTTTGAATGCAATCAGGCGGGTGGCCGCGTGCGGGGCCCCCTTGAACCACGAGTACATGCTCCATTCATTGCTCGGGCGCTCATTGCTGTCTAGACTTTTCGAAGGCACCTGGCTCTGCAGAGACCGTGTATTGACCCTCAGCGCGTTCTTGTCGCCCTCCCGATACTCCACCACTAACCCCACATTGCCGCGCTCGTCAATCTGAGCTTCAGTCAGGATAGAGGTCACGTATGTTCCGTGATTGATCCGCGTCACAGAGCACAGATCAATCCGCTCATAAGACAACACCTTGTCCGTGTTCCAGTCGAAACGGCAGCTATACAGGGCAACGTCCGTCAGGAGAAGAACCGCCTCCTCGAATGGCATGCTGCGGAGTGTGTTCGGCTGTCGGGGAGTCAGCAGGGTCCACCCCCCGAGGAACTCTTCAGACTGGTCACTGATCACGATTTTACAGCTCGTGTCAATCGCGTTCTGTCGAAGCTTCTGCACTGAAATGCCGGGGTCGGTAGTCTGCATCTCGAGTGCGAACTCTTGAAACACCTGGATTGAGACATTACCCAGCAGATAATCGATACAGGCCTGTGAGAAATAATCGTTCACAATATTGTTGTAGTACCGAGACAGGGTCAGGCCAAAATCGTTCAAGGCTCCTCGGTAATTTCTCTTACGGGTGCGGGTGTAATCGCCCTTGAGGGCAGCAGTGGAGGAGTACTGCTTCGAGATAGCATCGCCATTGTCAGCCCATAGCGTATTGAACCAGTGTGTAGAGGAATCGCGCCCCAAGTCAAGATCTATTCCTTCTCGCCTCAACTCCTGCTCCAAAGCCCATTGACCGAAGGCACACTGCGCGACCCCCGTGCGGTCGAGACAATCCATACAATTGGTGCGTATAACTCCGGATTGACGTTGGAGAACATTTGTGTTCTGGACCACAGTATCACCAAATTCGCCCAACGTAGATCCAAGACGGTCAACCAATCGGCCGACATTCTCGAACTTCATTCCTCGACATTCGTTATGAAAGTCAAACCACTCCATCTTGAGGGGCACGCCATCGATGCCGCCTGATTCGTTCAGGGACCGGGCAAATTTCTCATACTGTTCACCAAGCTTGAGTTCACCAGCTTGCTTATCTATCAGAGAAACCGCTTGAATTTTGCCATATCTTCGACTCAGATTCCGGAAGTGTCTGTCAAAGGCGAGCTGGTTTGTCTCTGTAGAGTGATGCAGCACGGGAACTGGCTTGAAGGCATATGGTGACTGCGAGAAATAGAGTGGGATCGATCCGCGGACTTGCAAGAACGAGTAGACATTGCGAGCTGGATCCCAGTCAGATGTAGACAGAATTTGCTCTGTCTCAACAAAATTGGCAGTGTTCCCGTTGTCATCCACGCCACGGCGCAGATATCGCAAGCCAGGCCGCTTTACCGACCGCCGAGATACTAAAGTGACGAGGAAATCACGCTTCTCCTCATCAGTTTTGACTGTTTCTGCCTCCTGTTTCTCGCCCAAAATCCGACCGTCAACCTGTGGCTCATCTGTTCTGTCCGGTCTCGAAGACGAAGCCTTTGGGGTTGCTCCAATCGTAAACTCTCGTTGGCCCACAAATCCTTGCATCAGAGGCAGCGCAAAGCCATGAGCATCGGCTGTGATGAAGGGCGTAAGCAAGTTTCTATTCCAAAAATACTGTAGTCAATCGATCAGCTATTGAGTGTGGCTCAAGGCATGAATAGGGCTTACTCACCATATCGTCAACCAATCTATGTAGTGGAAGGTGGGTGGCCAACGAGGGCTCCTGTACACTCAGGTTCCTGGTAAGGTCATAATCATATGCGAAGAAAAAATTGCGCGATGAGAAGACCATCTCTGTGTAGCGTAGTAGCTTTGGTAGCAACTCCACAGTAGGCTCCGAGCCGAAGGGATCTGCGAGACTTTTGGACGAGAGATCACCATCACTCTGAGGCACTGGGGTTGCCTCGCGGTCCTCGTTCACCTTGGCAATGGTTGGGGCAGTTTCTGCTGTGCTTTCCTTGACGTCTCCCATGGGCGCTTCGGCGGATTTCTGGTCAACTGTGCCAAGCCCTGGCAAGCCCAGTGTTTTCCTGGAGAGCCAATTCGCAGCGAAGCGTCCGAAGCGTACCTTCTTCCCGATGACATCTTCGGTGATGGTGCCAACACTGCGTGTTCGAGCATGGACAACTTCCTGCTCGGGAGAAGCCGGCGCAGTGTTGACTTCGGTGTCACCTCCCTCGGTCTCTGCGTCGGAGATGGGGCTCGAGTCCTCAGAAGCGGTCTCAGTATGACTCTCCTCACCCTGCAGCAGGTGCTCCTTGGCCAGCGAGATCGCACGACTCGCATCCGCCTGGGACGAAGTGGGGATTACGGCAACATTGGTGATTGTATAGATAGGCTTCCCTTGAATTTGCGCCACTTGTTGACGTTGAGTGATAGAGATGAGGAATGAATAAGATGCAACGGATAGAAGCCCTGGAGTCGTAAGGTACAGCCATTAGCGAATGACCCCGTATGGGTGGACCTGGGGAAGGACTGGAACAGAACAAATGAAACAAGAAGAGAGAAGAATGCGCGCACAAGAATAACAAATCACATGGGTCAACAAAATTCATCTAGAGTCCACTTGGAAGTCTTGGCTAGATCGAGAGATTCAGCACATACCGACAAGGCCGTAGGTCTCTATGCTGGAATCCCCCGTGTCGCCAAGGTCCGACGCAGGGCCAGAAAGTAATGAGACATTGTTAGTCTTGTAATCGATGCGGATAGAGGATGGTTCATTATTTCCAGTATGTCGCAAGCCGTTGCCCGCGGAGTGAAGCGTTAGTCCATCAGCGGCCGCGACGACGATCAGCTTCCGCAGCAATCCAGGCATATTGCCCGCAGGAGTATTTTTTTTTTCTCTTTTGAGATGTGTGCGGAGAGATAATCAGCAAGTGGAGAATGAAGATGAGATAACAACGAGCTTCAAATATAGATATGCAGCTTCTGTTCTATTAACAGTGCACCCACAGCACGGTCAGTAGTGGATGGTGGGATCTCTGAGGGGAGCTTAATCCCACTGGTTCTCAGCGCGACATCATCGATGGTCCTTTTCCCCACTACCAGCCACTTCCGCCCTCAGCAAAAGAAAAAAAAAAAGGCCCAACACATACGTCACTTTCTGGCCCGCATGATCCCGTTTGTTTCTCTCAACCAGGCTATGAAACAACAAAATTAGCAAATGTGGATATCAAGTAGTATGAGAAATTTCAGATAACGCAAGATCCTGCTGGAAGTAATGACTCTTCGCAGTCCACATGGTCTATTGAAAAAAATCACCCGTGATCTTAGCCTCTATATACATTTCCGGGTTTGTGTAATTTGCAGGTATTCGCGCCCTGCGGTTCATACCATAGCAGATGATGAAAGCAACAAAACAAGAAAACGATCCCATTCCACATACAAGTCATTCGGGGCATCTATCGATCCTCATCTAAGATTCTTCGCGTGGGGAGTCGGGTAAAAGTACAAGCCATTCAAAAACAGCCGCAACTGTTCATGAAAAGGGGGAAAGGTAGAGTGGGAGGACGAGATGGAGGTATAGCAAGCCAGGTGGAGTAATGTGTGAAAAAAAAAAGCGATATAAGCGTGACTAAAATAGTCTTGGTCATAAATAGAAGGCGAGAAGCAAGGACAGCCAAAAGCGATAGGGAAAGGAAATGATCAACTGCGAACATCATATCATACTATAGCGTTTCGTGCTTATCGGGTCGCTGAGAGGTACGGTTGAGCTCCTCGCTTCGTGGAAAAGTAGGGCCTGGCTCCCCGTCGCTCTCTTCGTTCAACTCAGATAAGCCGAAAGCCTGGTTCTCGACATCATAGGCGCGAATCAGTCCTTCGCGATCTGCATTCCCGTTCATATACGCGAAACTCGAAGAACTTCGACGATGCGGCTCGTTACTGCGGCGAGATTGCATAGACCGTCGCGTTTGGAAGCCAGCAATCCCATCCGTGGGAACTCCTTCATCGTCAAGCTTGTAATTAAGCATCTGCCGCCCGTCTGGATCATGTCGAGAAAGGTTCAGCAGGTAAACACCGGCAAAGATAGTTAGGAAGCCGCAAAGCAACGAAATAGTGTTCACAGCATCGCTAGTGTTAAAGCCCTTGAATAGAATGAATGAAGCACATAGCGTAGCGGTCGTAAACGTGACATAATATAGCGGATTGACACTACAAACACTCATCGTTAGCGTATGCTTTAAGCACTACATTCGTGTTAAGTCCCACTTACATCGACGTGGAGAACTGATTAAGTGCTTTGTTGAAGTAGTTCATTTGTGTCAAGATACAGAAGCCTGTGACAATCATGAACACATATGTCGATGCCTGAGTGAATTGGTTGTTTCCTCCAAGTGTCAGCTTCACCGCAATGCCGAATGCCTTGACCGACATGACCGAAACAGAACCAACGGTGGAACAGATCGAGATGTAAATCAACGGATTCTTCTTGCCGTAAACGGGCGCAACTCGGTAGATCATGACGGTGGAGAAAATTGCGACAGCGAGGCAGTAGATGAGGAAGCCTGCGGAGAAGAGCGAGGTCAGCTAGAAGCAGCTAGATGAGCTTTTGGTTTAACGTACCTGGTTGCAGCGCATAGCTCAAGATTTCATCGATTCTTTCAACTGGTTTGTCTGGGGGCGCATGGAGGACAATCACAACTGAGCCAAGCAGGCACATGGCGCACCCCAATTTACCTAGAACCCCTAATCGTTCCTTGAGAAAATAAGAGCCGAGGACAGCACTGCATAATGTTAGTCTTAGGAACACGGTACCAGCAGCCCAACTTGCAACTGAAAGTTTCAAGGCGTACCCGATAAGGACACTCAGCGCACCCAAAGGCGTAACCAGGATGGCAGGCGCGAAAGCATAGGCCGCAAAGTTCGCAATTTCACCCATTGCCACTATCATTTCAAGTCAGCTTGTCCCTTCGCAGCAACAGCGGATGCATGACAGCGTCGCATACAAGTAATGACTCCACCCCACCATATAGGACTTTTCAAATATGAAAAGCCTTCTCCTTCAAAACCATGTCTTTCCGAAGCCTGCATTAAGCCCTGTAATAATCAATTAACCCATTGTTCTGTACAAAAGCGTGGTCGACGCGCGGAGAGGAGTGTGATTGCTGGCCGGGAGTTCAGATGGTAGACGAACCTTCTTCGTGATGACGAAACTTGTACCTGGGCCATTGTTAGTCTCAGCCGGAGAGAGTCGCAAGGAAGAATGCTCATACCAATTGCCATTGTTGACACAATGGCCAGAATAAGGCCAACATATCTGCAAAGCACCAGCACATCAGAAGACTGTGCTGGACAATGGCCACCAGGCCAGAGTGAGTAGGACATACTTATCAGAGATCATATTGACGACGGATGAGGAGCTGCTTGCTCCCTCGGAATAAGAACGCCAATGCCTGATTTTGATCTTGTGAGGTTGTCGGCGGATGTATAATGTCGAGTTGGAATTGGGTGGAGGAATGGATGCACAATGGGGGAGGCAGAAGTGGATGCTGGGTCGGGTTCGGTGGATGACTACCTCAGCCAAGCATTCGGAGAGTGCGCCGACAGTGACCGACGGAGTTGAGAAGCACAACCCAAGCGCAAAGAATGAAAGTCAAAGTAGCAGAAAATGAAGACAAAAAGCAGTGGCAGAAAGGAGTGTAAGCCAAGCCACGGGTAAGATTACTGCAGCCTTGGGGATGCGACCGATGGCTTTTGCGAGGGTCGAGAACTCCTGCGATCGGAGACGAGGAGAGCTTGTTGGTGATCCTAGAGGCTGGCTGCCTGCGCTCGTGCGGTGGGGTTTTTTTCCCCTTCAAACGGATCCGGGCCGGATCTGGGACGCGCGTTAATAGTAGTGGTAGTGAGTAGGTGCAAGCGAGTGACTGGCGGCAATGAGTCTCCTAATTCTGTTTCAGAATCGGCGACTCTCTAGAAACGAATAGATAGATGGAAGTGGTGCAAAAGGTGATGATGGAAGTAGAAAGAGAATCCCAAGAACAGAGGGTACGAAGAGGAAAGAAAGGAAGAACCAGATGATGATCGGAGATGCGACAGCCGTGTCCTCCTCGGTTGCCAGAGCACTTCTTTATTATGGATGGCGGGCAGCAAGTAACCTTAGTAGTAGTATTTAGTTAGTAGTAGTAATAAAGTAATAAGTAAAGTAGTAAGTAAAGTACAGATCTGTACTGTATACGTACCACCTTTCCCACCAAAGACAGACAGTCCTTACCTAAGCCGACCCCAATGAAATGAACCTTAACCGCAAAGAGTTAAAGGCATTGCATGCATGCAACAATGCCACAAATGAATGCACTTGTTCAACTTATGAACTATGAACAGTATGAAACTGTATACGTCGCTTGTCATGCAAAGAAAGCTTGAGAAGTGATTCAGTTACTATTGAATGAATAGCATGTAGAATTCAATTGCCTAATTCCCAGTTCAGCATCCGTAAGTCAACCCCAGCCGTGGGGAGGATTACTAGTTACTCCGTAGTTGCCCGCCAAATGGCCCAGGCTGGAATGTGAACCTGAAGGAAATTGAACCACAAGGTGCGGAAGGGCAACGGTGGCCATTCCACCTTTTCACCCTGACCCAATCAAGGGCTGCCAGCCACAGCTCGGCCCCCCTGTGTTGAGGCTGGTTTCAGTGCACGATCAGCAACTTGAAACAGAAATTGCCTAAGAATAGTCGGAAGTTCTTTCGCTTGTGTTGCCCCAATTTCTCGTTCGGTTACCAGTGGTAGTCTGGTACTCCCTGTCGGGGCCCGCGGGTGATGGAAGAGTACGGAGTAACTCCATCCGTCAGTTGACTACCTAGACAAGAACCGATGATATCCTACCATGCATGTTCATACGACAGTTGACTTTCACCAGCACGAGCTACCCTCCTTGGATTGTTTGCAGGTCAATCGAGTCGACTTGAAGGCAAGCTACAATCTTCTACAAAATTATTTATTCTAGTTACCAGCGCAGTTATCTACGGTAGGTTCTACGGTAAAAAAATTGAAAGAAACAACATGTTTGAATGTTTCTGGCCTCAGTTCTTAACTGAGACATAGAGTGTAGATAAACCTCCGGTCAAATAGTACCGGTTTCAATATCCATCCGAGGAAATGCGCAAGGTCATGCGACAATCTGGCGAGCGATGAAGCATATCTAGAAGGGATATTACAGCACAGCACCGGGTGCAACACATAACGGAGGAAGATGTAACCCCAGACACCAAACAAATTGCCGACTTAGGTGGTATCGCCACGAATAAACAAGGGCGGAAAGGAGTAAAGAACAAATACAAACCTGGTTTTACAACCGGGGCCAGGGATGACCCGGGCAGTAGAAGCATACTGGCATATACTCCTTGCGAAGAGAGAGAAAAGCGAGGTGAGAGCTTGAGAGATACGTACCTGATCGAGTCATATCGGTCGAGACAAAGCTTTTGGCCAGAAGCTTGGGATTTTCCGTAGAAGTTAGGGTTAGTGTTTGCTGAAGCTCGCCGTGGCTCTTATCCGTTCAACAGATGAAGAGCCTATAAACAGCACAGCCCACTGAAGCGGTTAGAGTGTGAAGTTGAGGGAAGCCCACGGAGATCGGCGACCAAGCGCGCACGATAAAAAGTGGAATTAGGGGTCCAAGGGGTCATGGCGGGCAAGGAAGTGGGTGGGAAGGGACGAATCTTATGAGGATCGGGATCGTTTAGCGTCGGGTGAGGGCGTCTCAATTAACTCAACTTCGTCTTCCGGTTCACGATGGCGTTTGGTCGACGGCTGGCTTGGTGATTTACCGGAAGCTTCATTTGTAATCTCGCCCAATTCTTCTCGAAACTCCAGATCAAGATAATCGTCGTCAAACTCCAAATTATCCTCCGTGTTATGGCTGGCGGTCACGGACGGAACGTGCTCGGTCTCGTTTTCGAAATCTCCAAGATCGTCAAACTCATCTGCATGGGAGACTTCTTTTTCCTCGTCGTTATGATCTTCGTTGGAGTTTTCCAGTAGGTTATCATCAACACCAATCGCATCTTCTGCTAGATTCAAAGTAGGCTCAGTATTGAGATCTCCATCCTGTGAGACTTCGTTTAAGTCGACTTCTGGATCTTGATGCGATGCGGAAGCATCATTACCATGCGATGACATTCGCTCAAAGTTCTCGTGACTTTCCAAAGCTGCAGTAGATTTTTCAGAAAGCTGAATAGCATCCTGTTCATCGAGGGATCGTTCCTGATCAGCTTCCTGCAGCTCAACTCCGGAAGTGCCATCGTAGAGGTTAACAGGAGCTTCTTCTACATTTTCGCCAGTCTCATGCTGGTCAGCCTCTTCTGACGCGTCAAAGTCTTCGAGACGGGCGTTTTCCTCAGCATATGATCCGTCAATATCATCACCGTTACTGTCGTGATAATCGTATTGATCCTCGTCAGGCTGATCGCCGACGACACTGGTAGACTCGCCAGCTGTGTGGCCCTCGTCCGCAATCTCAGCCGGTGGTAGCTGAGTAATCGTGGCACTCGATTCGCTCTGCTCCTCGTAATGATATGACTGTTCATTCGAGTGTTCAAAGTCTGCTGCGTGACCTTCAGTTTCAGCCTCGAACTGAGCTTCGACAGCCTTATCCGCAAGTTCTTCTTCAAATGTATCGTTGTCACGATTATCAGTCGGAGGTTTAACTTCCAACTGAGGACTATGTTCGGTTTCGTTCTCATCGTCATGCTTATCATGGTCTTGTTGGGAAATAGAAGCGGCTCCAGAAAGCTCGATTCCGGCGTTTTCGTCTTTCTTAGTTTCAGAGGCGTGTTCTTCTTCCTGTGGCAGATCAGAGTAAGGTTCCTCGTCAAGACCAACATATAATTGTGCGGAGACAGCTTCAGCCTCTGCATAACTATCCCAAGCAAGAACATCGGTAAGTCCCTTCCCTTCGTTGGCTGCGGCTAGAAGCTCTGAAAGTTCGGCGGAAAGTGTTAGTCGTGTGCTAAGCGAGAGATACAGAGGCTCTGGTTCATTGATGCCCTCATTGTGGCATAAACGCAAGTACAGGTCAACTATCTGAGATAGTGTGATCTTGTCAATGTGCATAGAATCCTAATTGTCGAGTTGAATTAGCATCTGTGTTATAAGAGGGGTAGACCAGGCATACCTCGACAAGCTGGAGATTCAAGGCATCAACATCCATAATGAGCACCTCCTTTTCGCTGACATGCTCCTTGAGCACATCACGGCATGCTCCAAGGAGTTTCGCAAATGAACCATATGCGAGACTTTCGTCTTCTAAGAAGAACGTCTCCGAAGAATCGCCCTCTCTAGGGGGGAAAAGGGAGATCTCGGTCTCTTGGTAATATACCTTTACTGGATACAGAGCTTCATGCTCTGTCACATCGACTCCTTGCTCAGCCAGTTGTTGAACGTCTTGACTAGGCGTGGCGTTGGCGTCTGCCTCTTCCACATCTTCCCCCTCGGCTTTGTCACCATCCTGATGCTCAACTTCATTTTCGAGATCCCGCTCCTCCTCGACCGCTACTTCCTCCCGTGATTCTCCTTCAACATTACTTGTGAGGGGCTGAGCTTCTAGATTACTTTCCTGTGCTTGAACCTGGGGCGACTGGTCCGCATTGGCAACCTGTTGATCGGATCGTGCGGAGTCCGCAATCCCATGCTCTGCTTCATTGGTGTCAATATGACCTTTTTCAACTTCTCTATCTTCGACCTGATCCGCAGCGGGCTCTCGGAGGTTCTCCGGTTCAGGCTGGGTATCATCCTGGTGGCTCGTAAGGACCTCGGCTTCCTGTTCTGTGTTGGGCTCCTTGTAAAGTTGCTCGCGAGACCCTTCATGTCCGTCTGAAGCGGGTTTTCCATCGGATGGACCTTGGTGCTGTTCCGCTTGGTCATTAGTGGGTTCAAGAGATGGCTGAGCTTCGACGTCTGTCACGGGAGCATCGACATCCTCGTCATAGTCGTCTTCTAGCATCTCTGCTTCATAAACGCGATCTGACCCGTACTGCATTTCAATGTTGTATCCTTCGTCGGCGAAAGCGTCTTCGGCATCAGCCATCGTCCGTTCGGCAATATCATCGGTCATATCGGCATCGCGAGCAGCTCCTTGGTCATGATCGACTTCGCTTATAGACTCCTGAAAGTCGTCCGCCAGCATCATATCCTTATCTGTTGTCGAAACTTGGTCTTCCATGATGTCGATATCAATGTCGAAATCGTCGATGTGGCCCTGATAGGGAGACGCCATTTCCATTTTGTCCTCAGCCAGAGTAGCCTCCATTGTAAATAATGCCAGTGAAGAGGCAGTTGTCATGGCATGGAATCGGTCAATAGTATAAGACGTGTGCAGATTTCGGCGTGGCGATTCGGTTACGCCTAATGAGCAGCCCAAGCGCAAAGTTGGCGGAGTTGTTCTGGCCGCCAGACAAGAGGTCCACCTATCCTTCAAGATTAAAGTATTAAGTAAGCCACTTACTCAATAGTGGTCGGCTCTTTCGAGAGTGAGCAACAAGATCGTGAAGATTGAGGGGAGGGAAGAGGTGATGTTCTACTACGGAGTTGCAAGCGGACGAAGCTTCTTGTGCTGCGGTAAGCGAGGGGGTAGCGCGGGTGCACGGGCCAACGGGGACAAAGAGAACAGCAAGCGACTCCGACCTCCGTGGCTTCGACGTCTAGACACGCCTAACAAGAACACTCGTCACCTGGAATCACGGGGCAGCTTGTCGAAGGCTTTACACTCAATTCGTGAATCCATAAACCACAAACATGGTATGGTACTATTTTAATGGGTCGAAGCATCGCTGTCTCACCTCCTAACCTCGCACAAACATTAGGTCGTCCTCGCAGCGTCGATATGCACCCGCGGGGGCAAGGCAGTTCTCTCGCGTCAATTCAGAGAAATTGCTCGCTCCAGAATTGAAGCTCTACTCGCATCCTTCCCTAAGCTAGCTGACTCCGGGACCCAACACACCACCGTCGAGCAAGACAATGTCCGCTTTGTCTACCAGCCCCTAGATGAGCTATACATCGTTCTCATCACCAACCGCCAGTCCAACATCCTGCAAGATATCGACAGCCTACACCTCTTCGCCCAGGTCACCACCAGCATCTGCAAGAGCTTGGACGAAAGAGAGATTGTGCGCAATGCATTCGAACTGCTCAGTGCTTATGATGAACTGGTGACGCTAGGGTACAGAGAGAACCTATCGCTGTCTCAGATCAAGACATTTTTGGAAATGGAGAGTCACGAGGAGAGGATCCAGGAAATTATCGAGAGGGTACAGCCCAGCAGTATGCACTCGACCCGAACGTTGCTGATGTCGCCTCTTAGAACAAAGAACTCGAAGCCAGTGAGGAGCGCAAGAGGAAGGCCAAGCAGCTGGAAATGCAACGAAAGGAGGCCGCCCGGAGCGGTCGTTCTATGGCCCCTCGAACTCCGTCTTACCCTGTCTATACCCCTCCTTCCCGCCCTGCTGTGCCTGAAGGCTACGACACCTACGAGGCAGAGAAGAAGAAGACCTTCGCCAAGTATGTCATACTCTGTCCCTCCCGCCTCATTGCCCCTTCTCCCAAACACAATCGCCGCTGACACTTACTGTCTTTACTTTCTTTAGGCCATTACCTGTCCGAGGCAAGGGCATGCAGCTTGGCAAGAAGTCGAAAACTACAGATATCTACGAGAAAGTCCGTGGCGACTTGGGCCCCGAGGCGGAAGAGGCCACTCCATTGGTGACCCCGCAAGCTTCTACCCCCGTCGTCGATACAGTGTCATCCGCTCGTGCTTCGCTATCTGGGGATCGCGAACCCGTGCATGTGACCGTCGCAGAAACCATCTCCGCTACACTTACCCGCGAAGGTGCCCTCAGATCCTTCGAAGTCAAGGGTGATTTACAGCTACGCATCACCGACCCGGCTTTCACCAAGGTCAGACTCGATCTCCTCGCAAATCCTACGCACGGCGCGCAATTCCGCACCCATCCAAATGTTGACAAGGCTGTCTTCACAAACGACTCTGCCATCCAACTCAAAGACATCACCAAGCGATTCCCAGCCAACAACTCGATTGGCGTTCTGCGCTGGCGTGTTGCCAGCTCGGGATCTGACAGCCCAGACATTCTTCCCATCACCTTCACCGTGTGGGTCAACAGGGGCTCCGACTCAACCACGGTGACGGTCGAGTATGAATTCACTGGCTCTGACAGTCTCCGGGATGTTGTTGTCACCATTCCATATCAGACGGCCGAGCCCGCAGTGTCTAGCTTCGATGCTGTCTATGAGGTATCTGGTGACAGTCTTGACTGGAACATTGGCACTGTAGATGAGAGCAACGCATCGGGAAGCTTCGAGTTCGAGTCAGGTGGCGATGGTGATGAGAATGAGTTCTTCCCAATGAGCGTACGCTTCTCCAAAACCAGTCCTTTCGTTGAAGTCGATGTCACCGAGGTCTCTCTCTTGGAAATGGAAGGAGAAAGCACCGCATTCACCAAGGACATCAAGTGTGTTGCGGACAAATTCTTTATTGAGTAATCGTTCTGTTCCAGTCGGGTGTATAGAGTATTAATGACGTTCGGATTGCGCTTTGTTCCATTCTACAAGACACTTTGCAGCTTTTTGTTTGTTCTTCTGAACTAGGATTTCTATTACTCAAATCTCCGGATCCTCTAGAATCATAATTAGAAAAGAGTTCCCGCCTAAGGTAGTCAGCCAGGCGGAATCTCGATGAACGGCAGGATATCGGCCTCCACCAAAGGCGGAAATAGATAGCAGAACAACTAACCAGCTACCGGCCACCAACACTGGGATATTACTATAATGACGGAGGCGGTGAACACGTCGGTGAAAGGACTTAATCATGAGAACTACATTTTCATAATGGCGGCTATTGCCTGCCGTACTCTGATTTGCGTTATGCCCCTCGCACCATGTCAGAAAGTTCTGGATACTCAAATCCGCCTACGCGTCGATCTACAAAGGCCTGGGCCGGGTTATGGGTCAGGCTTGGCGTTGCTGCGTACGCTGACCGTGGCTGGATATACTGGCAGCGAATGTCGATGCTCGACGAACTTCAGGCCATGGATACCATCGGAGACACGGCACGCTATAATAACATCTCCGCTTCTCTGTTGCGCTTGTGCTAAGTTAACCGATTACCCACTCATCTAAGCTGATGAGCTGGCTATGAGCTCCGGCCAAACCAGGCAAGTCAGGTGTGATCCACCGGTAGAGGAAGTTTAAATGACTTTAATTCCATCGGCATTCCCTGACTCCGTTCAGGTACTATGCAGCTTTTTACTTCCAAACCTAGGACCCATCTGAGCTTCTGAAGCACCCCTGTGACTGATATCTCTGTCCTATCACAAGGCTAATCCATGGATAATCAAGTAGGGTCAAAGGAAGACAAGGCAGAGGCTTATTTCTAAGTTAGTGGTTATTTTTGAGTCAGCGATCCATCCAGCGCGGTATTACAGACATCATAACCACCTTCTTCACAGTCAACTGCATAAGTTATGAGCAACACCCACGGAGAACAGGGTCGCTATACCGTGGCGCGCTCATGGGAACCTGAAGCTTACATGCGTAGCTTCAACAGCTATCAGGCCATAGGAACTTAAAATACCTCAACGGTCAAGGGTGGCGAAACATAGCTACTACCTAGTAGCTGATGCATGGTGAGAGAATATCCACCACCACAACTTTAAACCTGGCGTCTAAGGGGTTTGACATATCCGCTTACCACGCAGACTGGTCCGTCATCAGCGTCTTTGGGATTGACCGTCTTTTCCCAAGGATTGTAAAATTTTGCCCGCAGTGTGCGTTGGTAACGTGCCTTGTCAGGGTCTGTCAGCTCCCACTGCAAGAAATCAGAGATTACATGCTGATCAATGCAACTCCTCCAGGGTCTTAAGCATTTGGAGCTCAGAAGAAGGTTGACAGACTTTCAGTTACGCTGCTGAGCCGCTCCAATCCACGGTTCCTTCCCTATACTTCGAGTGCGCGTCTCTCCGCATGCCGAGAAAATAGCGATGTTTTGCTACCGATTATTGCAGAGAAAAGATGGAGACCCGGTCTCGCCCGTCCATAATTCTTTGTCAAAGCTGGGTTTACTCCAGTTAACAATAAAAGAAGAAGAAGACAGGGTTACATTCGAAACTCCCCACATAACGCTATCGCATCAAAGCCCGCTCGAGAAAGTTTGCTACCAAGCAGTGAACTTAAAACTGCAAGAGGGTGTACCTTCTTCTGGCTCATTTCACACCTTGGTTATGGATCCGCTGCACCCAGACCCTCGACTGATGAAGAGTCGTCAGGCAGGCAGCAGGAGAGAGATATTTCGAGGCTCGTCCCAGCTTTGAAGGAAGAGTGGGCCACGCATCCACACAGTCATAGGATGCTCGAGCGACGCAACCAAAGTTGGCCGAGACTCTGCATTCTCTATTTCCGCAGACCAGACTTGACTCAGGCTGAACTCGGCCAGGAACCCCTTGTACAAGACCATTACATTACTCAAACCACGGCAGTGCCTTCCATTTGGTTGCGAACCTCACGACATAAGGGACCATATGACATCAATATGAGCCACCATCTTGACTCGATCGCACCGATTTCTCTAGGATTATGGATAATATAGAACGTACCCCTATCATTATCGACTTGTCTGACTACAAAGATTCTTTTCACAATCAAGATGCCCCGGAAGATGCAGTTATCAAACTGGCCAGATTCATCAACGTCAGCCTTGTTACAGATTACTTCGTCTGAGGCAAGGGTACACAGTAATGGAGTAAGTTATCCATGACACTTGGTAATTACATCATCTGAACCCCGCTAACGTTGTCATTTCCTCCAGGATAACCCAGTTCATCCTATTCTGAGGCCCACTAGGGATCTCTCTGGTATCCGAAAAATGGCTATTCCGAGGTTGGCTGAAGGGAAAGAAGCAGTGCACTCCGCTCGAGCTCACCGTCGCCACGTTAGTCGAGCTTGCGAATCATGCAGGCAGAGGAAAACAAAATGCACGGGGGACCGGTCTGGCTGCCGCAACTGCAAGGACTCTGGCATCATCTGTTGCTATACGGATGGTAAACGAGAGAAATCGAAAAGGTACGTATGGTCTGTACACCAGCGCACCCCTTGAACCCTCAGACATTGACACTGACGGTGTTGGAAAGGCAAATGGCTAGCTTGGAAAACAAGATAAATACCTACGAGGACATCATACACAAATTAGGCCTTCGCTTTGGCTTGTCCGAAGAGCAACTGTTGAACTTGGCTTTGGCGGAGGTATGCCAGATGACTTTGTCTCTCCACTTTGTGCTGGAAGCTTTCCCTGACCTCCTTTCAGGAAGATCCGTCCGATTATGCCTCCTCACACGACGGCTTTTTGAGTCCCAATCCCGATCCTCGGAGGCAAATCTCGGCATCGGAAGCTATTGCGCCTTTGTTTTTCCCAGGATTTGATAGCAATCTAGATCATATAGAAAAGGATTTCAACCGGGATGAGGCAACGCAAGCTTCTGGCTTTGTTGGGCAAAGCTCAGAAATATCTTGGTTACAGACCCTGGCGACAGAGTTGGGAAATGAATGCAATCCCAGCAGCTTCAGTGGAAAGGAGCCACCTCCCGCGACAGCTCCCGGTCACCACACTCGCTTCATATCATTCCCGAACTACCATCTAGACGCAATGGAGATTCCCATGATCGAAAACATCGATCCGTATTCATATCCATGCAAGGATGTTGCTACAAAGCTCTACAAGACATACCTTGATTGGGTACACCCCTCGTTTCCGATAATTGGCACCGCGTATTTCGGGGGACAATTTCAGGCTTTCTTCACAAACCCATCCTTACAGCCCGGAAGCCGTTGGCTAGCGATACTCAACCTGATCTTTGCCATTGCTGCGAAGTATGCTTATATCTCCGAGGCTGAATGGCAGATCGACAAGGATGCACATATTGTGTACTTCCTCAGGGCCAAAGCCCTAGGCTTAGAGCATCAGCTCCTGGCTTTCCCTGACCTACAGCAGCTCCAGGTTGAAGGTCTAACTTCTCTGTACCTGCTGACGCTGGGTCATGCGAATCGGTATGTCTACCAGTCTATCAATGCTTTGGCTCTTTGCTCACGGTTAACAATGAAAAAAGCGCTTGGACATTCTGTGGGAGTGCTATCCGTGGGGCCTTAGGCCTTGGACTACATCTACGCAATCTTGCAGAGGGCATCTCCGATACTTCCAAAGAGATCAGATATCGCTTATGGTGGTCTTTATATACGCTTGACCTGCGTCTCAGTATGATGACCGGGCGTCCTTCTTTCATCAACGATAGCCTTTGTACAACGCCTCTGCCAGTTCCATTTGATGAACAGGACTTCGGAAAAGAGGGTGTTATCTCGCAGCTTAGACGCTCGTATGAGCGTAGCCCCCTTTCAAGCGAGTCGCCGCCTGTTGCTCATGCAGAAATAAGTTTGAGAAGCACGGCGGCCGACATACCGGCGGATGCGGAAGAGAACATCCATTCTCCCTGCGGGTCATCATACTTCGTTCATTTCGTGCAGTTGACGATGATTGCAAAAGAATCTCTAAGCAAGCTTTACAACCCAAGCACAATTCGAAAATCTTGGCAAAGCATCGAGCTCGCCATTCGCAGCCTCACGCTCACACTCGACGCGTGGCTCAAAAATTTGCCCAAGGAATATGATTTTACCGTCACCCAGTCTTCGCATGTGTCGCAGGCAACCTCGAACCAGAGGCTCAGTCTGGCTCTTCTGTTTCATAGCACAAAAATGAGCATCACACGACCATGCCTTCGTCGTGTAGCGTCACCCATTCCGGAGGACAAAGTGCATGAATTCGGCCGGAAAGCGGCGGAAGAATGCGTTGAATCAGCTTTCCACATGCTAAGGCTATTCCCCGAAGACCTGAGAGCTGCAACGCTGTATACAGTGTCACCTTGGTGGTGTTTATTGCATTTCTTGATGCAAGCGACGGCGGTGCTCGCCCTTGAGCTAGCTTTTCAGGCTCAGCATGTACGGGACAAAGCGCCCATGGTATCTAATGCTCTTGGCAAAGCGTATGAATGGCTGTCTTTGATGTCAAGAACGCAAAGGGCTCCGGAAAGAGCCCGTGGACTCTGCGATCAGCTCTTGCATCATCTCAAACGAAGGGAAAATCTCAAGGTCTCAGAGTCTCCCTCCGTGCAGCTGACCAGTCTCGAGTCACCTGTGGATACCCCCCCTGTCTCATTGCCAGTAAGAACAAGAGAGAGCTCGGCGGATTCTGACCCTTCACTTGGTGTAATGAAAGTCGACGTTCAGGCGTCACCAGTACTGACTGGCGATATGAACTACCCGCCAACCCATCTTCTTGCGGCGGCAGGCGACCTTCTAACGCAGAGTGAAAACTCACTGGGAATGTCAAGCAATTACGAAGACATCTTCCCGTATGACACAGGCAGTGATCAGCTGACGGGCTCTTTCTTTCCCAATGAGTATGTAATGGACGTGGATTCGAGTGGCTTCTACCACTTCTGACCGATCCATCCGATCCTCGACATCGGTGAAGGTATGGTTTCAGGGATCGAGCTTTCAAAAAGCCGTGTTTGTGTCGCTTTTGGTCTTCATAGCTTGTTTTTGCTTCAGCATCTGCAAATGGCTACTTTGTTTTCAGGCATGTCGAGAGAAAAGCATGTTCAGAGAAAAGCATGTCAGTTTCTGGAATCGGAGAGTGGATTCCAGTCCGTAATCTATCCTTTTTATGCACCATATCCAGCATCTTGGAGAGAACTGTACGTCTATAAGAGACGTTATCAGTCTCTTTGGATACTGATCAAACAATTCCATTATATAAACGAGCGTAGGTGGCGATATTCATAATGGCGCCGAAGTAGTTGTATACTGTACACACGCTAAATAACAGTCGGTTCATTGTGCCCGATTAGTCATTCCGATACATGATGCACTAGTCAGTCAACGAACCCCATCCACGCAACAGTGCTTCGTTCCTTTTTTTGAATACTCATCACGTTTCGCCTCCTGATAAGAACCCTTCTGTGATCTGCTGTTAAGGCAAGCATGGGCAGCAGACGATAATTCTTGGTGAATTCTAGGCACATATCTGTTAGTGTCTCAAAAGAGCATGCAGTGTCCATGATCCAACCAATGGCACTCCCCACTTTCAAAGCCTATACAAGTGTGTGCATCTACCTCATATCAAATGCGCAATTGTGTCTATGAACTGTGAGACTTGCTATGACAGTAGCCTGAAAGCGATCTGAGGCTTAACGTATCTGGAGGCTGGTATATCCAGCGCACAACTCAGCCATCTACCAACATGGATCCAAGTCACGCCTCGTTGGAGGCATCGACACGATCGGCCTTCGATAGTCTGTCACTGCAAGACTCCAGAGGCATCAAGCAGACTCCTGATGGGTCTATAAGGCTCTCTACAGTGGATAGCGGATTGTCGCAATTCAAAAAAGCTTCCCCGGCCATGAAAACCATTCTTCGAACGGGGGACATCGCCGTTGAATACCTGGACTCCGAGCCAGCGGCTGTTCCCAATCGTTGGCGAGTGTCCAGCAATGACCTCATGCGCAATAGCCCCTACTTCAGGGCTCTGCTGGACCCGAACAAGTTCGCCGAAGGCAGGGATTTCATGAATCAGAAGATCCAGAGACAGCGTCTGCCCTCCCAATCAGCGCCTGAAGGCCTCTCTCCCGACGACGACAACGACCCGGCTTTTATCGCCGATGAGTTACCGGTCGTCAGACTTCCAAGCGATCATTTCACCTCTCGGCTCGGGACGGATGCGATTGAGCTCTTCCTCGAAGTTCTGTCCTTCGACTCATATGACGACGAGCACCAGAGGTTGTTTGGCGCCAGACTCAGAGTGCAGCCTGTATCCCTTGTCACAAGACTCGTGGAACTCGCCGACGCGTTCAACTCTCCGGAAGCTGTCCAGAAGGTTTTAAGGCAGTTACCTTATGCTTTTGGACGAGGAAAGATCCCGCTCACCAAGTTCGATGCCGCATTACTGCTAAAACTTCCGGAGGACCAGATCCGCCAAACGATCTTTGTAGCTCGGTTTCTGGATCAACACGCCATTGTCCAGGTCTACACCCATGCTTTGGTAGTGCTCGGGTCGAGATACTGGGCGAACGGCGTCGTTGAAACCCCGGATACCCCCACGCTCCCCTGGCGATACCTCACCGGAGGCATAGAAGGTCAGACCTCACCCTCTCGACTCCATGGCTTTCAGCGGTCGGAGACAGAATCTCCAATTTCAGAATCGCTAATGCGCAAGTGCAGAGGAACTCTACTTCCGCCGCCAATGTGTCCTCAACACAATCACCGACCTACAAGCCCACTTCCTCCGCGCCTACGGCGCTCTCGAAGAACCCACCGACGAACCCTATGGCAGCACAGCATCAACACCAGCATCCACGCCCACATCCACCAGCAGCACCGCAACAGCAACAGCCACCCCACAACCCAGACCCCCATTCTCCCTCCCCGCCACCTCCACCACCCTCCACCCGCGCCACTTCCAATGCCGCTACGGCTTCGCCAACTCCAGCGCCTGCGACGCCTTCCACCTCGGGCAAATGACGCGCTTCTTCTCCCTGCGCGCCAAGACCATCTTCTTAGGCTCAACCCTCATCGACGACCCGGACTTTCTTTCGTTGCTGGACGAGGAGAATGGGAAGGAGGAAGGGGAGGAGGAGGAGGAGAAGGATGACGCTGCGAGGGACGATCAATCTCCCAACAGAACGAACATCGTCGCCCTCCTCGCCGCCCTCAAACAATGCCCCGATTACCAGATCGACTCTAATCACACCGGCTGCGGGATTCGTCGTCGCTTCCTTCCGCCGTTGGACTGTATTGAGCGGTTCGTTGGTGACGCGCGCGGGTTGTTAGGGGTGGCAGTGGGAGATAGCTGCTCTCCTAAAAGTAGTAGAAGTTCAGGCTCGTCCGCCGCACCCGCACCCGCACCCGCACCGTCAACAAGGAGGTGGCCCTGGGGAATGTCCGAGTCCTGGGCGAATCGCTTCCGTCCCCGCGCGTTGGTCTTGGATGTGCATCTGTCGCGCGTTAATGCTGTTCCTGTCTGGTCGAAACCGCGGGCTTCTGCTAATGGTGGTGGTTGTGGTGGCGGCGGCCGGATAAGCAGCTCGCAGGAGGAGAATGCGCGGTTGTTGTTTACGGCAAGGAGGAGAAATTGGGAGGCTTAACCCAAAAACCTACTCTTCCTGGCGAGGTTATTCTAATCGACTTCCGGGCTTGGAGCCTTTTTTTGGTCTTACTGTGGCTAGGTCTTTCTGGGTAGACACTTGGAATAAACTTAGATGTTTGAATAGGGGAATGGAGTATGGGGCTTTGTTTATAAGTTGCTTTTTTGGGCGTGGGCTCTTGGGTTCGGTTTTGGAAGGAAGGAGGGGCGGTCGGGGGTGTGGGACATTTACTCCGTACTTGGTTCAACATTTCGATTCAGCTGACTACCTACCCGATATATAGAGCCAGAAACCTTGAAGTGATGTACATAGGCATTTGACACGTCCTACAGAGTACTAGTCGAACCAATCTCCCCTGTGAGACGCCAATCGCTACATGCTACAAGGTCAGTCACATACAACCCGATGTGCCATTATCACTAATATAAGTAGCCTTGAGAGTAAGCACCATAGTACCATTGTCGTCATCTATTGTAACAGGTAACAGGTTTCTGATTTAGGGATTATGCTTCTTGTAATGCCACAGGACAGATGCCAAAGAAAGAACCGGAAACAGTATGATTTTCAGGGCGCTCAACTCCGTATCCATAGGTGCAATAGTGATGCCAGCCAATAAGAAAAAGTGATGGTAGTAATATATGTATAAGGACGAGAAGTGAAGGAAAGGTAGATTATTTGGTACATGTCCAGGAGAAATGATGGTGTGTGAACGCACGGAAACATATAAAGGGAAAGTTTAAATGGAACAGATGGTGGACAGGTACGCCCTCAAGGCAGTACCACTAGAGGAATGTGCAGTATTTGGTAGCTCTTATCGGCATCTGCCTTTAGATGCAGATTTCCGCGTTCCTGTGCCGATGTCTCGCGGAGTTGCAGAGCTTTGCCAGTGATCTGGAACAATTTCGAGGCGAGCGGGTTGAGGGCGTCCAGAGATAGTGGGGTTTCAGGCAGAGGAATACCATTCTGCTGCTCTTCCTCCTCGTCTTCGTCGGCTTCGTCTAACCCTTGACCACTAACTGCGCTGAGGCGCCGGGAGATAGGCGACACCAGAGCAAACCGAGGCACAGCTTCGTCATCGTCTGATGAGTAAGGGCTCAACTGCTGCTGCTCATCGCCATAGCCGGGGACGCCCGCACCAAACAAGTCGTTTCGTTGAGACACCAGGTGCCATGGCTCTCCACAAACAAATCCGGCCACGAAATCTTGATTGGCGCGAGCAGCAGCCACACAGCTTCGGCGGTAGTCGTTGGTGAAAGAACTGGCGGTGGAGGATGGCAGACACAAGACCAGTCCGCGAGCCAAGAGTGGTGGGGGCGGGAAGTCTTCAGGGATGGTCGCGGGGCTCAAAGACCGGAACTCAAAACCACGTCGCTCATATTGGGGAGATTCCAGAGGTAGCTCAGTGGAGTCTTCGGTATGTTGAGTGATAGTCTGTGTCAGGGAGATGGTGGAAGCTTTGCGGGGAGGAAGATCGAGGCCGCTGGTGTTGTCCACGGCATACTCCGAGAGGTGCTGCGACGTCGCATTCGAGTCGTGGTCGCTGAAAGCATGATTGTTCGCGCTGTTCTCGGCGGTGATTTCGGTGCGGATGGTCTGAGCTGCATCTGCTACTGCTTCACGGGCGGCAGCCTTCAAGGTGGGAATCAGAATGTCGGCTTCCTGATTGTACACAGCCACCCCGGAGGCCCACGCCGTCGAAAGTCCGGCCCACGAGGCCGGTTTAATGATGCCTTTCGTATACTTCTTGCGAATCATATCCACAGTCTCATTCCGCCACTCTCTCGTCTCTGACTTCTGCCCGCCAACAAGGTCCACTGTGGAATTGAGGATCCGACCGCCCTCCCAGATCAAGAAGCCATGTCTCCTTGCCAGACCGATCAATTGGCGCACCGTCTCCTCCGACCAGTCATCAATGATATCTGCGTAGACCTGAAGGATTGCAATATGCGGGCCAACAAGAGCGGCCAGGTGCAGGAGAGTGTCGGTGTTGGTGACAGTATGCGAAGGCGAAACGCAGACAGGGAGTCCATAAGGCAGGTACGATTTGGATTTAACCAAGGTCTCCAGGTAGGTGACGATCCGGTTACCCGGGTGCGGAGGAGAATCCAACGACGAGTCCATCATTGTCGGTGAGTGTCAATTGCGACCTGCAGCCAAGGGAGAGATGGGATTCCGTTGGTGTGGTACTGTGCGAACACGAGAAGTGACGGACGTAATGAAATATATAGACAGCACACAAAGGGGAAGACAGGTAGATCAATTGCCAGTAGCGAAACGGACAGTCAGCCTCTCAATTCGAAAGAAGTCAGAAACACTTAGTTGATGAGTCGGGTCGTACAAGAACGCGGAGACTGGAAGGAGGGAAGGGAGGGAGGGAGGATGGAGTGGGGGTGGGAGGAAGTAGATTAGGTGTGCGAGGGGGAGAAGAAGGAGTAGTAGTAGTAGAAGAAGATTGACAGGATGGAGAGAGGAGAGAAGAGGAGAGGAGAGGAGAGCAGAAGAGAGCAGAGGAGGATAAGGTGACCAAGTTAAGTTGAGGGTGCCTTTGTTTTTTTTTTCTTTTCTGGGCCTTGAACTTTCAGGCTTTCAGGGAGCTGGGCCAACTTCCGGAGTCGTCGTAGCTCAGTGACTCCCGTTGAGCTACGGAAGAAGAGCTTCGGGGCTAAAGTGCCTCCCACCCACTCGAGTCCCTTGACTGGTCGAGATGGTCGAGACAAAATGATTGACAATCGAGTCCGATCCCCACTTGGCCTGCCAATGACCAAACTAGTCACTGGACATGATCAGTCGACAGGGGTTGAACTTGGAGGGGATATTTTCGTTTCGTTGTTTTTCCCTGAGCTGATCGGATAGTCAGAGAAGTGAATGGCTCGGATCTCCAATGTTTTAATCGGCCACAGGATGAGATAGCTGGACCATGCAGGATGAAGCATAAACCTTCTGTTTCTTGTCTACAGCCGTGGATCTGCTACATGAATGGATGAATGGGTGAATGGGTGGATGAACTCAATGAGGAGGGGGATGTGGTGGGTAGAGGAAACGAGGGGGACAGAATATGGAAAATGAGGGGATTTCCCGACTCCCCATTTTCCGATCCTCATCTGTCCGGTACCGGCTGGTTGGAGAGAAGCTTTCTTGTGTAGATCTTATAGTCAATTACTCGTAGGTAAGTTATTCATTGTTACCAATGGTCCCCATTTTCCCATTTCCACTCACATGAGCATACTGGTATGTACTCTAGTAACTAGTACTACTATGCTCTGTCACCAAGAAAAGTACTCACAGTCACAGTCACAGACTACCGACGATATGTAAAGGCCAAGTGGAGCCCTGCATTGCCCCATCATCCAGTGTCCACCAGCGAACAGGGGCCCAACCCGCTTTGTCGGAACGAGCCATCCGACTGGGTGGAACATCCTCGTCGCTACGATTCTCCAGTTCCAATTCTTCCCCCAATTTCAACTGCGGACGTTTTTATCACTCAATCTCGTCGCTTAAGCCTGCAATCTCCCTTTTCAATCCACTTTCTTCTCCCGCATTTCATTCGCGTCCCAAACACTCAGTCCAACTTTAACAATTCCCCCCCCCTCCCATCTCGCCTCCGTCGCTAACAGCTTCCTTGGTTGGGCTTGGAGGCTATTATTGAAAGGCGTACCGTAGGACAATACCAGTCGATCGCAAAACTTGGCATTCACTGAAAAGATGTGACAACCGGTCATCCGCGACCAATTCTCTCTAGCTTCATCTTGGCTGTCGATCCTACAACCCGGGGGAAGAGAGCCTCGTTCATATCATTATTAGCATCGTTAGCGAAACCATACTGACAGAAAAAGGATCCATCCATCTTTCCCGGTCATACTGCCTGGACGGAGACTCCTTCGGGCTGAGCTCAGAGCTCTCAGTGCCCCATGGTCCCATCAGCTGCTGGGCACTCTTGTGATGAGTCCTAGTGCCCTCGATTTATCTGAGCGCGTCCTCTTCCATCAGAGACGCTTTGACAATTTCCAAGGCCATGGTGCAGTTCCTGGACGAAACATGCATAGCCTTATAGATCAAGCGCATGAGAAGTGACCAGGATGCACGATTTTCCTCGCTTCATAGGCTATCGGCAACCTCGAACGCCCTAATATCGGATGGCAGGCTAAGCTAATAATTCTGACGCCTAGTCTAGTTCGTACGGGCCTTTTGTCGTCAGTTCGGAAGGCAACGCTTACGGATACACTGGCCGAGACTGGTCAGGCAAACTGGGGCGAGGAAAGATGTCTGTCGATCAGCCCATCCTCGGGATTGTTCGACGGATGTGCCCCGATCCTCCATTTCACTATCACTGCAGCGGCATTTGAATAACTTTCTACGGGACAATATTCCGTTTCCTTTGCAAGCCGCGCTACCATGCTCGATCGGTCAGTCGTAGTGCTCGGTATTGGCACAGTACTTTTGCGCTCGAATTGCAACTATTCCTGTAGGCTGTATCCAATAAGCTAAGGGGGATCAATCGAACGGTCCTAAATTAACATCGTTTAGTTCCAGCTCTTTGACAGCTTTAACTTGGGCGTGAGTTTAGCTTCCGATGCTGTTCCGATTATGGTAGATCATTGCTTCGTGTTTGGATGGTAATAGCAGTGAACACCCAACAACCAGATGGGCCATGGCAGATGGCGGCTTGCCGGTTGGCCGACTTGTGCTGCCTGATAATCGCCTCAGGCCTGAAAACCGCATTTTCAGGGGGCAGCGCCCGAAGGGGCTTAGTGCTATCCTGCATTATTGATCCCCGGGAGGAGGCGTGGATTTGAGTCTGCCGGCGAGTGCTGGTTGAATCTCCTCCTCATTCCCTGTGAAAGAAAGCAGACTCGATATCTCTCTGTTCAAATCCCGTCCGTCTCTTCTCCTGTTGCGGTACAGTTCCGGTGTGGTATACTTCATCTGTTTAGTCGATTGCGTGGTCAGCTCTGCGCTTGCCAGTGGACTACTACGAGTTTTTTTCTCCCCCGGAGTCTCGGACCCGTCGCCTTAGTCGACGCTCACGCCACTCACTTTATCATCCTTTTATATCGATTCCCACCACGACTTCTTGCTACTCGTCCAAAGGCGTTCTTCGCGTTATCTGTGCGTGTGATCATCGTCATCTGCCCATTTGCAGCCTCTCGCCTCAGTCTTTCAGTGGTATCTTTCTCCGCGCCCACCATGCCCGCAAAAGTACTTCCCGTGTTCACCCCGGCCGAAATCGAACTGCACAACAACGCCAAGTCATGCTATGTGACGCTGGGATCTAAAGTTTACGATGTCACTGAGTTCGTGGATGGTCACCCTGGTGGTGAGGACCTCGTCCTTGATTATGCTGGTAAAGACGTAACCGAGATCTTGCGCGACGAGTCATCCCACGCCCACTCCGACTCGGCCTATGAAATTCTGGAGGAGTGCCATATCGGTTTCGTGGCTTCTGAATTTGATGGAAAAGCTCGCACGGTCGATGCATCACACACACAACAAGTAGCGGATGGGTCTGGACCAGTCTATGCCTCGACCGGCATGTCCTGCGAAGAAGATCTATCCGTCGACACGGATTACAGCAGGGACTTCCAGACGCACAAGTTTCTCGACCTCAACAAGCCACTCCTCAAACAGCTCTGGTTCAGCGGCTTCAGCAAGCAATTCTACCTCGAACAAATTCATCGTCCCCGTCACTACAAGGGAGGGGAATCTGCACCCCTGTTCGGTAACTTCCTGGAGCCCTTTAGCAAGACGGCATGGTATGTCGTCCCGATAATGTGGCTTCCACCTGTCGCGTACGGCACTTTTCTCGGTTTCTCGGGCCTTGCCAATGCGCCTGCCGCTGCTGGCTACTGGGTTGGTGGGCTTTTTCTATGGACCCTCATCGAGTATTTGATGCATCGATTCCTGTTCCACATCGACAGGTATGTCTGTCCTGGTTTGACATACATTTGCAACTGTTCAACAGCGCTAACAGATGTAGCTATCTCCCTGACAACCGGGTTGGTCTGACTCTCCATTTCTTGCTCCATGGTATTCATCACTACTTGCCAATGGATAAGTATCGCCTGGTCATGCCTCCGGCTCTTTTCATCGTACTGGCGACCCCGTTCTGGAAGCTTGCCCACGCTGTCTTCTTTTATAATTGGTATGCGGCCTTGACGGTATACTGCGGCGGTGTTTTCGGCTACATCTGCTACGATATGACCCACTACTTTCTCCACCACCGCAAGTAAGTAATCCGACTCTCTTCGTATGCTAGACCTTTTCGCTGATCTGTCCTACCACCAGCCTTCCCATGTACTACAAGCAGCTCAAGAAGTATCATCTTCAGCACCACTTCGCAGACTTTGATAATGGCTTTGGTGTCACCAGCCGCTTCTGGGATCAGGTGTTTGGGACGGAGCTTGAGACTCCCGCTCCTAAGGATGTGAAGACTCAGTGAATCTTTCACTGCGGTATACTTTAGGAATGGCTGGCCCTCTCGTCACTAGGCTCTGATACGAGCCTTTTGCCTCTCCTTATTGATTCTGTGAGGTACAAAATCATGCCGTGGCCGTGAGTGCCGGGCCCTAATGCTGCTGTGCTTAGGAGTTTGGTTGCTTTTGGTTTGCATCACTTTGTTTCGTGTACAGGCTTGCCAGGGCCCAACAGGGTATCGGAAAATGTCTTCCTTTGAGGCGAACCACCGTGACTCCTAGGTTGAAAGGCCGTATGGTATTATTACCTAGATTTTTTTACGATTGTATATGATAACCTAATACATAATTACTGACAATCTCAACGTGTTTGCCTGACGCAATGTTCTGAGGAAGTGGGTCAGAGATGTGATGTGTATCTAGACTTGTTCATAGATATTTAACTAGGTTAGAATGCCTCAATGCATTCATCCATGGTTTACTTGAAGAGAGAAAAAGTCAAAAAGTGGACGGCAAATGCCAAGGATCACGTGATGGTTAGACATCAGCCAGCGGAACATTAATGGGTAACTTATTTTCGCCTCAACCTTGTCATCACCGCATTAACACCCCAACCTCTCTCTTACTGTACAACCCCTCTGCGAGTCAGTCATTGAGTGTGGTTATTGAACGACAAAATTTCTACTCAACTGGACGCAGATTTCATCTGCAGGGATCAGTGGGATAAAAACTTTGAAGGGTTCGCTCAAGCCACGGCCGATTCACCTGTTGCGCTCTAACGCAAGCCGAAAGTGATCATAATCCTCTCCGCACGGTTTTCCACCGTTTCCTATCAAACACACCACAGAAAAACATTTTGTCATAAAAGGGACAACCGCGTATCCGCCGTTACCCCAACCATGTCCGGTCTCGACGTTGAAGCTCTCCTCGAGTCGACGGCTGCCCCGACGCCACAGGAACAACCCCCACGTTCTCAGGACAACGATGACCGATCCACCAAGGCTGATCACAGCAGCGAGCGTCGCGACCGCGATCGCTCGCGTGAGAACAAGGACCGCAAGCGGCGGGACCGCAGTCGCGGCGACCGACGTCGTTCGCGCGACGGAGACGGAGACGAAGAAATGAAGAGCCCGAGAAGCGAACATGGCAGTGCTAACGGAAGCCATAGAAGCAGAAAGAGGAGCAGGAGCCGCGACAGCGAGCGCCGTCGCTCTCGCCGTGATCGGGACCGTCACGGTGATGACTACCGCTCCTCCGGTGGCGACTTCTACCGCGGTGGTGGTCGGGCTCGTACCCGGTCGAGATCCCCCTATGATGACCGCTACTACCGTCCGTCGGGCCGTTCCCGTCGTGACGAGCGCGACGAGGAGCGTCGGTCTTCTCGCCGCGAGCGAGAGGGTGGTGGTCGCAGGCGCAGCCCGAGTCCGAGAAGTCGCGATCGTTCGCCAGAACTGAACGAGGACGAGCGTGATAGACGCACTATCTTTGTACAACAGCTTGCTGCTCGACTGAGGACGAAAGAGCTTATCGCCTTTTTCGAGAAGGTTGGTCCTGTCAAGGAGGCTCAGATTGTTAAGGATCGTGTCAGTGGCCGGTCCAAAGGGTAAGCTATCTCCCAGGTCCTACTCCGCGAGTGCGCCGAAAAGCTAACATTGACTCTCTATAGTGTCGGTTATGTCGAGTTTAAGAACGAAGACTCCGTTGCGCCTGCTATCCAGCTTACAGGACAGAAACTTCTAGGAATCCCCATCATCGCACAGTTGACTGAAGCGGAAAAGAACCGTCAGGCTCGCAATCCCGAAGCCAGCAGTGGCAACAACCACGCCGCCCCTTTTCACAGGTTGTACGTGGGTAACATCCATTTCAGTATCACTGAAAGTGACCTCCAGAATGTCTTCGAGCCCTTTGGCGAACTCGAGTTTGTTCAGTTGCAGAAGGATGAGACTGGTAGGAGCCGCGGTTATGGTTTCGTGCAGTAAGTCACCCATCAACGTTGCAAATACACGGTTTGCTAAATTTTTTTGTCAAGGTTCCGTGACCCCAATCAGGCTCGCGAAGCCCTCGAGAAGATGAATGGCTTTGATCTTGCTGGTCGAGCCATCCGCGTTGGCCTTGGCAACGATAAGTTCACCCCTGACTCGAACGCACAACGCACGCAGAGCCAAGGTGCAAACCAACATAACTTCCAGGGCTCGCTGTTTTCGGGTCACGGTGGACGTGGTGTTCAAGCCGGTGGTACCAACAACTTCGATCGTGCTGGAGGCCGAGATTCTGAAAAGGGAGCCGGTGCAAGTGCCCTGGATGACACAGATGTTGCCGGTGTGAACTTCAACAACTACAGTAGAGACGCATTGATGAGGAAGCTTGCAAGAACAGATGAACCTTCTGAGCCAGCTGCCGATGATCAGCAGAAAGTGCTCCGGCCTAAGACGGAAGCCAAGCCACTTCCAGTCAATGTCAACATGGCCAGCCGATGTGTCATGCTTCGCAACATGTTTGATCCCAATGAGTCAGTATGCTTTGCCTTGCTCTTTTGGCCAGTCTGCTAATACTTCATAGGGAGGAGGGCGATGCCTGGGTGAAAGAGTTGGAGGATGACGTTCGCGCTGAGTGCGAAGAGAAATATGGTCATGTCGTTCACATCTCGCTAGATCCCAACTCTCAAGGCGACATCTACCTGAAGTTCGATCGAGTTCAGGGCGGGGAGAACGCCATCAAGGGTCTCAACGGCCGCTTCTTTGGTGGCAGACAGATCACCGCCCAGCCCGTCGTCGATGCTGTCTACAGCAGTCTGTTCTCCCGAACGAAGGCCATTTAAAATCCTCTTGACGATGCCTCATCTTCCATGCATATCGACCATCGTCCAGATATGCGGGTAGGTACTTTGATCTAATAATTACACCAGGTGCAAACTTGTGACGGCAGGTCCACACTCTCATCCCCTATGAAAACTGTTGGGCTTCGCTGCGGCAATGGTGTTTGTGGCTTGGAACGACACTGCCCCTGGTAGGTGCCAGTCTCTGAACATCTTGCGTTTCTTTACAGTCATCTTTCAAGCCAGATGCTTGATGTAGAAATGATTCTGTCTCTAGGGATTTGTATATTGCGTTAGCGCCCAACAAGATCAGTAAATTCTACTTGTATCAAGTTCATGCTGTAGGTCATGTCATCCCTCAACGTGTAACAAGCGCAAGACGAGCCTCTTATCTTCCGGCTAAGGAAAAAAACTGCTTCTTACTTGTAGTATGACCAAGTCAGTACTTTTGCGCAGCGCCCAGTCTTCTCAATATGGCATGTAACTAGTCTTCATTTTCATGACATGGGTAGAAGAGAACGTCTCTTCGCTACTACGGCCTTTTCTGTGCTGGGTTGGTCCATTGCCTCCAATTGTATCAAAAGCCTGTATCATTGATTTACACCATATTGGCATATGGGGAATGCAACTGAGGGAGACTCCGGACCTTGGTCGCAGACATTGAAATTCGAGGGCGTGATGAAACTAGGCGAAGATATATCCGTCGGAATCTACATTACAGAGCCATCGGCTACCGGCATTTGAATCACATGACGAGCATGTCCGCTCAGCGTCGGGTCTAAAGCGGCAAGGAGAAGTGACTATGTACTTTCTCCATGCAGTGGTTGAAATCGAATGCAAGTCATGGAGATGTACTCGCTGGATCTTCTTTCAGGCATCGAACTTGTAAAGCGCCGGAATCTGTTACTGATAAATTGAATATCTCTATTTCCCTCGTGCAAGCCTCAATTCCCGAAGAGCCCCCAGACGTTATCCGCCCGCCCACTCGTTCCCCATCATCTTCCCTCCACCCCCCCGCGCATTCCGATCGTCCACTCATCTCTTCTTCGCTTCAATCTCTTCTCCTTACCTCCGGTGATACGTCTACAGCATTCGTCTTTGTTCTCAACCGCCAATGCTCCGTCATTCATGAGTGTGTATCCGGCCAAACGAGTCTCTGCCCGAGCCCGGGCTCTGGCCGACAGTTGTCGTAGGTTGCGCTCTTCTTTTGCCCCCAATCTTTTCTTATCTCCGAATGCCTCTCTGCACATCTTTCGAAGCTGGCGGCTCAATACCGTTGACAACATCTGCACGCACTAATATTTTCCATCCTATCAGGTCTTCTGGGGCTTTCTCGCCGTCAATATGCAAATCCATGTGTCTCCCTGACTGGATCCAAGCGACCAGAATTCCACGATTACTTTGTCACCCACCTGCCGTCGTCATCTTTACATCCCGACCCTCGAAGCCCGCTGACCCCTTTCCATAAATTGCCTCGCGCCGCGTCGGTGCCCCATACTGGCGATACATCCCATTCACCTACCACTATTCAGCCTTTGATCGACCGAGATACCACCGTCGTCCGTATCCCGCTCCGCAATGCAAAGCACCACTTTGGCGCCCACACGTCGCGAGGCCAGCGGCCGTCTAACGAGGACACATATCAGGCCGGAGTCATCGATATACCTGCCTTTGCGAAGCGCCCGCCAGCATCCCTGACGATCAAACGATTAGCGGCAGGTAATTCCGAGCCTGCACCCCGTGAAAACCGCGGTGCCGACAACGCCAGTGGAGATCCTCAAGTATTTTACTTCGGGATCTTCGACGGTCATGGCGGTGCAGAATGTAGCAACTTTTTGAAAGAAACTTTGCATGAAGCTATTCAAGATACCGCGGCCGCATTCGAGCTCCAGTCCAGTTTGCGGCGTGGATCCCAGGGGCAGATCCCCAGAGGCGCAGAGCCGTCCACTGGCGAATTGCCGATCTTCCAAAGAGGGAACTGCGAACGCGCTGCCAAGCTTGAGAAGATTCTATTGCAGAATTGGCGGACCCTCGTCGGAGGCTATTTCAAGCGGTTTGCGCCGGCTCACTTCGCGCATACGCGCAGGGAGGGTTCTTCGGGTGTTACCATCGAGGAGATCTTGGAGTATGCCTTCCTGCGTACCGATTTAGAATTCGTCTCGGCGCAGGCAGCCAAGCAGGATGATGACCCTACCCGAGTCAGCCAACCCATGTTTCAAGATGATATTTTGTACGGGCCCGAAAACGGCCCAGCGCTGAGTATAGGTGGTGCCAATCGCTTCAAGGGCGGAAGTACCGCGAGTGTGGCCCTCATTTCCACACCCACGCCAGCTCCTTTTTGGCACCCAGGAGCCCCGTCTAGTCTGCTTGTATCGCACGTCGGCGACACGCGCATCCTACTGTGCTCAACCGAAACTGGCCAAGCAATCCCCCTGACGTCTAATCACCATCCCTCGTCGCCGATAGAGGCCAGTCGACTTCGTCGCTATGCCACTAGTTTTGTTACAGATTCCTTCGGAGAGGAGCGCATGAGTGGGCTGGCCAACACGCGAGCCTTCGGGGATATGCAATCCAAGCGCATTGGCGTGTCGGCTGAGCCGGAAATTCGTCGGGTCGAGATGGGCCCGGCCGAATATTCCTTCTTGGTGTTGATGTCAGACGGCATCAGCGGCACGCTACCTGATCAGGAAGTAGTAGATATTATCAAGGAAGCCAAGACCCCAGATCAGGGAGCTCGTGATGTTGTCAGCTTCGCGACTGAAGTGACGCGCGACGGCGACAACGCTACCTGCCTTGTCGTTCGCTTAGGCGGCTGGGAACGACGACTGGAAGGAGGCTTAGGCAGCATGGGCACAAAGGAGGCGCGCGACTGGCGGCGACAGGAAGCGACCGATCCTCGGCGGTCCCGACGTTGATAAAGATGATGATGATAACCATGCTCGTAGACCTTGATAGAGCGCAGAAAGAAGATGTGGTCTTGTATATAGTTTTTTTCGATTCTGATCCGTCCGATTATTGGGTCGAGTTGGCGCAACTGGTCCAAAAGGCGGGATATTGTCTTGCTGCATCTTGTACATACACGCGCAAGTCATCATAATATCATTTGTTTTCGATTTCCTCCCTGAGCAATGTCTACGCGACTTGGTATCTTATCCCGACCGCAATGGAAGAACATATGCCCAGACCAGAATGAAGTTGCTCCCGGAGCGGAAAGGAATGTTCGTGCAGTGGCCGCAAGCAGCATCTTTAGCTTTGTATCATGAAGTACAGGAATCTCGTCCTAGGTGGTAGAATGAATGGCTGGAAAACAAAGCTCAAGATAGCTTTTCAAGAACCCCTCCTCCTTAAGGCTGGCTGAAGTTGACGGTCGCGACCGCTTATCACCGCAGCTTATCGACTGCGACCGGAGAGCCAAGTAATAACCAGAGCGGCGGACCCGACCTCATCGACCCTCTCTCCTGAACGAACAACTTTCCCCTCAACCCTCCATCCTCTCCCCACCACACTACCTTGCCCTCTTGGTGTGCCTTCTCGTTCAAGGGTGCTGCTCCATCTGAAGCTCTATCTATCTTCATCAGCACTTCAGATCGGGATCTTTTCTCGTCAAACGCAAGTATAGCAGGCGCGCGACGATAAATAGTCCGGTACGTGTGCTTCAGAGCTTTAATTCAGGAGATCAATAGATCCACGCACGAGCTTGCGGATCCATCCCCCTCGCCCTATCTTGTCGAACTTTATTGCCCTTCGTCTGGGATTCTCATCTACATTTCACTAATGCTATCTTCAAGATTTCCAGTCATTGCTCCAAGATCTTATTCTATGCCTTTCCCGCCCTCCTATTGATCGTCGTATGTACCTGGTGGAATCTCACGGAACCGAGCTCCTCTCTGTCTGACACCTTCATCCAGCGAATAGACTTACATTCAGCATTTTCCTCCACACGACAAATCTCAGATCGAAAATGAGTCCGCGCACCAGAAGCCAGAAAGCCTCCGCTGAGCTGGAAGCCACGGACCCATCACCCGCCGTCAATGGGACCCTCCAGCCTTCGTCAAAAAATGGCCCGGAAGCCGCCGCGAATGGCGAAGTACAAGAAAACGTTTTCCTATTTGCACCGAACTTGATCGGTGAGACTCTCCTACCTCCCTAGCAAAGCTTGCTTTCTGTTCTGTCTAACCCGTCTGGCTGAAACTAGGCTATGCGCGCGTGGTGTTGACAATGGCCTCGCTTTACTACATGCCCTTGCATCCGCGGACATGCTCCCTCCTCTACAGTGTCTCTTGTCTGCTGGATGCCCTGGATGGGTATGCGGCACGGTACTTCAACCAGTCGACTACCTTTGGTGCCGTGTTGGACATGGTGACGGATCGCTGCACAACGGCGTGTCTGCTGGTGTTCCTCAGCTCGGCCTGGCCCCGGTGGTCGATTGTCTTCCAGAGTCTGATTGCCTTGGATATGGCTAGTCACTACATGCACATGTACGCGACACTCAGCATGGGTGGATCCAGCCAAAGTCACAAAAAGGTCGACTCCAGCCGCAGCTGGGTCCTGTACCAGTACTACCACAGCCGGGTAATTTAGTTCCTTGCGGTCATGTTTACGTCAAGGTCAGGATACTAATGTGCGCAACAGACGGTTCTGTTCATTTGCTGCGCTCTCAATGAGCTGTTCTTCATCGGTCTCTACCTCCTGTCCTTCTCCTCGCCCACGCTCTCCCCTTCTCTTCTCCAGCACAAGGTTGGAGGCCTGGACACGACCGTTCCTCCTCCGGAGGGTTATTCCAGCCCCTGGAGTGCAGGTGCTCTTGAGCTGGCTCGTGCGAACAAGATCGACAGCTTCTGGCCTTGGGTTATCACTGGAATCTCCTTTCCGGTCATGGCTTTGAAGCAATTCATCAATGTCGTACAGCTGGTCAAAGCCAGCAAGTGGTTGGCCGAGGGTGACCTGGCCAACCGAAAGGCCCTGCGATCGGCAAAGGGCAACTGAATGGTCGGTCAACTCGGGCATCTGTGGTGCCTCCGTATGGTGCTTCTCTTCGACTCGTTCATTCCGATGCCTTCTGGCTCACTTTCTCTCCGGATGGTCTCCGGTTGGCCGGACAGTGGTCCTTGCTGGACCGGCTGTTTTATCTCTGCTTTCTTCCGTGCATGGTTCTGGTGCTCTGGTCGGGTATGTCAACTGGGGCAAATTGGCCCGGGTGTGGTCTTTCTGGTAGTTTCCTATATGTGTTGGGAGGAAATTGTGGCATATGAGTCTGTAGAGGGACTATCTTTCTCTGGACAAAAGGGTGAATGATTCTCGGCGTGTTGTTGACCTATTACCTCTACTGTTTCCGCCCCCCGCCCTCTGTTTTGTGTTTCTCGCCGTGCTTCTCATTCATACAGCTTCTTCTTCCCGTTGTCTTCTTTCGCTATTAATATTATCAACCTATTGTATTTTCTGTCCTGGTGTCCGTGTTTCACCCTCGGTCTGTTTATACCCCGGAGTAAAATTTACGACCAGCAGCTTTCGAGCTTCTAGCCGGTCTCGGCTAGCGCCGGAAATGACTCCGGTGTCGGCGCGGGGGAGGCTTTCATTTCACCCCCGCCAGATCGTATATTTATCCGCTCCTTTCTCATTCTGGCTATCTTTCTACTCTGACTCAATATCCCTTTTCCTCTTCCCGTTTCCAATTCGCCATGTCTACCTTTAACATCGTCGTTTTCGCTGGTGACCACTGCGGTCCCGAGGTAAGAGATGCCGTCCTAGTACCTCGCGCTAGGGAGCTCATAGACTGACGTATACGTGCTTGACAGGTCACCGCTGAGGCCATCAAGGTGAGCCAACCACCAATCCCGCTGGAACCGGCTTTCCAGATTCACAAGATCTACAATGGGTCTTTAAGACCGATGGTCTTCTCAACACATGCTAATTTTCGCTTCTGATAAGGTCCTTCGCGTCATTGAGAAGAAGCGTGATGATATCACCCTCAACCTTCAGGACCACCTGCTGGGCGGTGTATGTGTGATCCCCCTGACATCCTGACCATATTTGTACAGCCTCTGATCGCGAGTTTAGGCCTCCATCGACGCTACTGGCACTCCTTTGACGGATGAGGCCCTGAATGCCGCCAAGAACGCCGATGCCGTGCTTCTGGGAGCTATCGGTGGCCCTGTATGTATACCCGAGGAAGAGTCAATCTTCAAGCTGGCCATCGACTAATACACTATCTGTCACAGAAATGGGGTACTGGAGCCGTCCGTCCCGAGCAGGGTCTCCTGAAGCTCCGCAAAGAGATGGGCACCTTCGGCAACCTGCGTCCCTGCAACTTCGCCGCCCCTTCGCTGGTCGAGCACTCTCCCCTGAAGGCGGAGGTGTGCCGCGGCGTCGACTTCAACATTATCCGTGAGCTGACGGGCGGTATCTACTTCGGCGACCGCAAGGAGGACGACGGTAGCGGCTACGCCATGGACACGGAGCCCTACTCGCGCGCCGAGATCGAGCGCATCACCCGCCTCGCCGCCCACCTGGCTCTCCAGCACAACCCCCCGCTCCCCGTGTGGAGCTTGGACAAGGCCAACGTGCTAGCCACCAGCCGTCTGTGGCGCAAGACCGTCACCGAGGTCATGGCCAAGGAATTCCCCCAGCTCAAGATCGAGCACCAGCTGATCGACTCCGCCGCCATGATCATGGTCAAGAACCCCCGCCAGCTCAACGGTATTGTCGTCACCAGCAACCTGTTCGGTGACATCATCAGCGACGAGGCCAGTGTCATCCCCGGCTCGCTGGGTTTGTTGCCCAGTGCCAGTCTTAGCGGTATCCCTGATGGCAAGAGCCGTGTCAACGGTATCTACGAGCCTATCCACGGTATGTTGTACCCTCTTCTCGTCTCGTTTTTTTTTTTTCTTTTTTTTTTTCGTTCGCCTATCACTTTTTGTGTCCGCTGCTAACGAGCCCCAGGCTCCGCCCCCGACATCGCTGGAAAGGGTATCGTCAACCCCGTTGCTGCCATCCTCTCGGTGGCCATGATGATGCAGTACTCGTTCGGCCGCTTCGATGAGGCCCGCGCCATCGAGGCTGCCGTGCGCAATGTGATCGAGTCCGGTCTCCGCACCGGTGACATTGGCGGCAAGGCTACCACCAAGGAGGTCGGTGATGCTGTTGCCGCCGAGTTGGAGAAGTTGTTGTAAGAAGACATAAAAGTGTTATTGGTTTTTTTTTTTTCTTCTTTTGTTCTGCTGTATTTTGGGGGCAGTGATGCCGAATGAGATATGACCTTAAATAATACCAGAGACTCTTCAAGTTGTGTGCATTGAGGAAAGGAAAGGAAGTTCAATTAGAGAAGAATAAAGGGTATCATCTATCGAACCAACTCCAATGCGAATGCGATGCAAATGCAATTGTCCATCCTACCGGATGATCGGCTCGCCCATCCAATCCGGCTCCTCCAGGCTGGTCACCACTCCCTTGACGGCGCGTTCGGCTTCAGCCACTGCATGCTCCCGGCCAGCGCTGCCAGCTCCAAGGCCGCCCTCGGTCATCTCATCGTGCGTGCTCCCCCGCAGGGACCGACGCGCACTGTGTCGGCGCACCCGACCATCCGCCGAGGCGGACGGGGCATTAGCCAAGCGCCTGCGCTCTTCATCGCGTGCAAAGACCTGGAAGCCGCGGACATGAGTGTCCTTGCCGTTCTGATGGTTCTCGGTGACCTTCATCTGAATGACCATGGCCTTGAGCACGTTGCCCGCGTATTGGTCATTATCATCGTCGTACTCTTCGTCATCTTCCTCGTCAACCTGATCAGCCATGTACTCGCCCGCATCTTCATGCAAATCCTCGTCAGTGTCTTCGTGCTCGTGCTCGTGCTCGTCCTGATCCACCATCATCACATCATCATCATTCCCATTCCCGTCACCTAAATCCCTGCCTTTGCCCTTGTTGGCTTTTCCCGTCACCCCTGCTGCTGCTGCTGCTCCTCCTCTCCTACTAGTGATAGTACCTTTGACTCCCTTCCTCTGACTCCTGGTCCTCACCGCCCCTTTCCATCCGGACATCATCATCTTCCTCTTCCTCGTAGCTCCTGCAGCACCAGCACCCCTCCTCCTCTCCCCATACGCATGCGCATGCACCGTATTCCTCCCACCCACCCCTTCCAATTCCACATCGACCCAGCCACACGGACCCTCCCCTTCCCAGGTCGCAAACTCGACGAGATCATTGCCGCCCATGCCGGCCAGGAACACCATCTTGGTGGGCGTGTAGCTCTCATCCATCTCGAAGTCCAGGTAGACGCGGATGCGCACCACGGCGACGAGCTTGAAGAAGTGCAGGGTCAACGTGTGCGGCTGCGGGCCATCGGACTGCCAGTACTGGGTTGGGGACGGGTGGCGGAGGGCGCCGACGCCGCAACCTGGTTTGTGGGTAGAGACGGTCCATGAGGCGAGGGAGGAGATTTCGCGGAGGTTGACGGGGAGCGGGGTGGGGGATTTGTCTGTTTGAATCTGTTATTTAGCTTTGGTTTCTTGACGTAGGCTCTGAGTTGCTATACTGGAAGGCGGGTGCGGGGCCGAAGGGGTGTGTGGATAGAAACGTACCTCTCTCACCCATCATCTCCTCATCACCATCCACATCCGCGTCCGCAAGCATATCCTCATCCTCCTCCCCTTCCTCCAGCACTTCTTCGTCCTCCTCCTCATCTTCCTCAACCCCGTCATTCCCAATGACAACATCATTTTCATCATCCCCTGCAAATTCCTCGTCTTCGTCGGAAACATCCCCCGTGGGATCCTCATCCGAGAATTGACCCACCTCTCCGATCCCCCGCGGATCATGACGACGCCGCTGCCGACGGTGAGAGGGATATTGGTGGTGGTGCTGCTGCATGGAATCGTCGAGATCATCCTCCTCCTCCTCATCGTCCTCCCCCTCTTCATCCTCTTCATCCTCATGTCCCGTGCGATCATGTGGCGGATGTCCCCGATGCCGCTGGGCATCCCCGTGCCCGCGGCCGTGAACCCCTCGTCCGAACAAGGAAAACAACGCGACTTGCGCGGCCGCTGCTGCGGGGTGTTGGTGGCGCTGCTGGTGCTGCTGCTGATGTGCTTGCTGCTGCGCTTGCTGATGACTATGCAGCGGGTGGGTTGGATCGTCTATCGGGCCCGAGGAAGGATGGAGACGAGGGATGGGAAAGCCGCTGCGCGACGGCGGGGTCCGGAATTGCGAGGTCGGGGAGTCATGGTGCTGGTGAGGGGGACGAGGGTGTTGGCCAAGACGGGTGCGGTGTGTGCTGCTGCGCTGAGGTGCTGGGGGTGGTTGCTGCTGCTGCTGGCGTTGTTGGTATTGTTGATGTTGGGAATCTGTCGGGGAGGACGTGTCGGGTTGGTTGTGGTTGCGACGGAGGATATGGTGGTGGCGCGGCATGGTGGAGGGTTGTTGTTGCGCCTTGAAGCTAGGTGATAAATGCGAGTGAGTGAAAGGTGCTTAGTTTCACTGTAATGTATTCATGACTGGCTATGGCTCGCTGATAGCTGTTCTTGTTTGATTTTACGGTGCGAAGGAGGAGAAGCTGGAGCTCCTGGCGGTTTCGGGGAGACCGCGTCTAGTTATCAGTCACGTGGTTTGTGCTTATCGCTTATCGCAGTGTCTGCGATAGACAGCAAGTGTTGGTTGTTCTGGGATCTGGAGGGTGAAATTTGATGACCTTCACACGCTTCCTTGAGGGACATGATGAAATGTCTGGTAGGGTCAACTAATGCTATTTATCCGAAGCGCGTGCGTAGAGAGAAAGCCACTTTCTGCGAACCAGCTCGCATGGCACTGTAGCGTTGGTTACGGAGTTGAAGTTTCACTTGAAAACATATACTATAACACGCCAAGGCCGTGGCCCTTAGAAGAATTCTCGCTATTCAACAAAGTAGTATGATACAAAACAACTTATTACAAACGACGTAGTCTAGTGTTAGATGTCCACATAGCCAAGCTTCTCACCCATCTTGATTCGCTGCCCCTTTTCGATGGTCCAGTTCCATCCTCCTTCGCGTTTGCCCTCTTCCCAGCCGGCATCGAACGACTTGCGCGTGCCCATCGGCGCCTCAAAGACCAGCACGATCGAACTTCCCAGCTGGAAACCTCCCATCTCCTCACCTCTTTGAAGGGGATGACCTCCCAGGGTGCGACTGGCGTGACGGTATGTCGCCTCGACAAAGCCCGGGTATTGCTCGCCGCGCGCTGCGGCTTCGGCGGCCGCTTTGTCGGCAGCGGTGTCTGTGGTCAGGCTATTGGTCCGCAGCTCCGCATCAAAGTTGACCTTGATAGAGCCAACGTTGGTCGCTCCCACAGGCGTGTAGCTGAAGAAGCCCCAACGCCAACGACCCAGAAGAGCGACCCGCTCGTTCAAGGTGAACAAGCCCGGAAGATGGCGCTGCAAGTATGGCGACACCGAGAACAGTTCACCAGCGAAATGACGGCGGCTCTCCACCACCCACGGCACAGGAGAGTGGAAGCGGTGGTAGTCGCCAGGGGCCAAGTAGATCACAACATAGTACAGGGCGTGGTCGGCGGCTGCCTTCGGGGCGTACCAGGGAGTTCCATCGCCGCGGGCCAGATCAGCCTTCACCTCTTCTTCAGCACCGGCCTTGGAAGTAGTAGACGCATCCATGGAAGCCGAGCGCTTGTGTGCGCCACCGGCTTCGCCAGCGAGGAGAGTCGGCAGAGTATAGGAGATGCCGTTCATTTCGGCAAACTCCTCGTCCGCCAGCATTTTGGCTTCGTTCTTCTGGCTTGGCTCGGTCTGATGATCGGCAAAGTTCCTGTTGTGGTCCGCATGCGCAGGGGTGGCAGATCCCAGGAGGGCGTCTAAGCTATAGGTGACGCCCTTGACCTGCTCTACCTCACCCCGCTCGATAAGGCCGAATTGCAGGATCCTACCATCAGAAGGCGAGATGATAGCACGGGTATCTGGGTCCAAAGGTCGAACACCAGGCTTCAGCTGACGGTAGAAGAATGCGGCCAAGTTCGGGTAGGTGTGAAGGTCAGGTTCGGCGACCTCGTCGAGGTTGACGCCGAAAATCCAAGAGTATAATTTGAAGCCAGGAACGCGGAAATAGTAGGGTAGTTCGATTTCGTTGAAGCGACCCCAGAGGCGAGACATGGCCTTGAGCGGCAGGGTAGACATGATCTGGACCTGCCATGGTCCGCTAAGACGGTGTTTGGGACGACGGGGGCCATTTTGGAAGTCGTATGGCTCTCCAGCTGCCTCTCGTTCAGCTCGTTCCTTTTCAGCCCGCTGGGCCTTGTAGAACTGCAGCAGTCCGAGCAAGCCGATGCCCAGACCGACGGGGATGGGGTACCATTCGACTTTGGTGTTGCGGAGCGCAAAACGGAGACGGGAGCCGAAAGTGCTGCGACGAGATGGGTTTGGGTTTTCTTTGTGATTCTGTTCCTGGGACTGTTTCCAGGTCTTGGAAAAGTGACGAGCACCGGCCGGACGACGACCAGTGGCCCTCAACGACACTTCCATCAATCCAGCCCTCTCCACATGAGGGGAGACCAACACCTTCCGGCGAAGCAACGCAGAATAACTGGACAGGCACAGGGCCATAATGCGACTCTACCGAGCGAGAGTCATCCCAGAGGGGGGAAGCTATCAAACGAAGCGAGACACACGTGAAATGGCTTGTCCTTGAAAAGTAAGGTGTGAAATTAGGGATTTTCTAGTGCAGAGCAGCAGAAGCAGCAATCTTTCATTTCCTGAACGTGATCGGCAGTTGACATCTTCACCGCCCGGCAGAACAGGCCATCGCCGCCATTTGGTGCTGTGCAACATTCACCAGTTGTGTTCTCATTATCTGACAGATGTAAAGCTGCTGTTGTTGTTCACTTCGTACATTTACTTCCTTTATCATCTCTCAGTGGCTGATAAGAGCAATACTGCATTGGATACTTGTGCCAGTGCAGCAGAATCTGTTGTCTATTTTCGTGGAGTGGAGACCACTGGCATCGGGACCTGACCAGCAACTTATACTTCCACGCTGGAAGACACATTGCCGAATCATCCAGGTGCTGCTCGAGTCAATCCAGTGGCAGCTCTCCCCACGCACACTTTCTATACATCAGGAGACAGCTTGCGATTATGCGCCTTTGATTGTCTGACTGACGGACAACGCTGAGAGTTCCAGAACAGAAGATGGCCTCAACTGCAGATCTCCCCACCGCTTCGGCGGACTCCCCAGAGAGCTTCATCTTGCATGTATTGTGTCCATCATTGCCTCCACCTAATCGATACACCATTCAGGATGTGGACCCGTCATCCACTGTCGCAGCTCTCAAGGATCGAGTCACACATGCAATCCCGAGTCAGCCCTCTCCGCAAAGTCAGCGCTTGATCTATCGCGGGAGACCCCTCACGAACGATGCGGCCGTGTTGAAGGATGTGCTGGAACCGCCGAATGTAAGGGAATTTACCTCTCGTTGTCTCTACATCTTATCTGTTCATACCTGGCTAATGGGTGATCTCCGAAGGCTACCGAATACTACATACATCTTGTCCTTCCGCCGTCATCGGAGCCTCCAGCATCATGCTTCGTTGACTCGCCTGCCTCGCAATCAGCACAGCCAACTAGTGAAATGTTCCCCCGAACTACAACCACCGTTCCACATCGTTCTTCACACCCTCCGGATGATCCGTGGGAATCTTTCTCCGCAGCCGACACAGTACGCGCAAGCGCGGAAGTGGCCGAGATCGGACTGGCTCTGCGTCGAAACATTGATTCACTTCGCCGAGAGCTTGAGACGCGGGACCGAGGCAGGTCATCGGGAGGCACAACTGGCTTCTCATCCAGTCTGGACCCTGGTCTCTTGAATGCTCAGCAGCGGCCATCGCGGCCAGATCAATCGTCTTCGGGGCCTTCATCACATCCTGGCGTGTCGCGGACAATTTCATCCGAGACGCCGGCAGCCCTGAACGGTCTACCTGTCGCAGATCTCCTCGCCCATGCAACTATGACCGAAGAGACACGACTCAGCTTGCAGATTCTGACGCGCCAAGTGGAGCTGGCAGAAGCCCAACTCAACAGCGGGATTGCTCCCCCTATGGACCACATAATCCGCATGCGCAGTCATTTGTTCGCCATCCTCGATGACCAGTGCCTGAACCCTCTTGCCGAGCGCGATGGCTCAGTTGCAGGGCTCTTGGCCCGCGTTCTCAACATCTACATGCGCGCCGACCAACTCCACCAGTCGGAAGCCTTATTGCTACAATCGCAGACCGCAGCAGGTGGTGCTATTTCCGCCGCGTCCGCCTCCGGCCCGGCCGCTTATTATATGCTCAATTCCCCATCCGGCTACCAGGGTCTCCTGGTATCTCCCCAAGGGACTGATGTATTGCAAGCGACCCTCAGCAGCCTTCGCGCAATGCGCAGCCCGGACCGCACCCCCAACCCCGGAGGGAACCCCGCCCCGGTGCCCAACCTCCGCCCCAACGCGAACGCTGCCGTCATGGAGAACGTCGTCCGCCAGGCCGTGCTCAACCAGCGGGGACTCGACAACCACGCCGACCCGAACGGTCAATTGGGCTTTGCGCGGATCATGAGACGGCTGTGGCAGTTCGTCCGGCTATACTTCTTCTGCTACATGTTCACCGAACCGGGAACGTGGGCGCGGGTCCTCTTCGTGACGCTGGCCGTGCTCTTCGTCCTCTCCTCGGAAACCGGGGTGGACCAGCGCCTGTACCAGCTATTCGTGGCTCCCGTGCAGCGACACCTGGAAGGTCTGGTGCATCTGACGCCAACGGAGCCTCCCGCTCCCGCTCAAGGCCAGAGCGGCCAACGTGGTCCTGGGCCAGCCACGGGCAATCCTCGTGCAGGGCTCGCGGGAGAAATGCGCTTCCAGCTGCGGCGTGTGGAGCGATCCGTGGCTTTGTTCCTTGCGAGTCTGGTCCCCGGAGTAGGCGAACGGCAGGTTGCGGTGCGCAATGCGGCGGAAGCCGCGCAGCGCGCACGGGAGGAGGAAGAGCGCCGACAACGCGAGGAAGCGCAGCAGCAGCAGCAGCAGCAGCAGCAGCAGCAAGAGAACAATGGTGATGCAGCGGAGAGCGGACCTCACTCAACGATACCCAGGGAAGCCGAGAACTGATACAACTTAACCAATTAGTCATATTCCCCCAACCTTGCCTTTGTTTTCTCACTCCTTTGCGAAAGATTCTGTTTGCTTACAACACATAGATTCTGGATTGGCCCATGCGTTCTAGCCCGTTAGTCTGCGAATTGGACATACTGATTGCTGTGGTAGTTGTAATTTGCCTGTGCTGTGCTTCGTGTCGAACTCTTCGATTTTGACCTCGTAGATCTACTGTCAACTTAATATCCAGTATCCCGATCGCTAGCGCTCAATGAACCCACCAGGCGTATTCCCAGTATATCTGAATGTAGTACGTCTATCCATCAACATTTACAGCACTTCACTTCGACAACATCTACATTGCCTCCACCCCCTCCTTCCACCATCTCAACCCCAACCCCAACCACATATCACCACACCCCACCAATGAACCATCATAACTTCATCCCCCGCCCAATTCCCCCGTCCGCAACCGTCGTATCCAAACTCGACGTCGGCCTCGCCTCCTCCGCCGCCATCGGCCCAGTATCAAAACCTTCCTCGCCATTGAAATGCCTACAAACCGTGAAACAAAGACCGTTAGCCAACAGCAGCCCCCAACCAAAAGGAAGAAGGGAAAAGGGACAAACGAACCAGCCTCTCTCAGCCCCCTGACTCAAGAACCCACAGTCCCCATTCCGCACACAATCCCAGCCCCCAGCCACACCTTTCCCGCCGCGCCAATTCGGGACCTCCGTGCCCGGACGCAGGACCTTTGTCCCTGGTGCTAATGCCAGTGATTCCTCCGATTCCTCATTGGAGGTAGCAGCAGCAGCAGCAGCTCGACGACGAAAAGTACTCAACCCCGCCGTGAATACCAAAAAGTCCTCCGTATTGGGATCCGCCGGCATATGGCCGGTGAGCGCGCGGCCCATGGCGATCAGGGGCGCGGCGTGCGAGCAGATGAGGAGCGCTTTGCGGGTGCGAGGCTCGTGGGGCGGTTGCGCGGCCTCCAGGGCGGCGATCTCGGCGTCGACGTCGCGGATGATGGCGGCGAGGGTGGTGGCGACGCGGTTGTGGAGGTGGGAGATGGTTTCGCCGGTGGGGGAGGGGAGGAGGTGCGGGGTGGTAGTAGTAGTAGTTGTTGTTCTCGTTGCCGTTTGGGTGGTTGTTGCGGGGGGGTTTACGGTGGTGTTGGTGGTGGTGGTGGAGGAGGAGGAGGAGGGAGAGGGAGAGGGGATGTCCACTGGGCTGGGGAGAGGGAGAAGGGTTGGGAAGTGGGTGGATAGGATGGTTCGGGGGGCGGGTTGGGGGTGTTCGAAGAAGGTGGTGTGGCCGAACCATTCTCTATTACCATTATCATTGTTATTAGTATCGTTGATGATGTGGTGATGGATGGTAAGGGGTAGGGGTGTGTATAACTAGTAGTAAGGTTAAGGCGAGGATCCGCAGGTGAAATAACGCACCCCAATCCGTTCTCAATGCGCACGTCCAAGTCGGCGAGGGGTTCGATGTCGCTTTCGCTAGCTGCTGCTGCTGTCGCTGTTGTCGCAGAGCTACGATCCTCCGGGTATGTCCTCTGTTGGAGCTCCTTCAGCGCCTCCACGGAGGGCTGGATGGTCTGGAGACATCGGTAAAACGGGCTGCAGTAGATGCGAAAGGGCTTCGGGCGGAAGCTGTCGCTAGCAAGATGCGCAGCGAGCTCGTGCGATTGGCGCACACCGTGGGAGGTGAGGGTGGGATCCGCGGGGTTGCCGGTTGGTGTTGGGAATTGAGCATGGTAGGTGCCGGTTCTGTAGTCGATTGTCCAGTTCAGGCGATGCTGTACGCAGGGAAGGTTGCATCAGTAGTTGCTGGTGAGATTAGGGAGAGTCGGGTTACACACGCCATGACGGGTCAGGTAGATTGTGTCGAGAGGCATTGTGGCATGTGCAATGGCCTTAAACTTGATTGCAGATGAGGAAGGGAAAGAAAGTATAGAGGCACGAGGACTGACTGCGGGGAAAATCCTGGGGGATATCAGTAGCGCGAGCGGTCAGCGGATAGGGACACTGTTTGTAAACCTTGGTTCGAGTCTTGAGATATGAAACTACACTACGGGCCTACATGATCTACTACTCCAGCGAAGAAAAGATGAAACGATCGAAAAGTCCTCGTTGGTTGGGCGAGATCACTCTAAATCAATAGACTATCTATGGCGTTTCTGCCGGGGTATCGATTCCGAAAACTCTCCGCCAAGACAAGCAACAGAGAGCACATCCCCCGCCCACATTATCACAGATCACATTCCGATCGTTCCACATCTCGTGACGAAACTTTTTAGTAAAAGAAACCAAGGAGCTTGCCGGCAACGTGCTTGCGGCGAGCCTCCTCGTGGTCCATGATACCAGCGGAGGTGGTCAGGACGACGAAACCGAACTGACGGGAGGGAAGGAGCTGGGTGGTCCACTTCTCGAGGTCACGGAGCTGGACGGGGTAGCGGGGGTTGATGACACCGGTCTTGTTGAGGCGACCGTTGAGCTGGATAACGATCTTGCCGGAGCGGTGGTCATCGACCTCCTCGAACTCGCCAATGTAGCCTGAAAAAGACAGGTGAGTTAGTGATTTGTGGCGACGATTTAAAGGTTAGACCAAACACAGAAAAGAAATGAGTTTCGGAAACTTGTAAGATCCTCGCCGAGTTCAATATATCGGGCACTTAAAGGGCGAGCGTTGTAAGATTTGCGAAACAGACCGCCTAGTTATCAACCCGAAATTCGGTTTACTACTGTTGCACCGGCGAGGATCCAACGCATCTCCCGAGAACTCATTCCCTGACTTGTGCTCCATGACCTAGGGAGACTGAACATACCGTGCTTCTGCATGACGGACAGGAACTTGATGATGACCTTGGAGGAGGGGCGGATCAGAACCTGACGGCGACCGGCCTTCTCGGCGTTGTTGATGGCGTTAAGCGCATCGTTGAGGACGGAAGTCTTGACCATTTTGACGGTAGGATGGCGAGATTCTCAAATCGAGGGAATGCGAGAGGAAATGAGGTATCTGGATCGAGATAACTCCAACCTAGAATCCTCTCGGCACCGTTTCAGGTGCGAGGAGGATTTACCGGAGTCCAACAGTCAGCCACCAGTAGTCCTCGAGCGCAAAGAGTGCCCCTGATGCAGTCCATAAAGGGTTCTTCAGCCCGTGCCGTATGAGGAGAAGCGTATCACGCCGGTCTTCTGATCGTCTTCATTGCTGTCGGTTGCTACACCTGCAAGTAAAACACCGAAAAACCCGGGTGATTGCTTTCCCAGACTAGCTGAGAGGCTGCAGAACAGGGTGAGGCAACAGGTTGTACATACCTCGTGAAGTGTCGACGACGTCGGTTGAGAGCAAGGGAAGGGGATAGGAGCGGACGCGGCCGAGAGAAGTGAAGAAGTTTTCATGGGGTGTGCGGGTGGGCCCTAGGGCTGTCCTTCCGTGCCCTTATCATCTGCACGTGATATCCTTCTACCTTTAAGGCCTCAGGCATTCAGACTTGACTGCGGCTGTGAGTATCACGTCCCATGAAGCAAAGCTCGTCTCGTGTCACATGACCGTCCATATCGGAAACCTCGAAAGTTTGACATGTCAGACTCCAGGTGACTTCAGTAGACTTCCTGGCACTTGATGTGTTATTAGTACCAGCTTCTCAGAAACCAGATGCGTATAGTAGACATTCTTTATACCGGTAGGAAGTGATTGTGCAGTCACCTTCAACGAGGCAAAAGCAGATTTACTCTGTGCCGGTCGCTCGCTGCAAAATCCTCTGGCCACATTTGCGGGGCTCATTTACAATGGTCTAATGCATACGAATCATAGGCGATGGGTTTATCATTCTATACATGTCTTCTTGGTAGGTGAAGCGTGGAAAGGTGAATTCCGTGACAATGGGAATAGGGGTTACATGACTTCTTGGGCATACATGATAATGCTAATAGAACCTCTGTCTAATTAAGAACGGCGTGAAGGGGGACGGAAATGGACAAGTGGATAGTAGTAATAATAGGGAGAAGAAGATCGAGAACACAAGCCCGAGGAATAGTGCCAACATGCATCAAGAGATGTTTTCAAAGGGATAGACCGAGAAGCAGTTAGCTGCACGGACGGACATCCTGAACGTTGGGGTAGATTGGGTAAGGGGAGGGAAAGGAATTTTTGGGCGGAGGGTAGGGGGGGAGATAGGGGGTGAAGGTGAGAGGGGTGATAAAGGGTCTCAAGTGGGTGGGGGGGTCAGGGAAGGTGGGGGCAGGAAACTAGCCCTGTTCGCAGTATGATGGACTGAGAGCACGGTCGTGTGATGGACGAGCGATTGGGAACGACTTGGAATTCCGTAAAGTGCGGTCCACCAGCGAATGGGCCAGCGTCGCCACGGCGTTGCTTCCTGAGGTGCGCCGACAGCCGGCGGCGTCCTCTAGGGGTGGCATGTTGTCGAGTGAACGATCAATGATTGGAGGGCGATTGATAGTTTACACTTAAGCCATAGCAGCAGCGGTCGACAGGTTGATCTGGCGTTTGACCTGCTCGCGGGTCCACCGGGCAGTGTCAATGGTGCGAGGACCATATTCACGGTTCTGGCGGGTTTCGCGAACAAGAGCAGTGACCCAGTCGTTGCGGAAGTAGTTGGCAAACTCGCCATTAGGGAATCCCTCGGCAAGATCACTAACGTCAAGTTAGCTAGGAAACAGGTGACTGAGTTGGGAATTCGATGCTTACCCAAGAACACCCATGGCGGCTCTCATCAAACCTTCACTGCGGTTGATATCTTGAGAAACAATGTGAAGCAGCTGGAAGATGTGTTCGACGAAAGGCGTGATGTGGGAGACTAGAAAAGGACGTGAGCACAGTGCTTGAAGAACTATAGCAGAGAATGCTTACTCTGAGGCTTGCCCTTGTAGGCCAAAAGGATACCACCCCAAGCATCCATGATACCCTCACGGAGGGAGATGATGTAATCGATCGCATCAAGAGAAACGTCGTCACTGGCAGTCACGGCCGCGGCCTGGTGGAGGACAGTTGCAACAACCTGAAGATAGGTGTCGAACTGAGTACCGATGGCCTGAGCGATATCTCCGAAGGTCTCAAGGATAGCAGGCTTGAGCTGGTTGCCGCAGGTCTTAACGAAATGTTAGTGGAATGACCACACAACGACCAGAATGAAAACTTACCCGCAAGACAGTGAGCAAAGCGTTCATGAAACCATCACAGTAGGGCTGGATCTTCTCGTTCAGGGCGCGAGCGATATCGCTGACCAAGCCAATGGCCATGGAGCACAGACCAGGCTCTTCCTGATTGCCGAGAGCGTTGTACAGGGGCTGAGCAAATGGCTCCATGTACTTGGCGAATTCCTCTTCCATGGCACTAGCGATAGCACCGACAGTGGCGAAGACCACATCGGGAACACTAGACTTGGGAGGGACGGTCGAAAGCACGCGAAGCATGAGCTCCATGATGCGGTCGGCCTGGGGCTTGATCTCGGTCTCGAGGCGTTGAACAACGGCCTGCCACAGTTAGCTGATGTGAAACTCTCAGGGACAGCCAAGAGAACCTACGAGAATAACGCTGATAATGCTAGTCTGCATCTCTTCCAATGTGATGCGGTCCTCAACACTGACCACCTGCTGCTGCATGCCGATGGTGTGGTCCAGACGCTGAAGCATAACATCGGACAAGTTTCCGACCAGGGGAAGGCTGTCGATGGCAGCGTTGTTGACGAAAGAGTTAAGGACCTCGTAGCCAGCGGTACGAAGCTGGTTGTCGGCATCGTGTCTATATAGAATGAATCAGAATGAATCAGCAAAAAGCCGATTGCACGAGCCGGCAGAAAATCATACCTCTCGGTGAGAGTGAGGAGCGACTTGACGCTGTCACCAAAGTGCTTGGAAAGAGGATTGGTTTGGGTGCCGTAGTCTCCGGCAAAGCGATCGGCAACGTTCATCAACGCCCAGCAGCAGGAGCTAGCGATCTTGGGGGAGCTGGCAAGACCGTTGAACAGGCAGGAGATCAAGGGCTCAAGGTGCACCTCGGGGTCAAGGGTCTCGGAGCAGTAGTCACAGACACGGCCCAGAGCGTAAGCGACCGAGTCGCGAACCTGAATGGAGCTGTCTTGCATCATGCCGACCAGAACAGGGAGAGCCTGCTTGATCAAGGGCTCCAGAACCTTAGGGTCAGGGCCATCCATGATGGCACCGAATGCCGCGACCGCAGCGTCTCTGTGACGCCAGTCCTCGTTGCGGATGTTCGCCTCAATGAACGCCAACACGGGGGGGATGACATCGCCCTGGACGCACTGAGCGTAGAGCTGCAGTGCCTGGTAAGCGGCACGAGCGACATTGTATTCGTCATCACCCGCATCCTCATCCTGTCTGCACATGGCCTGCAGAAGAACGGGAACGACCTCCTTGCAAGCGACACGGGCGAAACCGAAGAATGGGCGGACCTCGGGACTACCCTCTGCTTGGGCCTGTAACCAATGTTAGCTATTCCCTGAGCCAGGTATGCCACGATACTCCCATGCCAAGACGTACCGCCGCATTATCATCCTCGATAGCAATTTCCTCCTCGCAAACTGTACACCAGAACTCGATCGCGAGCTTGGCCACATCCTCCTCCTCGTTCTTCATCCCCATAATACTCAAACCGAACAGGGCTTTCTCCATGTAGAAACGCATCTTATCGTAGTAGGCACCCATGACACGGTTAAGACATCCAAAAGCGCCGGCCTGGACGCGAAGATCGTCGGCTTGAGTCGCTTCGCAGACCACCTGCATGATGTAGTTCCGCTCGCCCTCGTTCTCCATGTTCGTGCGCACAAAGTCGACGGAATCACTGAGAGCCTTGATGGCGGCGAAGCGGATATCCATGTTGGGCTCCTCGCGGCGGGCGCCCTGGACGACGGCGGTGAGGATGGCATTGGAGTGGGCAGCCAAGCTCTCGCGGAGGTCGGGGTCCTGAGATTCGCAGATGAAGCCGATGGTGACCAGCGAGGCCTGCTTGAGTTGATCGGAACCGGACGCAATGTTCTGAACCAAGACCTGCATCAGATCGGGCCATTCGTTCCGGGGGAGCTCGATAGCGGCGATCGAGACGATGACCTGGGCGGCGGACTGGCCGGCCCGACCATCTTTCGAGCCGAGCGTCTTGAGGCCAAGTTCTTTGACTTGGGCCTTGATTTCTGGGGTAATTTGCTGTAGCCATTTAAGTTGGACCTCGCGGAGCTTAGCGAGGTCTTTGAATGTAAAAGCGTTCTTCAACGCAAGACCGGCGGCGGTTCTGATGTGGGACGGGGTGTTCTCGTTTGCTAATTCTTGGGCCAAAGTGACAAGATATTGAGCCTACCAAACGGAGACGAGCACAGGTCAGCAGGCTAGGTCACATCTACAGCACGATGAGCTGGAGCTATTGAGAACTGAGAACTTACGAAGTCAACCTCAGCCGCATGGGCGAGCTGCTGTTCGGCATTTGTACGTGCAGCCGCATCTATAATACGCCAGCAAAAGCCACCATCAGCAATCTTGCCACAACCTCACGACAGGGATCCCACTACCCGTCGATATGAAGACCAAACAGGAGGGGTAGGTCGGGGGGAGGAAAGCAGAATATACCTGGCGAGAGGGTGCTCTCCAAAACCTGAGTGACGTTCATGTTGCCGTATGCGGAAAACAGCACCAGGGATCGCAGGTGAGAGCGAAAATTAAGAGGGAGGAGAAACTAGCAAAGAAAAGGAAGAAAAAAAGGAAGAAAACGCAAAGATCGAGGCCCGGTACAAATCGAGCGACGAGGTAAATGGAAATCCGGGAAAGTCGAAGGATTTCACAAAGTCCACGAGAAAAGAGTGTTGGAGGTGGACGAAGAGAGGGTTGAATGAATTCTTCGGCAGGACAAGGAAGAAAGGTTGTTTTTGTGGATTATGACGAGGCATGCACCACTGGAGAGGTTCTTTCCGGAGGGGAGGGGGGTAAGGGTAGGTAACGTTAGGGCGGGTACGGAGGGAGAGTAAGGTGACAGGACCAACTCTTTGAGACACGCTTCAAACACAGCGCAATAGAATAGACTGAACAGAAACAAAGAGGAAAGATAAACCCCCAAGTATTCGAAAAAGGGAGAGGGTGCTGATGGTGAAAGTCGGATTGAAACCGTGTTGAAGCTGATCCGGACTGTACTTACTCTGGGTTGAGGTGAGGGGAGTTTTTCTTGGTAAAGAAAGGGAAGAGAAGGGGAAGAGAAGAGAGGAGTAGGAGAGGGATAAGGTAACTTAACCCAAGTGGAATTGACCTCAGCTATCCGTCCCCCTCCAGGCTGATCGTTCCAGAGCGAAAAAAGACCTGGAATGGATGAGCGGTGCTGTCTTTCTGCCCTTGGCTCATTGGTTAACGTACAGCTGAGTCATATCACGTGATTCCCGACTGTCCTCAGACCCAGACGCCCTTTTGGAGGGGAAAAACACCAGATCATTGGGCCAAGAGCCATTTGCAGAAGACAAGAAACCTGTGAGAGATAACTTTGAAGGTATCTGCATCTGACCTTTGGTGTCCCTGTCAAGCTATTCAGGTTCTTCTTCCGCTGATTAGCTTCTATTCTCCCATCTGTAGCACTCACCTTATCCTTGTCGTCACCACTACCGATCCGTCCCATAGTTACCTGGGGTACTTCTTACTGTAAGATACATACATACATACATCCGGAATTACGAATACAGAGTTACCCCTCCATCCTCTGCTTGCGCTTGCACAGTAACCACAGCCTCTTGCCTAGTAACAATCTGTCCCCTTCCTTTCTCTCCCTCCTCTCTCTTCCTCCAAGTCTTCTTTTTCCCTTTGCTTGTTTTGATTTTGCTACTTCGAAGCACTTACCCACTCCCCACTCCCGTGACCCCGGCGACCACCAACAAAAAAAAAATAACACACGCACAGTCCCCAATCCCATCGCACACAAACCACTACACACCCACCTTCTTGTTGCCTGTGCTTTAATTTTTGATTTTTGAATTTTTTTCTGTTGTTGTGGTTGTTGTTGTTGTTTGTTTTGATTCGGGAGAAGGGGATCCACCGCCACTGGAAGTCGATCTTTCCATGCCGATTCTTTGATCTTCTTTTCCTGTTTGGCCCAAAGGTGTGCCACCTGCATCTCCCGCACGTCGAGAGGGAAGGGAGATTTTGAGTTTCAGATGAGGAGGTGTCTCGTGACCTGACAGCTTGTCTTTGGCTGCCTAAGAATTAAAGTTCTGTGCTCGCCTAGAGTCCCTATAGGGCGAGGAAATCCAACCAAATACTAAGGTACTATATATTCATTGGTATCTTGATTTTTCTTTTCTGTGTTTTATGCTTTGATTGGATCGGGTCGGAGAGTTGATTTGGAGAGGGGTTTGCACTGTACCTGAGCTAATTCCTATCTCGGCTCGGGGTATATACCGAACTGATGCATGGGTGGGAATCCTGAGTACTGGAATCACAGCAGAAACACGCCCGGGGGCTTCTGTTGTTTCCAAAACCACGTAGTCTTGGAAACATACTTCTGCAACTAACTGCCTGCCTGCCCCTTCCAATCTTTGGGATCGTTTGGAAAAGTTGTACTGTAAGCACTTCAATCTACTCGATAGGAATTCTGGTGTTCTGTGTGCTATTACTCCTCGCCTTCCAACTCCTCGTCCTCATCTTCCTCATCCTCCTCCTCATCGCCCATCTCCGCATCCAGATCCAATACCTCGTAGCGCATCCCATCGCCATACAAGACACATATTGCCCGACGCCCGCGCCGACCATTGACATCGATCCGTACGGGACGAGCTCGGCCCCTCGCGCCGATGAAGCTGTGCTTAATGATGCCCAGCTCCTGGGAGCTGGGAGCAAAGACTTCCAGGCTCATGCTAGCGGTCAGCGGTGCACTTGTTGACTCGTCGTATCGTTCTTCGCGGTAGGTGATGGAGAACAGACTCGAAGCCTCATCGTCAACCTTCATCGCTGTGGCGGGCTGAAAGGGGAGGTTGAGCAAATAGGATGACCCATCTATGTGCATCGAGATAAGCATGGTGACTCTACATACAATTGCTGACGAGGATAAGAAGGATGACTTACTGGGACTCGACCACAGAACCATCATCATGGTGTCATCTTCCACGAACTGTATCTGTCGAATCTCTCCGCCTTGGAAGTCGATTACGGCGGTGGAGATGCTCTTCGTAGAGCTCACCCCATTCTCGGAATTCAGAACCACGCGGTAGCAGCAGACTGGTCGGTCGTAGACTTCAGTCAGCCAAAACAAAATCCCTGTAGCCGCGGGGAAGGGTGTCTTACGGAGATGCTTGGTTTTGACCGATCTGGTGCCGACGTAGATCACACACATGTCTTCGCCCTTGTCCATGGCCTGGCGATGGTAAGCAAGACTACCCACAGAACGAGATTGAAGGGCCTTGCCTCATAGCGCATGGTAACATCAATGACCTCTGGGTCACAGTCTGGGTGGAGGGTCAAAGGGGACCTATGCAGGATGCCCCTGCGCTGTGTTAAAGCGATCTGCCCAAACACCTTGTCGAATTGTAGCCCGAGACGCTTCGTCAAGTCATTCATCTTCGGGGGAGCCATTGCATCAGCGTCGCCCGAGCCTTGACTCTGCTGCTCCAGCAGCCCCTTGAAAGTATCATAAAATGACCGCCCTTGCTCAATCCGAGTCCATTTGTCGGAAGCATCTGCGGGCACTGGTGCTCTCGGAACACCCATCATAGGTAATTGCCGGATAAAGGTCCGGAGCGCACTCTTCGTGAGAGCGCCTCGAATGTACTTGAGAGTCTGCGGGTATTCCACCATATCGGTCTTTTCCATCAGCTCCTCCAAGGTCTGAGACATCGGCTCCGCAGATTGCATGTCGATCTCATGGCGAAGCCACCGAGAGAAAGCGTTGAACTGGGTCAGCTCCTCGTTGACATTGATGAGAATGTGATGCGCAAGGAGCTGGAGACAGTCGAGCGTTTCTACTATCGTGCTGAGATCTGGAGTCTCCAACCCCAGCACTTCACTCAGCTTCTGGAATCTCGATAGCCCAACCAACCGGCTGATAAGCACCTGACATCTTTCCACGGCTGGAAGAAGACACTCGTGGGTCAAGCGCCGGACACTTTCGTAGCCAGACGAGACGGCCTTCTCCCATCGTTTATGACCCTATAGTACGAGCGGAAGAAAGTCAATTACTCCAGCCATACCAGATCAAAACAGAATCCTCGAACTTACTCTTTCTCCAACAATTTCCACAAGAAACTCCTTCAGAGGCTCGAAACAGTCCCCTGTCACCACCAGATGATACGCAGCCGTGACAAAGTCACAATGGCACTTTTCCTGCAGGTCCTGGTCAACGCTGCGCATGTAACGCGCCGGCAACTCCTGCGCATTCTTCCACTCGAGCTCAATCTGTTTCTGAACCTGACCGATATACCGCAGCAGGTTCTGCAGCTGCGTGGTCTTGTGCGCCAGCAGCGAAAGATACCTCCCGGACCTGGTAATGAAGCGAAGGTCGAGCGTGAGTAAGCGTAACGGTCCCGGTGCGCCTTCTGACGCCGACGCCAGGAGCGCATGAGTCGAGCTCAGCGGATGGGAAGCATGTCGGATGATGCGACAGGGGCCCGGACGCTCCGCGGGGCCCTGCACCCGGAAGGAGCCGATTTCAAAGCAGTCAAAGATACGCAGATGCACGGTGCCGTCATCGAACCCAACGAGCAGCACATCGACCGCATCACTGGTGTTCTTGGTCGAGGAATGAAAGATCGCATCGATCGACGCTCGAGCGCTGAACACATCATCACTAGACTCTAACATCAGCACGTCATGGATCCCATGGCATAACAGTGGCAGAAGACACGTACTCGCTCCCTGTCGCAGGCAGAGTACTCAGCTTCGGCAAGGAGGATTCCACATCCAACAACGCCAGTTCTCGTGGTAGATCAGCTTTAAGAAGCGCCGCCGCGCGAGACGGATGCGTATCCGGCGACAGCAGATCGTCCACAGTGACCTGGCCACCGGCGTCGTGTAGATGCCGTTGGGCGACCTTCGTGTCCGTGAAGTTAACACCCCAGCCGACACACGTAGCTTTGGTCGACACTTGAGCTTCCACACCCTCAGACTGGGGGTACGCTGGGTAATGGTGGACTGTCTTGCCACTGTAGGCGCTGATAACGCGGACGGTGTTATCCGCACACGCGACTGCGAGCAGATGACCTGGGGGAACAAGGTCAATGACCCTCGCTCAAACGAAGAAACGGTCCAACTCGAGCGCTTTAGAGCTACTGGAGTTCCAGAACCAGGCATCATACTAAGAGAAAGTGGATATCAACAATACATACCTGTATTCTTCCACTTCAACCCGCGGATCTCACCCCCGCCATCGTCCTCATCAAGGTACGGATCGCCTTTGTAGGACCCGCCGAAGACCTTCTGTCCGTTGAGTCTGAAGACGCGTAGTTCATCGTCCTCTGTGACTAGGCCGATGAGGTCCATCGTCGGACAGTATGCCAGCGCGCCTTTCTTGCATTTTGCCGGCAGGGACTTCTCCCCGACAGGCGTGAGCTGGGGCTCATAGGGGGCCTGATAACCTTCGTCTTCAGCCATAATGAATTCAGCTCCGGGCCCTAGCCCATCATAACAGTAAGTATTCGGAGGACACAATGGATGAAGCTATCTCTGTGTCTTGCCCTTCCTAGCAGTTGTTGTTGGGATGGTGGATAAACGGGGACGGTCTTGGCGGGCGGAAGAGATGCTCTGATCAACGCCTTAGTGCCTGGCGATCCGCTCCGGTACCTCCTACTGCTTGGGCTGACTGTCTGACTCACTTGGTGATTTCGCCGAACATATGCGCAGTATTATTACTAGCGATAAATTCGAAAGCTCTATCGGTCCATCAGGGTATTATTATCCTTCTGATATAGCTGACATGAAAAAGAGGGCGTTAAAGTTTTGCTGCATCTACATCAATAACAGATCCAGGCGTCAAGCATCGAATTATATTACACTAAAATACTTGGTTAAAGAACATATATAGGGACCCAGCTCCAGCGAGGTCTAGATTTCCGCAGGAGCTCCTGACTCGATCATCCCTTTGAGATAACTCAATTCAGTGATCATTTCCCGCATGGCTGCGGATTGTCCCAATAGGGATGCCCGGCTCAATCGGTTTGTAACCGGATCTGCTATAGCCCGTTTTTCCTCCTGCAGCAGGTCTACCTCATCTTTGAGATGCTCTGGAAACCCCAGCACAGTTGGGTCGGGGCTATGTAGGAGACCGAGACCTTTAATGGACTCAACTCCGCCAAAAAAGGCCGCGTGTCGTTTGGGATTGCTCTCCACGCGCTCGTCCTCGTCCTCGTCTTCGATGCACAGGTCCGACAAGTGTAAGTCGGACGGGGAGAGCGAGATAGAAAGACGGGGAAGCGGAAGGTCAAGAAGGGGTGAATCGCCTGCGACCGAGGTAGCGGTAGATTTGGAGTTCACCGTGAGGTGAGGAGTGTCCGGGTCGCTCATGTCCCCGGACACCGATGATTTCAGATATTCAGCATACCCCAGAGCATGAGTGTCGGGTAGAGGTGGTACGTCTTGGTGAAACGGGGCCGAGCATGTCATGGACTCCGGGGAAAGAAGTTCCGTATCGGTACTCCATTCAGAGAAATGGCTTCGCTCGCACACCGAGCTACCTGCCACGGATTCTGTATCAGTGAAATCGGAAAAGTGGCTGACCATAGCCTCCGCATCGAACGCTTTTTCCCGCGCATCAATCTCGCGCAATGCCTCATCCATGACCGAGGATGGCGAGTTTGGTAGAGTCGGCAACCGCTTCTCCCTGAGAGCCGAGGGCCTTGGCGTCATGGCCAGATCCTCCGCAGTGGTAAAGCCAATTGACGTTGCAAGTAAAGCAGAAGATTCCCAGAGCGATCTCTCAACCGCAGCGGCATGCCTCTCATTGCGTGGCTTTGCACGAGGGGTTGTTTGTTCAGCGATCAATGGCCGTTCTGCGGATTCTTGGGAGTGACTGTCATGTATACTAGACGGTACTGACCGGCGATCACTAGCAGCGGCAGGAGTTAAGTGATGGCCCGTTTGAGCTCTTTGATGATAGAACTGTTCATAGTCGGTAGAAGGAGGGCGGTTGATGACGATGTTAGGATTCAAGGTTGTATCAAAGCGGCCTGTAGGCACGTGGGGATTCGAATCCAACGGTCCTCGATCGGGACTAGGTTTGGCAATCTCTGCTTCACGCCGATCCCCAAGATCCGGAGACGACACATTCCACTGTCGGAATGCGGCAAGAAGCCCTCGCGATCTCGGAGGAGATACAGAACGAGCAGTCTTATTGTAGACTGGGCCCCGGAGACCGTCGTTGACCTTGACCTTCGGTGTCGCACTGCTAGGCTGCGAAGCGCTCCTGTTCGTAACGATTCCCAGCGGAGAAGTGCTGAAAGACCAGGCTGGAGCGGGCTGCTCCAACGTGGGAGGAGACGTCCGAAGGCGCGCAAGGGTTGGTCTTGGCTTGGGTGGTCGTCGGGGGTTGAGATATTTGTCGTCAGGGTTCATAGTTTGAGTGACAATGCTTTGCGCACTTGAACTTCTCGAATGCGCATGAGTCGTGGCAGCATCCGGAAGATGAACAGGCACATTGAGAACATTGACCGGCTGCCCCGGCAGGAAGGGGCAATGGGTGGTTATTGGTTCCGCTTCATTATAGTACTCCATATCGTCATCCAGCACATACTGGAATCTTGTTAGCACTCGCTTCTTCGACACAAGGAGACACGGGAGTACAAACATAATACCAGTAGGTACCTCCCATTTTGAGGCCACCTGAACGTGCTGGGGTCATATGCGCCTGCGAACCATCATACACGATGTTGGCGAAGGTATGGCATCCTCTCCACTGACCGGGCCCAACACGCCTGTCTCGCTCCATAATATAGGGGTTGGAGAAATTGTCCCATGAGCCCAATAGCTTGACTGACTTGACTTGCGGGTTGGTGCAGCTGCGCGCCGCCATTAGCAGGTAAGCGGTTAGCTCGCAGGTCAATGACTACTTACAGAAGGAACGTCATCAAAGTTGTCGAAGCCATGATTGCGCGACCGATGTATATATAGGTCCTCGGAGAGACTGTACAAACAAGGTGTGGGCTTGAGAAGTATACGCTTGAGAATGCAAGAACTTCCGCCTCAACTGGGCTAAGCACGAGATGCTAAAAGGTAATGTGTCGATTATAAGAAATGCAATGAGCGTTATCCCAAGACCAGCTTGGCAAGAATTGAGTGACTGCGAAGGGAAAGGCAAAGGAACGGAAAGGCGTCTGGCGAAAAGCCTAGTCAGGCTGCGTCCTCGAGAGGAATGTCAGGAGGATAGAAACCCACCGGGCTATGTCCTGCGAACGCAGTTCCCCAAGCGCGATATAAGAGGTTGAGAGGAGAGAGCTGCGGCTTAAGGCGACTGCTGTGCCATCACAACACGGAGAAAGCTGAGACCAACAATGCGTGAGAGAAACGGCAGATCAGTGATTCATTAGCCGCGAGGGCTGCGGGAGTTAAATTTGGACGTTCCTGGCTGCGAGATTCGGAAAGATGTACCAGGCCAATGATGCTGGAGAAGTGGCAGGCCGGAAGCGCCGACAGGGCAGACTACCTGGTTGAGGGACAACAATGACAGGCGGAGAAGGGTATTTCCAGCGCCTACTGCAGGAGCCGGATGTTTCGAGGGGTGCTTGCTTCTGTCCCGCAGGATTTTAAGACGTTGGTCCAGGCGGGTCGACGAGGGCGAGGGAAGCTGATAACTATGGAAGCCAAGGCGAACTCGTTCGACTCAATTGCGCGTGTGTGTACACTTGTAGCGTGATTTCAAGGTCAACAATCTCTAAAGCACACCGATACTCCCGAGTAGCGACGGGAAAAATCAAGTTTCGGTAGCTTGATAGTAGCACTGTCGCAGGTCGGACCGGCCTGTCAGGGATCCACTGAGGGATGATATAACCACGTCACGATAGTGATCGTCCCTGCAAGAAAACACAGTCGCGAGGAAGGAGAGTTCATGATGGCAGCCGGCCGACAGGGAAAGAAAAAGGACGCGCGATGAGATCCGAACATGGTTCCTGGGCGAACTCGATGGTCCACCCGGGAGAGTTTTTCTGGGATGAAGATGCTGATCCTTCCAGGCGAACCAGAGTGGGCATTTCGAGGCTTCAAGGGACCTCGAGTCCTGAACGGGTGGACACCACTGGATCACGGGCGTTTAGCTAGGCTGGAAGTATGCTAGCTGTGCCTGTAATTGATACCTTAGCAGGCTTAGCTTAAGAGTGGAGACCGATGTAAGTCCGAGGAAGGGAAATTGATGGATCAGAAAAAGAAAAAGGGAGGAGAGAGACGAGGAAAAGTAGCCAGCCACTGCAGAGGGGAAGCTGAAATGGATAGATAGGCTGATAGGCTGAGGTTGTCGTTTGGAGCCGGCGGCTGGTGGAAATTAATTAAACCAAGTGGTGGCTGGACACAAGCCACTCTGAGGCTGACACCCTTTCCTTCAACAATTCAACCCTCTTCCTGACTCTACCTATTGATTTGTTGAGTAACAACTAGTTAAGTAAACAACTAACGACTTATTGAACATCCACAAAGTAACTAAACATAAGCTTCGTCAAGGTCCCTCCCCCTTTCACAGAAGTCAATCGCGGGATACGGAGGATTTTAGCGAAGCGACCGAACCACTTATCAACAACTCCAAATTCCTCGTACACATTACCCAGCCAAGACCAGAAGACCAAAAAAAAAAAAAGAAAAGAAAAGGAAAGGAAAAGGAAAACCTACGAATACGCGCCGATCAACTTCTCCACACCACGTGAGTGGTGGCCCGCAGCAGGTGGGAAAAAAGTTGACTGAACTACGGAGTACGGAGTAAAACTAGTACTAGCAGACGAACTGGATATGTCGACTGGTGTCTTTGCTGCACTGTTGCTGCGCCTTTCTTCAAAGTTTCATTGTTTATGCATGGCTCCTGCATAATTATCTCCGACACTTCTCCCCTGTCCCTACAACCCCTCTTTTTGTATCCGCGATTGCCAGTGTATCCCTGATTAACTATCAAAAGAAAAACAAAAGATCTCCACGGATTCGATCTTAAGAAATCCAAATTATCAGTGATTATGTGACAGAAAAACCTCAGAGCTGGATCAATAATCCTCGTGTCAATATCCACAGTATTCAAAGCTAGGATGGGCCGTGTGTGGCACTAGGACATACTAGCCGGTGGGAAAATCCCCAGCTGGCAGCGCACTTGCGAATTACTTGTAGAGTCGTAACAACCCTAGTCAGACCAATCAAGGATCTCACATTGTATTTAAAGATCACACTCGGGCCATTGTAGTCGTGGAAGCGTGTTACTCTGCTGCAGGTCTGCATGCACTCACTCTGTTTATCCCGTGGGTGCTGGGCAACTGGACACCGATCCCGTCTCCATGGGAGGCAGGACAACTCCCCGGAGCAACAGGTATATTGAGATCCGGACTTTTGCTGGGCTGAGGACCAACTCATGTTGCTGCAGGCTCCAACTAATCGCCGTTTGAGTTCTGATCCAACTTCAGCTGTCTCCGATTTGACTTTGGAATACTAAACTTGCTTCCTTGCCCCGACCAGTGATTGTTGTGCAAATAGTGGGAGGATTTCAGTTTGGCGGGAGCGGCCGAGCAATTGATCCATGCAATGACATGACACCGCCAATCATGCACCTCGTCGAAACGACATGGCTAGTTTAGTAACTAGTAGAAGATGGCAATTTACGGGGTACAGGAGGGAAATTTTATGACCAGGAGGAAAGCAAGAATAGAACTATTTTAATTCAAAATCTTTCGTATCGATTTGACCAGTCACAGCGCCCGGTCAAGATCCAAGGATCTCCCAGACCTGGGCAAGGATGGCAACTGGGCGCTTGCTGCGACGCGTTTCATCTATGAAGGCCTGTTTCCAACATAGCACAATCAGGGCATGAGTCCTCCCGCACCACTGGTCAGTCACGCTTGCATGCAAGCAAAAGAGATGAAACGAACACAGCGAGCGAAGAGGCACGAAGGCAAGGGGGATGTCGCAGCAGCAGCAGGAGGAGGAAAAGGCCATGGAATGGTAGTGGATATGATTAGCAACATGAATCTGCACCCAAAGAACAGAAACTACCCTCAGCGATGGCCATCACGCTTATCATACTTCCGATGGACTGCACCCAGCACGCACTTCAAAATGCCATCCGCGCTCAGGGTCTGCCCCTTATCGCCTCGCCACGGCACGGTGTCGACGATATCGCGTAAGTTCTTCTGATGTGTCATCTTGCCCAGCTCATCGTCCAGATCCTGCAGATACTGCCGCGCCACGGCGTCGTCGCCGATCTGGAAGAACTGGATCCCGACCTGCCAGGGCACGGCCGAGATCTTGTCCAGCCGCTGAGCGACGTCAACGATGACACTCTCCGCATCGTCCGTGAAAGCCCCATCCGTGATGGCGATGACGTTCAAGGGTTTAAGCAGCTGCGTGGAGTCCTGGAACCCGTCGCTTGCGGCAGTCTTCTTCTCCAGGTCCCGCATGTAGGGCCCCAGGATATCCATTAAGCGGCGGCCGAACGGCGTCGGACCCTTGGGAGACACGCTGCCGAAGATCTCCCGGACGTTGTCCGCCAGCGTGATGTTTGTGTATGACCCCGGGCCCCTGCGACCGGTGTCTCGGCGATGGTTGAGGAACCAGACATCGATGCCGTCCTTGTCGTACTGTGTGCAGATCGGAGCGATCGCCGCGATAGCATTCTCGGCTTCCTTCCACCGCTGCCCGCGCATGGACGTGCTATCGTCAACGACGAAGATGGTGTCGAACTCGCGGAGGAACGAATAGGGTGAGTCACCCGAGGAGGCACTCGAGACTACTGATGGCTTGGACTGTGCGAGCGCCGCCTCTGCAGAATAAGGTGGAGGCGACCATGGATCCGGAGAGCTGGCTTTTGCTTGACTTGCCCTGTCTGTGCTCATCGGGTTGGGCTCTATACTCCGAGTGGTTGTTTTTAAAGTTGCTCGTGAACGTCTCTTCTCGCGTGAATGACGTTGTCCCATATCAGCACTGTTGTAGCTCTGATCACGCGGATCCTGGCGGCGATGGGTTGAGTCTTGACGGGTGAATTTATCTCTGAGGTGCTGTAGAAGTGGCATGAGTGGGTGAGGAGAGATGCTTATCAAGGATGGCCTCGACAGATTGTTTTTGCGCCAGAGACGGGAAATCTCAATGTAGAAAAAGTAGATTCTTTGATGCAGCTTTCAAACCCTTTTATCATGATGTAAAGGCATCACAGACAAAGGCGAGGGCTGCGGCCACAAAGTGAATGTAGTCCCAGTCGTTATCCCTGCTTTCCGTTTGTATGTTGTCTCATACATGGCAGGGAAGGCGCAGTCAAGGCAGACTCTGGCAATCCACAGTCGAAATGAATCACTTAACACTTGAAAGTGGCCTCGTGCTGTGACACGAACTTTTGAAGAGCATTTGACTCCCGTCTTTTATGGATAAGGTACATACTAGGTAGTAAATGCTGTCTGAAGGTATGCGATTCTAACCAACCGATTCCCGCAAAAAACAGGCCTAAGGCTTCCTAGCAGGAATCAAAACTACTAGTAACTCCGCCCCAATCCTCTTCCCCGCTCCGAAACCCGGGTTTGTCGGCATTCTTTCAACCCTGGAACTGGCATCGGCACTGGCACTGGCACTGCCCCTCTAAAGTAAGGATCAAGCATTTGCAGTTGCATCTAGCTTGTCCCAGGACTGCCACAGGGCTGCATCAGCATATACATTAGCTACCTACTGAGGGGGAAAGGGGCTTGTAAGGCTGATGAAATCGTTCAACCGGTCTTATCCGGCCCAGGAATCCGAGGGGGAGGCAGTGCACTGCCCACCAGTCATGAGTCGCAGGTGTTAACAGGATACCCGCACAATCCGCAGTCGATGTAGTAGTCTCATAGTCATGGCTTATCCCAAATGCAGATCGCACTGCTCCATCGAAAAACCATGGGTCAGACATACTGGGGCTTACCGTAGTTGCACTCAAGGGGTAATGGGTAATAATTGAGTTCTGCGTTCATGACTGAATCCTTATATCCGTAACTATACACTAAATATGAGATCATATCAGCCGTCAGGGCGGACTGTAGATGTACAAACACGATTGTGTACAGACAATGCTCCCTCCGCTAATGCGACGCAGGGTGAGTTTGGCATCTAACTGTCTTATATAGTGATCAAGGGTTTATCCACGGAAGCGTCTCACGAGAGTGTAGTGATCCTTTCGAGGATCCTTTCGTCGTCGGTCTGTCCTAGTACATCAAACGTCTGATCATGCTCCAAAATATCAATCAAGGCCAGGGCTTGGTCAATGCCCATGCTATTGCCAATGAGGCCCAAGCAATCCACCACCCACCTTCGTAGCGAATGGCCCTTCCGCTCAGTGGCGCCGGCCAGGAACAAAGGCCACAGCAGGAGCATGCCGCGGATGAAGCCAAATTCCATAGACACCGTCCGGAACGTAGTAGCCTCGCCAGTCACGAGGTCCGCACTGAAGTGATAAGGCACACTGGCGCAGATATCTAGAGCCCACTGTTTGGCCTTGTCGCGGATCTGCGCGAGATGACTGGCCAGTTCAGGTGGGAGAGTCGCGCTGGCATTCAGTCGAAGGGTGTAGGTGAGGATGGATTCGCTAATCATGATCCGGGCGCAGCGGTATTGATTCCACGCGTGACAGAGCCATAAGTCTTGGTACACATGGAATCGGTTGTTGTACGCCCTGAGACTCCAGTTGGACTGGGCAGGCCGCGGGCTTTCAATAATGGTATACAGAAAACGGGACGGCAAACCTGCAAGCCATGCTACCAACTCGCCCTCAATACTGTACATTGTAGACAGGATTTCCTGAGGGTCGGTGATGACTTTTTCACGTATATCCGCTCGCAGATTGGCCAGTCGGCCAGTTATACTGATCAATCCATCGCTGTAAGCCTCAGTTTCTGGTCGCAGGAACTGGGCGACCCTTGCGCAGTCAAGGACTGACTGGGGGACTCGAGCCTCTCGTTGTAAGCAACTGATGATCTTGAAATCCTTGTTAGTTGGGCCTGCAAATGATGGATGAATACCAGAAAGGGGGATTTGACATACGATTTGGAATCTCAATTGCAAGAATAGTTTCAACCCCTCTGCCCTTTGGAGCTGTTCTACACCCCTCAGCTCTAAGAGCGCTGCAGCCCCGGAAATATGGTTCGTCCAATTGTCGAGATTTTGGGGAGCTCTACTGGAGACTACCTGGTATGCGATCAGACGCCGTGAGCGCCACAAGAAGGAGGGACATATTGGACACAAACTTACCTCAAAGAACGCCAAAAGTAAAACAGCGGCCAGAGTAGAGTTGTCCCTCGCCTCTTTCTCATCGGTGACAGCCGACTTTAGTAGCTGCAACGCCTGCCCATACTCTTTCTCCGAGACGGTCTTAAGGGGAGCGGAGCGCCGGGCGCGGGCAAGCATGGCCATCCCCGTGGACGTCATGCTAGCGACCATGGCCTGCTGACTTGGGGAGGTCCTTTTGTCCACAATATATTCCCCCACGAAATCAGATCTCATCCAGATGCTCCCGATCCAATTGACCTGTTGCAGAAAGAAGCAGATGGCTTCATTCCCGGTAGGTTGATACGAAGGTTGCAGGTCGAGGGAGTGTCGAACGACAGTCTGACGCTGTAGATCTGCCCTGCTGTCATCATTGAACTCCACCTCTATGTTACTGGAGCCAGATGCGGCACTGGGGCTACTAGTAGTCGTGCTACCGCTACTCCCAGGCCGGCCGCTAGAGCCAGACTTGGTGGTGGGCTTAGACCTGCGCGCTGTGGCCCCGGTTCGGGCCTTCCGAACGACCTGTTGGCTTTCATCGCGGAACATTAAGGACAGTTCGTCTCGGTATCCGGGGCAGACCCGGTGGCCCTTGGCGCACTGGGAGCAAGTTGGCCGCGCCTGATCACACCGGATCTTGCGAGAACGGCATTCCCCGCAGCCTTTGCTTGGCTTGCCACAAAAGACCATTCTGGCACAAGCGCAGTGTGCAGGGGCGGCTGGCAATTGTGCTATGCCGGGGACAATGATGAATGATAGATAGACCCAGTCGGATAAGGGGAGCCAAGACTCAGAATGTATGCAGCTCGAACGGGTAAGCAGTGCGACGAACGGTGGTTTTCCTGTGGATTTTCCAAACGTTCAGGAGCTCCGGCTTGCTGATATGAAAGCTGGAATATGAATAGAACGATCTAGAATCTGCGTAATGTCCTGCTACCAGGAGATGTCCATCCCACCTGGCTGAACACGACCGTGACAGATAAAGAGGGGTGTATGTACTGTACTGAGAGTCTCCGGATGCCTCAGGCGCGGGGAATTGCCCGACTCCACGTGGGGTTTTGCTCAAGATGGCTAAACCTGATTGGGTATGTCTTGCGAAACTCAGCTGGGCCGAGCATCACTTCAGCTTCAGTTGTTGCCAGCTAGTGCCTAGGTAGTATGTCTCTTTCTATGCTTGCATTCCCTGTCTACTGATTCCTCGACGAGCTACTGTCCACGCTCAACTGTGCCTATCTCATCGAATATAGACTGCTCTTATTGTTGAGCGAGCTCAAGGTCGGCCGTATACTAACATTGACCCTCTCCGGCTACTCCATCATGGTTACCTGTCTCGACAAGTCGCTAAAGGAGCGATGGTATTTACTGGCTAGTCTGATGACTGTGGGATGAGAAATGTCTCCGTCAATTTTCTGATTTTCATTGAAAGCGCACTGACTGGTTATGCCTCTATCTATCAGAATGGAATAATACCTGAAACCATGCAAGTAGCGAGAGAAATGTAAAGCAAGCTTGGAGCTTGTGCACTGAAAGCACCATAGCCACATATTGCTAGCTACCACCTACTACAATAAGATTCATGCTATGCTCAAGTTCGCCAGAAGCAATTCGATATCATGATTGTCAATTACCTCCAGATCGTGTCGATAATTCCTCATCCACCTCGACAACACCTTCATTATATCTTAGAGGTCGACTAATGCCCCAGTATCACACAATAAAAGGGTATTGATGTTGTCTTGGATTAGGCATGCCATATCCCTGCCCTGGCATCAGAGCCCAATTGCCGTTGCTACGCGGCAGCGATGGGTACGTGGAAGGCTGAGACAGCTGCTGAGCACGCGTCTCATTCCACCTCGAACGTCGGGGAATGAACTCGGGCGCTTCGGGGCGAAGAGCTGAGCGGCAGGGCAGTGACTGTTTCTTACTGTCTCCGTCTGCTGTGCCGTGACACTGTGCCCGGTTCTTAGCACATGGACTCGAGCATATGTGATGATCGGCAATACTTGTCGCCTGTATAGAGGGTGAACCTTCAATGTTAGGCTGACGCCACTGCAAAGAAAATCTCCCTCGTGGTGATAGATAGAAGTTCCGAGCGGAGACGGGGTAGTCATTGACCTGGTCATTGGCTTGTGTTATCACCAACAAAGCTCAAGCAAAATGCTGACAAGTCTGCTTACCGAATACATGCTTCGAGCGCGGCTCTGCTTCCAGTGTGACTTGTCCGCAGTTACCACACCGCTTGACCTGTTTGTTGGCATAGGAAGAAACGGTCCGGTGTTATTCACTGGGATTGGTCCCATGGTCGGCAAAGGCACAGGCCCATTGTAAAAGTGCCCTGACGGCATAGGTGGCGGATAGTACCAACCAGGCGGTACAGCTGAGTAGAATTGTCTCGTAGGCGATATCGCAGGCGAAGGGACCCCCAAGGTTTGAGCTGGCGGACAGTAGCGCCCAGGGTGTACGGCTGGAGGGACTTGTCCTGTGGGCGATATCGCAGGTGAAGGAACTCCCAAGGAATTAGGCGGCGAAAAGTATCCATTACCAGCTGCCATCGCGTCCGAAGGATTGGTAAATGAAGAACCTGGCGAACTACCAGGTTTGCCGGGGAACACTCCGTGTCTCCACTGGTCAACGTCTCCAACCCAGTTCGGCCTTGACTGATCAACGTAACACACGGAGGAAGCTAATCTAGGATCCAACTTGGGGAATCATCAGCTGCAACTCACGAGTCTCCTCGTTTTATCTTCTCGCGAGACATCAGAATTTCAGAAGTGGGAAAAGGTCACTCACCTGGTAGAACGGTAATGCTGCAGATTTGATATTCATGATTCGAAAGTGATAAGAGCGATGAAGTGAAGGAATAACTAAGGAACAATTGATAACGCAAGTGAATAAGTAAGGAAAGAAAGGGTAAGCAGAAGCTTAGAGGCCTGGTGTCTCCAGAGCGACGACGAGAGATTCAGAAGTGTTCTGGGGAAGGAACTCCGAGTCCCACCACTGTAGCCTACCAGCATAACAGATACGCCGCAGAAATGAATGCAATCAAGCTTCTTCTTCAACCGCATGGTATATTTCAGAGCTTTGCGGCACCCTCGGCTGGAGCCGAGCTGAATGGTCGTTCGTTCTACTACCATTACCATCAAATCACATGGAGCAGCAAGTGTGGTACTCAACCAAGTACCATCCGGTTGGGTGAGGTAATTCTGATTTACATTTTCGAAATTTCAGGTTATTCTTTTTTTTTTGTTTTTGATAATGGGGATTTAACAACTTGAGAGATGTGCTGAGGAGTTTGTCTTTTGACAACAGGGCTGGTACAGAGAAAGTTTTCTCTTTTTTTGACAATCTGGGAGCAGTAGTGGAAATTCCGTCTCTTGACAGTGTAGAAGATGAGCAAGGGGTTGTTGTCTTTGAACAACAACGATGATACAGAGGAAGTGTTTTCCTTTAGCAATCTGAAGGGTGTGCTGGGAGTTTTGTCTTGTGACACAGGGTGAGAGGCAGTGAGGGTTTTGCGTTCAGGACAATGAGGGGAGGTGATTTGAAGAGGAGGAGGGTAGAAAGAGGAAGTGAGATGGAGATGAGGTAGTGAAATAGAAGAAGCGTTATGAGAGGAGAACTGCTCATCATGCTTTTCACCTTTGTTTTACTGCCTGGAAATGGGGGTTGCCGTGCTTTCAGGTGCATGCACAAGCCATTTCCAGAAGCTTGAAAGAGAAGCACGCACGCTACTCCTGTTACTTGAATTCACTGTTTGGCGTGTCCGCTGCACTAAAGGTTGACCGTCAGACGACAAAGCAGGCACCTCTGGCTTGCTGCTTATCGAGTTCCTAATTTGTTTCTGACCAAGTCCAGAAGTCTGATCGACTTGATTCAGTTAGCTGCACTTCCTAGAATCATATATCTTCCACATACGTTTGGCCTTGGACGCAAGATTGAACGCGGAGGCAACGGCAAATCTCCACGCCTTGGGGATCTACTTGGCTGTCTCAGGTGGTTGTCCTATGAACTGTTAGCATCTATGGCTGAATACGATCTTCGGTAACTGACTCTGAAATTCTTGATCCATCGGCCTTTGTTACGCAGTGCGCTGACATAGGAGCCTAGGCTTTTACGCAGACCCTTTTTCACAGGATTTCTGGAAGAGCTACTTGATGCACTTTTTGCATCCCTAGTCCGCGGGTCTGAAACTACACTCAGTAGACTGGGCCTTGACCTAGACTGCGTTGCATCTTTGGAGTGTGATGAACTAGGCCGAATATGACCTTCAAGTTCAGGGGTCTGATGCACTACCCAGTTTAGAGACTGCAAGGTAGGGATTGGCAATATAGCGTCATAATCCATATTCATCACCGATGTCTCAGCGAAGGGATAATACATGTGCCGTGGGATAGGAGTAAGAGGTCTCGGAGGAGGCTGAGCTCTGGTATGCTCTGGCTCTGCTTCTAACACGCTGGGTAGCACAATCGTTGAATCTGAGTCGTTGTCTTCCAGCTCAGCTACTGGAAGCCTCCTAACTGGACTGTGCCAAGGAACCGGCTCTGGCTCGCATAGGTCGTAGGGGTCGAAGCCCCGTCGAGACGCTGAAGGGTTCATGTTGTACGTGTCTCAAGCCCAAAATCAGGTCTCAGAGAGTCACCAGCTTCCTGTTCTGGGTATGTCTGAGGCAAAAAGCGCTCTCTCACGTTCCTGATTCGACTTGATACTCTGTTCGAACTCAGGGTCAGCATATGCCTGGTATTCTGATAGGCAACTCCCAAGGGAAGGGATGCAAGAGTTAAGAAGCAAATGGACTGCTCTCATCAACACCTCATATACTTGTCATGCTGGACGCGTGCAGTCAGTCTTTGGGATGTTCTGTATACTTACAGATAAGGACTCTTTCTGTGAAAGGATAGTTACGTTCGATGCTTGTCTCACGAGAAGTAGAAGACAGGTTGAACGGGCTTCTCAAGGAACTTGGGACGAAGAAGACCGAAGACGATGAGAAGAAGATATAGAGATGAGTAAGTTCACAAGGTGAGAGACAGACCAGCCTGACTTCACTGTGTTGCTACTGGGAAACCAGGCGTTACCCAAATAGGAAACGCTCGATGCCAAAGCCTGGGCGCCTGAGGCACGAAGAAGCACAGGTAGAGCATTTCAGAGTATGCCAGTGCACCTTTGAGTGATTCAGTGAGTACTCTTGGTTTTGTTTATACTATAGTGTTGTTCAGAAGTATGGGTTTTTGATCCCGAGCTTCTCAAAGCAGAACAGGTACCGTGCTTGGCAGATATTGCAGCTACACAAGACATGCCGCATGATGAACTTTATTATGACTATTGTGAAGTACAGAAAATCAATCATTAGAGTAAGAACAGATGCAGAAGTTTGCCAGCAGGTAATATCAACATTGACTTCCGCTCCAGTTTTCTACTCTAATTATGTTCTGGCTCTTACATAAACTAGAACTCAATTACCTTCACAAGCTAACTAACCACAAACTGAACCTACTATGCATTTCCAACACCCATCATACAGACCAACAGAATTGTCCGCTTAAATCATAATCTATACGCCACGTTTTCTCTTGCCGGCCTGAATGGGCAAACCAACGCCTGCTTGCCTATGCGCTCCTGGCGCATCGCTTGACCACTCGCTAATCTCCCACTCCACCGTCGTCGAGTGGTCATCGCTAACCCCGACACCGCGTCTCATCTTCATCAAGCGACCTAACTGACTGCCTTCAATCATCTCCTCAAACCACGGAATTCCACCCAAGGTGCCTTGCCTGTAGCTTCGGGAGAGACCTGACCCACCACCATCTGCAAGAGCGGGAATCACTACGCGAGACGACGTAGGCTGGTCACCCGACGCTGTAGCCGGAATAGCAACCACCTTCGCTTCCTGTTCCGATTCATGCTCCGCATATGTTTCTTGCTCCTCCTCATCCTCCTTTCCTGCAACCTCGACCTCTGCCCCAGCAACTCTCGGCACTTCCTCGACTTCATCATCATCCTCCTCCTCCTCTTCATCAGAGGAAGGCACAGCCGGAGGAAGGAGGTCCAGATCCTCCAGCTTCCGCTGATGCTCGCCGAAAAGACTTCCCAGCGAGACACTCATGTAGTCCGCCTCATCCCGGGGCACCTCGCTCCAGTACGTGAGCGGAGTGCCGCAGAATCCGCAGAAGACACGCTGGGTATGTGGCGCATGGTACGGGGAGAAGATGCGCCGGATACTTGCATGTGTCTCGTCGGGGAAGTAGGATTGCGTGTGAGATTGGTACCAAGACAACGGAACGCGAAGCCATGCCGTTAGCGGTGAGCCATGAAATCTCCCTGTAATTAGAGTCAGTATTGCGGAAGTGAAGAATCATTATATTTTCGACTTTCACGCAGAGTGGGAAAACCTACGATTGTCTTGGCTCGAGTCAAAGTAGACGTGCGCATGGTCGGAGACATTCTCAGGCAGACGAATCAGGTATTGGTTTCGGCCACACTGGCAGGATCCGCGTAGTGGTACATGCTCGCTCATGGCTGCTCAAGCCTCGTGGCGCCGTTGATAAGCTCTCTCTATCGGGATCGTAAAAGCTTCCCAGCTGAAACCGTAGCGCGAGTATGAGGTCATAAAAGGATCGAACCTAACCCGGTCAACTGCTGCAAGGATTAGCAGTCAATAGTATGGGGTTAAGAACAGCAGAAAGACGATAAGTTCGAGTCCGCTCAGCGATCAGCGATGGGAGGAGGGTCCAAGAAATAGGCATGTATGGAGGGGTTCTGGAAGGGTGGCATGGTGAAGTCCACCGTTGATCTAGAAGCGACTTGAACTATCGATGACGTTTGATTGCGCCCAGCACCCACCGACCAGTTGGCGCCCTCCAGCCTCAGGGCTGGCCGTTGTTCATCCGCCAGGTACCTTCCCGGCTGGTGGTTGGTGCCTGAGGAACAAACATCCCAGCCGAATATTGGACCTTCTCTTTCTGCCCTCGACAGGATCAGAGTCGAATTTACCCCTGAAATATCAGTTCAGAGGCATATATCTCTCGCATAGATAGAACTCTATGCTTACTCTTTCATTCCTTCCTCAAAAGATCACTATCAACACCTTCACCTTCCATTATTCCCGTATACTTCCCCCCGGAAAGATTCTCCCGTCGCAGCCAAGCCATCAGTCCGTCACATGAAAATCCGACTCACCCGCACACGCACATGATAATCTGCCTTTCCCCGCGAAACCCAGCACAACAAACAACAGAAGCGCAATCGAGTATCCACCGCTCAATTCCAAATAGTCTGACATTTGAGACCTCCTTCCAGGGCTGAAACAAGACAAACCGAGAGAAGCAACAGAGTTGTTCTTCACCCCTTGGACCCTAAATCAAAAACGTGCCGTCGTCCCCCCTTCCCCGGCCCCCCACTATGCCATCTGCACGTCCACCTGCATCCCTGGCATCCAGCTCCTCCGAAACGTCCTACTCCCCCTTACCGAACAGCAGCAGCGCAACGGTGCCCCACGACGATTCCGGGGACCGGTCCCCGTCCACCACCCCGACCGGCACCTCCTCCTCGAAACCCGCCGCTACTGGCGCACAGGAGAAGGAAAAACCGCGACTGACGGAGCAAGAGAAGAAGAACAATCACATTGCCTCGGAGCAGAAGCGCCGGGCCGCGATTCGGGAAGGGTTCGATCGCCTAACGGAGCTCGTCCCGGGCCTGGAAGGCCAGGGGCGCAGTGAGAGTATCGTGCTTCGCAAGACAGTGGATTTCATCCAGCTCCAGCTGCAGGAGCGACAGGAGCTTGTCGCGGAGATTGAGCGTCGGGGTGGACATATCGATGATGCATTTCGGGTCTGACCGAGGTGGTTCGACATGCGGCATGAGTGAAGCCAATTATTAATGAGGGCGATGACAATAGTGGTGGGCTAGCTGCAGAGCCTGGATGAGGGCAGAGGGGCAGCAGTCGGGCACTGCTGGCTCGGGCTATTCTCCCAAGGTGGTGCTGTAGGACAAGCTCCTTGCGCAGTGTCCTGCCCGGCGGTTCATTCTCTGGTTGTGCGTGCTCACCAATTCTTTTACTACACCCTACTCTTCGCAGGGGTGAATCTGTATGGTGCCTGGCGTTATGATTGATTCCTGGTCTTTTCGGTCTACGGGCACGCTATTTATCGAAGACTGATGCTGATGGACTGCAAGCGAGAATCAGCGGTTTGAATGGGGCATTTTCTGAATTCTGGTGCATAGCTGTACTGTTGCAGGTCAACAGTGTATGTATGATCTATGTATTTAGTGGAGTCGAGAGCGAATACGATTCTTGACGAAGTAACAAGTGCCGTGACACTATATAAGCAGGATCTCCCCGTAACGATCTCCCCAGATCAACACTTTCTGACAAGTCAGCATGATGGATCGCATCCACAGTGACACAACGAGGAGAGTAGCACAGCATACTGCCCAGTGCAGACATAGTCAACTTACCCTGCCTGCATCGATAGCCCCAACTGCCGTACCTCACCGCCCGATTGACGATCCAGCGGGATTGCTAGTGCCAGCCCTGAGTGCTTACTACCGTAGTTAGTCGTAGTTAACCACGGAGTACAGCTTCAAAATTTGTCCTAATGCGGGAACCCACTCATACTACCTTACTACTACTACCCGCAACCAATCATCCACACCTCCGTCTCTCTCTTCCACCTCTCAACCCTCACATCTAAACTCCTTTCTGAGTCATAATCCCATTATCTAAACAACCACCACCTCCAAAATTCCAAAAATGTCGGACTCCAAACAGTCCCTCCTCAACTTCTCCCCCGCGGACCCCTCCGACCCTCCCCCGGCCTACGATCCCACCGGCACCACCCCCCAGTCAACAAAACGCCTCTCTCTCCCGCGCCCACCACCGCTCAACCTTCCCGTCCTCACCACCCTGCGCTCCCAGCGCGTGATCCTCGCCTCCGCCTCCCCGCGGCGCCGGCAGATCCTCTCGCAACTGGGCCTGCCGAACCTAGAAGTCATCCCGTCCAACACTCCCGAAGACTTCCCAAAAACGATGGAGCCGTTCGAGTACGTGCTGGCGACGGCGACCGAGAAAGCGCAGGCCGTGTACCGGCAGGAGATCCAGAACGAGGCGCGCGGGGAGCCGGGGTTGATTCTGGCGGCGGACACGATCATCGTGGACACGAGCGCCGGGCGGATCCTGGAGAAGCCGCGGTCGGAGGCGGATCATTGGGCGATGCTGCGGGCGCTGCGCGACGCGGGCCACCATAAGGTGTACACGGCGATGTGCGCGATGGCGCCGCTGGTGAGCGCGCGCGACCCTGGGTATGCGCTGGAGACGGCGCTGGAGGAGACGGATGTGAAATTCGATCAGGGGGTCTCGGATGAGATGCTGTTGGCGTATGTCAAGACGCGCGAAGGGGCGGATAAGGCCGGTGGGTATGGGTTGCAGGGGCTGGGGTCCATTCTCGTGGAGAGGATCGAGGGGAGCTGGGATAATGTGGTCGGGTTGCCGCTCAGGGCAGCGTTGCAGTTGATGGAGAGGGTGGTGGCCAAGGCGGATGATGATGATCGGTTGTCGGGTGGGGAGGAGGATTTGTCGGAAGATGAGGAGGAGTAAGGATTTGTTCGTTTGGTGTGTCTGTCTTGTCTTGACTTTCGTTGGGCTTGCCACTTCTATTCTACCCTGCCAGCTCCGGGTTTAGGGTGCTGGCTGGTTATTGGATATTCGAGACATCTACACATCACCCCGTCTTCTAAGGTCAGGCCATGCAGTTCATATCTAGCGCTGGGCGTTTGGATAAAATAGAGAGAGATTCAACCCGCAGAAGCAACACATACTTAACAGAATATCCCAGCAGATCATCACATACAAGATACTACTCATTTTATGCTCCAGGGCACTAACAATTCCAGTACTGGCATCTACCAGGCAAGAAGAAACAACACAGCATATACATAGGCAAAACGCCTGAACAGAACAAACAACCGAACAAGAAACACCCCAGACTGATTTACGCCTTCCACACCCTGCGGATAGCCTCCGTCACACCAACGTCGTTCGTCTCGAACTCGTACAGACCAACCGCTGTGCCGAGCGTGAAGGCACGCAGCAGCCACTTCATGAAGGCGGCGGTCTTGGGCACACGGCGGACGGGGAAGTAATCAGTGATGGAGGCGCTGCAGTGACAGATTGTTAGCTTGGTGGCTGCTTCGTCGCAAGTGACGAGCGAGAGTTGGGGGGGAAGACGTACTCGAAACCAATGTGAGAGTGGACGACAATGGCGGAGCAGATGACGGCGTCCATGACAGGGCTCACGGAGCCGGCGGCGAAGGGAGCAATGCAGAGGGGCACGAGGGAAGCAGAGACGAGTCTGATGCATATTCATTAGCGCTGATTCGTTCTGGTCTCCGCGGTATCAAAGGCAACACACCTCTCGAAGGTCCAGTGGTAGCTACCGTGGACGGGGTGGGAGTGAGGGATGGGAGCAGGGTCGTTCACTAGAGGCCGAGAAAGAATCTATGTTAATGAAACCATCTCCTCGAATTATCCGTGGTCGTCAAATGTGCGCAGATGAGGTTTGCAGAAAGACTGGCATGGACCAGAAGCCCCTCTCTTCTACCAGCCATCCATGATATCTCTATCGCACACGGTATTCATAATTGAAGGGGAGAGGTAATTGCTTGGATAACATACTCGTTCCCTGGATAGACTCTGTTTCGTAGAACCGTTAGCATCGTCATATATTGCAGTCCCGATCATTCCACCCCGTCCATCCCCCACAAAAACTCAAGCACATCCCCGCAATCACGTCCCAAGACCCAACAACCGATTTTCAAGCCCGTAATATCATCTCAAAAAAAACCCCCGAGGGTAACTCACGAGGCAGAGGAGGCAGAATCTGCTTGTTCGCAGAGGCGTGGAAGGCCACGACCTGCGACACACCGGCGACATTCTTTGAGGCCCAAGGGGCGCGGAAGGCGGACAGGCAGGACTGCCGGAGAAGGGGAGACTGGCGCGCAATCGAGGCCATTGTGATTCTCTTTATGGGAGAGGAGATTTTGGTGGTGTTGCGAGGGATAAAGGAGGGTGGAAGCTGGTGACCGCGATTCGACAGCGCTACAGCAAGACAAGAAGTTGAAGTTGAGACTCGAGGCTCACGATGGAACCTCGGGAGTCCGATCGGGAAACGGTCATCACATTGTCGGATCCGTGATTGGTGCGTTGCGCTCCGCCCAGCCGAAAATGGCCGACACCCGGCAATAGCATCTCCAGCGGAAAGACGCGCGATGATGCTCGTGAATGGGATAAGTCGATTGACTCTAGAGGTGGTCATATGAGCAGACTCTGGGACATATGTAGAAGTCCAATGCGACTTACTGGGCTAGTCGGTGCGTAGATACAGGAGAAGGACGTGTGGGGAAGTATGAGTATATTTCCTGCCTCAGGCACGAGAAGATTCCCCGTCTCCCGAATCTGCCGACGAGAACCAGCAGCTGCCCGCATGCCCAGGTGAACTTATTCGTCGGGTTAAAGGCATTCATGATTGTCTTGAAACAGGGACATTGTCCCCTTTGGAGTTCTCATAGATTTCTAGGTATTGCATTTTGAGCTCTAACTAGATGATAAACGAGATGATAAACGAGATGGTTAAAGTAGCAAAAAGGTGTTGCACCCGATGGGGATTGAACCCATGACCTTCGCATTACAAGTGCGACGCTACTACCACTGAGCCACGAGTGCAGTGATGTTGACTGCTATGCCAGCTTAGCATGTCTAAGTGCTCATTATCTAAGCCCCTCTGCAAAAAGTAACCTTTCATCATACTCTTTTATCACGTACAAAATAACGCTACGGTTGGTCTGGTATTGACATCTCTATGAAATAAGATTTGTGCTTCTATTTATCTGCGACCCAGCCGTCTACCGTCTTAACTTAATAGACAATAGTACAAATCATCCGGAATAGGAACATACATGGCACAAGATAATAAATGTACTGGGTGCTTGAGGATATTATATGAGAAGATGAGAATGAAACAACCAACCTGGCTCAACGACTATGCCGCGGGCTTACTCGCGAGCAATCATGTCGTCACGAGCGGGGCCAGTACCGATCCACTTGACCGGGACTCCACCGAGACCGCGCTCGATGTACTCAATGTAGGCACGGGCGTTAGGCGGGAGATCCTCATACTTCTTGATGCCCATGGTCTTGGTCTTCCATCCGGGAAGAGTGACATACTCAACCTTGACCTTCTCCAAGACCTCTGGGTCGGCAGGCATGGTGTTCTCAGTGCGGGTGCCGTCCGGAAGGATGTAGGCGACGCCGACCTTGATCTCGTCAAAGTCGTCCAAAACATCCAGCTTGGTCAGGTTTAGGGCAGTGTAGTGGTTGATAGCCTGGGAGTAGCGGCAAAGAACCATGTCGAACCAACCACAGCGACGACGACGACCAGTGGTGACGCCAAACTCCTTGCCAATACCCTGCAGCTTGTCACCGAACTCGTTCAGCTGCTCACTGGGGAAGGGGCCCGAGCCGACACGAGTGGTATACGCCTTGACGACACCGATGATGGAGGTGATGCTGGTGGGGTTCAGGGACAGAGCCTGAACGGCACCACCGAGACCCGTGGAAGACGAGGTTACGAAGGGGTAGGTTCCGTGATCCAAGTCAAGCATCAGGGCGTTGGCACCCTCAACCAAAGTGTTGGGGGCATCCTTGTACTTCTGCAGGAAGGCCAACTGGTCGACAATGTAGGGACCCAGGCGCTGACGGTAATCCTGCCAATGGGGGTCAGCATCTCGCTGAGGCAAGATTCCAATCATGGAAAACCTACCCTGAAACGCGCCAGCTCGTCCTCGACGCTGTAATCCAACTCGCCAAAGCGGGCAGTGTATCCGGCATGCAGAGAGCGCAACTTGCGCTCGAACAGAAGCTCGTCCAAGATTTCGCCGACGCGAACACCACGACGAGCAGCCTTGTCACTGTAGCAAGGACCAATACCCTTACCAGTGGTGCCGACCTTGCGACCACCGAGCTTGGCCTCTTCCAGACCGTCCACGACGGAGTGCAGATCGAAGCAGACGTGCGCGCGATCCGAGATGAAGATGCGCTTTCCAGCGGTCGTCAGACCCTTGGTCTCGATGGCCGCCAACTCCTTGAAGAAGCTGGGGATGTGCACAACAGTTCCGGCGCCAATGAGGTTGACGCAAGAAGGGGAGACAAGCCCAGAAGGAAGAATGTGAAAATCATAAGTCGTAGAGCCGTGAACGATAGTGTGACCCGCGTCTGAAGTTTCCCAGAATTAGATTATGCCGCCAATTCTCGCCGGTGAACTCATTCGCAAGGCGGCAAGAGAAAAAGAAGGTTTAGAGGCAAAACTTACTGTGGCCGCCAGCGGCACGACAGCAAAGCGTAGCTTCCTGCGCAAGCATGTCCGTAATCTTCCCCTTTCCTGTTTTATTGGTTTTGATGTCAGCATGCATCTATTGCTGAAAGGGTGGATCCGCTAGGAAATCCGGGCTAGGAGCGGTGGTTCTCTTCTCACCTTCATCACCCCACTGGCTACCAAGGACAATTGTAACGCCCATTGTGATTGGGTTGATTGTGTGTAAATGAAGATCTAAAAGCAATTGATTTCTGCGATCTCTGAAGATCTCTCACACTTGCGACAAGTGACAGAGAAAAAGAGAGTGTGAGAGGAACGTCTGGAGGCGGGGTACGATTAGTGGGTATGCGGATGAGTCAAACGGATGAATCCGGCGTCTGCTGGACTGGCAGAGAAAAAGGGTTTCTTGAGGAGGTAGTGAGGGTGACAGTAGTGAGGCAGTTAAAGAACACCAAAGGAATTCCAACCTGATACCAGAGGTGACTGGAGCAGTGGCGAAGAGTTCGCGACCGTCAAAGACCAAAAAGCCGAAAAAAGAAACGGAGGGGTAGTTCTGCGGAGGGGACGATAATATATACCTTCACAGAGGTCCCTAACTGAGCCTGCTGGGCGGGTCCGCCGATGACTCCTCGATCGGTGCGTGCCATTAGTTTCCCGTCACCGCATTACTGTACCATACTCCCGCAGCCTATGCTGCACGCCCTTTTGTGCACGTCTGGAGTTCCTTGCCCCCCCATTTGCCGGTATTGCGCGTTACCGTCTGTACTCCGTAGGCCCCGCGACGGGAGACCCCGCCGTATGCGGTATTTGCTGCTCGGGAAGACCAAGTGCTTTCATCCTTTGCCTGTTGCAGGTCGGGGATTTCCGACCGGTATCGGGTTCAGAGTTAGGGCTTGGGGCTTGGGGCTGAGCAGTAGGGCCTTTTGCACATCACGAAACCAAAAAGTCAAATAGTTGCCAGGATGCATGCTCGTAGTATATGTATGATCTCTCATGAGATCAAGAAATCATGATGTTAATTGGGCTCAGAAACTGCAATCCAAACACGATTCTTCTTTAAGAGAAAGAAAATTATCCACAACCATGAGAGAATATGATACACAGGATATCATCATCCAGCTAACAATGACCACAACGCCAACGCCCAGAACCAATGCATGCATGAGGCCGTTACCGCGGTCCGATGCCTCGTAAGTCATACTCCATTGAGCTCTATACCATCTTTCCCCCGCCAGCGACCCAATCGCGCAATTCGCCGAGTTTGTAAATGGCGTCCCGGTGTAGTTCCCGACCCACCTGCCAGTGCTTTTCGACTCTTTCATCTTGTTCCATGGCCAGCCTATAGGCATTGTAACCTCCTTTCCCACTGCCTGCTACCGGTCCGTCCTGTTCGTCCTCAGGATTCAGCTTGACCTTGGCTGCATCCCCGACAGCGTAAATCCAGTTGGGCGCCATGCCCGTGTCAATGGCCTCCTGACGCGCATCAAAGTGCCGTAGCATGCGGCGATTCCAAGCGTGAAATTCAGACATGTACATTGCCATCTCTGCAGTGTAACGGTCAAACGCTGCCCGAGACAATACCAGCTGCTCGGAGCCAGCAATGAGGGGAATTGGTTCGGGAGCAGTTGGTCGTTTCGGAGGCTGGGGCAGCACCAGGTCACGAGGACGACGGCTGCGCATCGTTGCTTTAGGGTACTCCGGACGTGATTCAAAAGGCAGAGTAAACTTGATGTCTTGAAGATCTTCTATGCCGCCGTTTGTGTTTTGCGTGAGAGGAACCGTCTTGCTCAGATCTTCTAGATTGAAATTCTTGGCAGTTTCTTCCCTCCGACCTTCATTCAAAGCTGGCTTCGCCACTGGGACTGCCTTCTCAGTCTTCGTCGTACCGTCTGCTTTACCTGCTGCGGCGGGGGGTGGCGTATCATCAAGGTCCATCGCCTCCACGCCGGCATCCCCGTTTTTAGCCGATTCAGGGATGTTATTCCCTTCCGAAGTTGTCTGTGTCTCGTCGGCTTCCGTCGTGACAGTAGCTGGCTTCGGGATAGGCCGCGTCTTTGTTGCAGTTCTTTGTTTGCGAGGGCTTGTCTGTCGCTGGGACGAGGCTGTCTGTGTCTGCTGAGTCTTCCCTTTCTCCGGCTCAAATGACATGTTCTTGAACATCTCGGTCCACTGATCAGCAGGGAACCCGTATTGGGCGAAGGTAGTGGTAGGCTGAGGATCTGGTTCGGGGACAGATTCTGCATGATCGGATGTATCCACAGAATGTCCGTTCCTTTCGCTCGCATCGCGAGTCGCTGTGCGTCCTCGCCCGTCTAAGTTTGGAGCCGTGCTATCGAAGAAAGCGGCGCCATTCCAGTTCTCCGCAGAGAACGTATTCCTTAAGTGCTCATGGCTACTGCTCTTGAAGCTCCCACTTGGAGGAACGCCACTCTGCTCGGGGTCTTGTTTTCTGTGCGCCAAAAGTCGTTAGCTTAGAGTATCGTGGAATAGGCAAGTGTGGTGTACAACATACGAGTCCAGCGGGCTTGTGAAACTGAAGATATTAGATGTGTCGAAGGGATTCTTTGCTGAGGTAGCATCATTTCCAGAGGATCCTGCACACATCACTTGTCAGTCTTCGTGTATGCTATCGAAGACACCCCTCAAGTGTACTCAGAAACACGGAAAAAGGCCAAAACTCACCAAACACGGTCTCCGAGTTCTGCTCTGTGTGAAAAGCAGTGAATCTCTTGTGAGGGTGCAGCCTGCTCTTGGGGGTCGCCTTGGGCTTTCGCGCCAGAAAATCTTCCTCGTCCTCCTCGTCAAGCTCACTAGAGCTACTCGTGAACGAATAGTTTGTGCTCTTGTCTTTATAATTAGGACTAGCGCTACGACACCGGCCTCCCGCGGGAGGAGTTGGGCTGGATGGATTGGTCCGCGAGCGAGGTTTGGGGCTTTCAGTTGAGTCTCGAGTACTCGCAGAACGCCCAATGTTGGCACTACCAAAGAAAGTTTTTTCTCCTCCAGTGCTAGCATATCCCCTTCTCATTCTCTCAAACTCAGGAGTATCTGTCCGGTTCGGCGCAGACTTCTTAGCCGTCGGCGACGGCGCAGCCCCAAAATACGCATTTGGCGTCTGTGCACGTTCGTTCCGGCTCGTGTAGGACGAAGTGTGTGTGGCCATAGGCTCATCACCGCCCGCGACGTGCGGAGCGAACCCCTGCTTCTTCTTTTTCTTAGTCTGAGTTCGCGCAGCCTCTGGGCTCTCCTGCTTGTTGGACGTTCTGAAGTACTCGAAGGCAGACTTGGGCCTTGGCGACTGTCCATTGGCCTTGGTCGGTCTGGGTGTGGCTCCATTATAACCTGCGCGTCCCGTACGGGGGTCAAATGACGACCATCCACCTGGCATGCCATTCCCTTTCATATCTTGGAACCCTCGATAGGCGTCCGCCCGGGTCTGTCCCTCGTCATGCGCCTTCTCCCATGGCTGTTTCGGAGCCGCCCGTGCATAGCTGGCATACCGTTGGGCGCCACTCGAGGGACCCGCATGGTAAGACTGTGGCCGTGTGGAGGGTTGTGGCTTGGTAGGTGGAGGCTTCGGAGAATATGTGGAAGGCTGAGGGGTTGCGGCCGTCTTTCGAGGCTGACTAGTCTTAGAGGGCCCATAGAACTTGCCGTACCCAGCGCGCAGTCGGTCCGTATCATATCGCAACCGTTGTTGGGGGTCGATGAGGATCTCATGGGCGGCTTGAATGGCCTGAAACTTGGCGATGAAATCCACCTCGCGGCCAGGGTTCCTATCGGGGTGGTACTTCAAAGCTGCCAGAGGTTATCATTACTACAAAATATTTTCCAACCGGCCTGACAGTAAGGGTTGCTTCTCACCTAATTTCCGAAATTGCCGCTTGATGTCCTCTGTCTCTGCGCTGGGGGTGAGACCCAAGTCCGCGTAGTAGTCTCTCCGCACGTCGGCCTTAACCATCTTGGGAGATAGGCCGGGCCAGCGATTGTTTGCCTCTCGTCGAAGGAGTGTGTGCCACTAAAATCACGCCAAGGTTTGACCGTGCTGTACACATGACCTCTTGGGGCAAGCAAAGGGCTAGACTTCGAATGAGGGTCCGAGCCAACAAACAGCAAAGGAACGGCGGGAGTCTTATAGACGGGAAGGTGAAAGTGAACGGTGGGCGAAGGTATTTCCAGCGAGGGATTGGAATCGATTATCGTCGGGTCGGAGATTGTTGAGGGGAAAGGGGGACAAAAACAAAGCAATCAAATCGTTGCTGATTAGCCTTGGAGGCCCTAGTGGTGCCATGCAGATATTTAGTTAGCCCAACCCTTGAGAGAAGTATTTTCAATATATGTAGCAGTACAAGAAAACCAAGACCTACCTCCTACGTCTCTAGCCCAAGGCTGGGGTGGAGGGGGAGAAACTCCTTGATGGATGAATCAATAATTCGACACGAACTTTTTTTCCCTATCGGACAGCGCGCGGCGATAAAGCGATCCGAACGATCATGATCTCCCGGAGCAACAGCACAATCATCCGCTTCTTGCTCCACAACGACCGGACATTCGAAGTTACGACTAGTCCTTCGGTGAGCAAGGAAAGAACGAATAGAAGGCTGGAGGAACCATCAACTGAGCACCGGCGAATATAGAAGTGTATAGTCTCTGGCAAGACAGAGAATACAACGGAACCTCAAACAAGGCACGCGATGAGGTAAAACACGAGACCGTATTGGAGGAGGACAGTGCGAGTGCTCAGCTCTGTTTCAGATCACTTGGAGCAGTCATATATAGCTGATCCTTGATTGAGATGCAGTGTAGTGCAATTTGATGTAGTGTGGTGTAATTGAGAGAGCACCAAACGCTTGGACCAGAGGAGGAGGAGTATGGGGTACACAAGAAAGGGGGGGAATCCCCTGGGGTCAAAAGTCAAATCACCTGTTGTTCACTTTGTTAGTTTACTAGTACTCTAGTAGTCAACTGCCTCCGTAATTAACCTCTGCTTAGTCTAACTTAGTTGTACTTCACTCTTAGTAGGCTCTTACCGCCGCCAACTCATGGAAAACCGGCTTCATTTTACACCTCAATAGCTTATTATTTGCTGCCCAATCTAGAATCCTGACTCCGGCCTCACCTTTGCTCCACACTGACTCGGAGCTTCGCTGACAACCCCGCCATCGTCCATTTATACATTTCTTGTCTTGCTATCTATTACTATAAGCCTACTCTAGTTAGCGAACTTGGGTCGTAATGAGCCTTATATCCTCCCAATGCCTCCTAGTCTCAACGTGAGCTACCTATCTTCTGCTGTCTCCGTAGATGACATTCATAAACAACTTGGCAGCAGCAGCAGCATCCTCATCTCTCTGAAAGCTCCTCTCGTTCGATTTGGCATCAAGCCCCCTTTCGCTTTTCTCTTTGCTAGTAGCCTATCCACATTAACCTAGCTATACGGTCTAGGAAACGCAAACCGGCACGATTGGGGGAACTATCCCCACCAAAAACTGACGCTGATGCCTCCCTGTAAACTACGTACATAATGCCACCAGCCCAAAGGTATATACAAACATTCACCCTCCCTGAGTACTGTCTCCACATACTCTGCCTGCAAGAAGCCCGGCCATAATTCCTCCCACTGTTCAGCCTCAGCTGGAGACATCTCGATAGCTGCCAAATCTACCTGCGAGGTGTTCGACATGTCGATGACCTGTTCGTCAATTTCCGCGGTCATTGTCAGCGATGAGGGGTCATCGGGGCTTAGAGATGCATTTAATTCCCCTTGAAGTTGAATGTCCGCCTGTCTGTCATCTTCGTCAGAAGATTTAATCGATGATGTCTTCACAACCTCCTTCCCTTTCGGCCAGATCTGTGACGCTGGCGTGTGAGGCGAGTAGAGTCGGATGTATTTCGCGCCCACGACCTGAACAAGAATGTTGTGATAGGGATCATGGTGCAGAGGTGAGATGGTCCATGACGGGCCGATCCAGGTATTGATGTGAACATCGTCAGAGAAATGGTCCACAGAGTCATCGCTAGCAGAATCAGCTTCTGCAACGCTGGGTTTTTTAGTTTCTTGGTCTTCCATGTCCTTTCCAACGACGTTGACCGGCTCATAAGTTATCTTCTTCCTCTCTTCCTCCATCGCGAGCTGCCTCGAGAGATACAATGGCGTGCCCGGCTCCGGTCCAGGCGGGTCGGTCCAACAATAATCAGGGATGTAAATGTCCTTTCGCAAAGCTGGAATCTGAGACAATAGGTCATGTTGCGCCATATAGCCGGTTGGACCACCCTGGTCCTGATCCCGATCGAGAAACTTGGCAATGAATTCACCGAAGGGCATGATTCGCTGACCCCAGTCTTCGTCCGTGTATGCTCTGCCGATCTCCACAGGTACGAGTCTTCGACCGTCGAAGGTGCGCTCAGCCCAGTAAGAGCGGGAAGACCACGGCCGAGTCGACAAAGCAGGCCAGTGCCATACTGCATCGGTAATCACCAGTGGTGTTCGAGATGTGTAGATATGCGATCGGAACTCATCAAATTCACAAGCAGAAATCCGAGGAATGGGGCATTTTATCTCGGGTGCCGGTACTGCAACAGGGGAAAAGAGCAAAGTGGGCTCTGGCTGGTCAGCTGGTGCTGCTTGCCGCGGCGAGGAACAGGTTGCTGCTTTCAGAGAATCGATTAGAGTCTCGACAAGCTTTTCGCGCACTGGCGCACCAGTCATGATTAATGCTTTGTCAAGCAAGTGTATGGTCGGCGTGAGCCAGGCAGCGTCTGGATCGATCTGAATATCTCCGTCGTTGTCATACTCGCTGAGTTTATTCAAAAGACGGTAATAATATGATTCATCCAGATCAGTCATGTCAGGGTATAATAAATTGTCGCAGACATTGAGGCAGGCCTTCAGAATGCTGGCGTCCGTGTAGAGACGACGCCAGCACGCGTCTACTTCATTGAATGGGAAGACATGCAGATTCGAATGTGCTTCCTTGATGGCTGCTTCAGGGTTCAGTGATAGGAGCTTGACGATCTCCCCCGACTGACCCTCACGGCATCTCGAAATTGGATCGTTCTCATCCACTCTTCGGATAGTTGAGATTGCTTGGTAGATGACTTTGGGGAGTGGGAGGCTCATGGCACCTAAGAGTGATGTATATTCCCGAGTAAAGATATTGGTGGTCAAGATGAAGGATAGAAGAAATTGCTGGTAAAAGTGATGATTTATTTGTTGGAAGTCCCCCCGTGGTGGTTCGACGGGCGATGTTGACAGACACAGTTTCCCGCAACTTCCCTTTTTTCACTCTATTATGGATTGGTTGCCCAACGTCATGTGGAGGACGCTCAACACAACAACTAAACTGGAAACTGTCGTATGTACACCTTTGAGTACTTTGCTTGTATATTCAAGCATAATCAAGTTAATCGCTGGCGACAAAGAGCTCACAAGCAAGAAACAAAGCGTATTTGACGAGGAGAGCTTCCATTCGCATTATTACTATGTTATAGTGTACATACATGCCTTCGGCCGATTGGCCTTCTATGCTTTTGTTTAATTCTAATAATATACATTTATGACACTCTGTCAATTTATATTTAACCCAGAAGCTCCATTACTAGCCGGGGAATGCGACTAACACCTTCGCCCTTGATAGCGCTAACAGGGACAGCGCAGACTCTCTCTTTCCATCCTTCTTGCAGTCCACCCGGGTGATCAGCTTCTCCCTCTTCGACGGCAACAAGGTATTCTCGAAGCGCCTGGAATCGCTCCTGCGTTTCTGGAAGGTCCGCTTTTGTAGCCACAACAAACCAAGGCTTGGTATGGATCGGTGGCATTTTGAGCTCCGGAAGGGGCTCGAACCCTTGCTTTGAATTGGCGGGGCTTGAATCAGGGGCCACCCAGGTAGGTTCTGGCGCTTCTTCCTCTGTGAAGAAATCCGGTAGCTCATCTACCGGCGGAGGCCATGCAAGATTCTGGATTTTCAAATCATGTTCCGCTTCACGAAGTCGTTGGTATTCACCGAGCTCAATCCAAAGATTCTTAAGACCTTGAATAGGATCGCCGGCGCTGAGGTCGACAACAAAAGCAAGGATGCCGGCTCGCTCGATGTGCCGTAAGAAACCCAAGCCCAGGCCACGATCAAGATGAGCGCCCTCAACCAGACCCGGAATATCAGCAATGGTAAAGTTCGTCCGCGGTGTCCTGCCCTCCAATTCAACCAAGGGCCTCCCCTTGTGGTTGTCGATGACAACCGTCCCGATGTTTGGCTCAAGGGTCGTGAATTCCCAATTGCCAACCCGAGTGCGACTGTTGGTCAAGGAACGCAGCAAAGTGCTCTTGCCAGCATTGGGCTTCCCAACAAGACCAACATCCGCCAGGAGCTTGAGTTCGAACTCGAGCTCCAGACGCTTGCCGCCTTCACCCCTGGACGCGAACTTTGGTCGGCTCATTGAGCGGTGCGCAAAGTGCGGGTTGCCTAATCCTCCTACACCACCTGCCGAAAGCAGAATCGGCTTATCCATATGCTGTGAAAGGTCGAGATTGATGGGCTGTTTAGGCTCCAGGGAGGCGATGTGCTGCCGCCGCGGCGCGCTCTTCGGAAACACCGTAGTCAAGTAATCGGACGGATTGGCTCCCGGGTACAGAACCCAGCGATCGCGGCGAATAGATGCTATGCCGAAATCCTCCTCTTCCTCGGCTTCAGAGCCTTTCATTCGCTCGTGCCGGTGACGTAGTTCCTCCTCCGCAACCGGGTCGTACCGATCGACCTCTCGCACAACGGTGCCAACAGGGACCTGAAGAAGCACGTCCTCGCCGCGTTTGCCGCCCCTGCTTTTCCCCTGTCCATTTCTGCCTCGTCCCGCCTTGATGACGCCTCGCCGGGCGAGTTTGTGTAAGCTGGTTAAGCCTTCAACGGCCTGAATGTAGATGCTCCCACCGCTGCCGCCGTCGCCACCGTTCGGTGGGCCCTCCTCGATATACTTTTCGCGCAGAAACGAGACGCATCCGTCACCACCTGAGCCAGACCATATCGTCGAGCGGCACTTGTCTTGGAATATAAACCGAGAGTAATCGTCAGGTGTGGGATTGAGATGCGAGGTTTCGATAGGTTGCTGGTCGGGCGCGGTTGCTTGGCTGACGGGTCGCCGTGTCTCAGCGTCGGTGCTATTGAGTCTTTGAGAATTCTTGAGGACGTGAACTGATGCTATGGATGTCTGATGAAGCCCGCCCGACCGCTGGATGCGCTGAAGGGGGAACGAGCGTAGGAAGCATGTCCGTTGAGCGGCCATGATGTGCGTTTGAAAGTATTAGTGGAGATTGTTCATCATCGGATGAGCAATTCACACTTCTGTCCCAAAAAGAATGGTGTGGTCAGTCAAGACGCATTCTCTCTTTCGTTTTTGGGAGTATCGCTCCAGTCAGAAATTTGTGATGCGTGCTTCGAGATGGCAAATGATGCCTATGACTTCAGTGTCGCAGGCAGGAAAACTATCGGTCATGTGATCTTATCTACACATGATGATAAGATCTGCCTGCAGTTTTTTCCACTTTGGCTTATTTTACTATTATGCCTTGGGCTTCCGAGCTTCACAAACAACCTGATCAAATTAGTGGCAGCATATCTACAACCTTATCGTATGGCATCGTTCTTGAAACTTTATCCTACATCTAACTGAGGCTAGAGCCTAGCCTGGTAGCATTTAACCCACATGCAACCCACCAGTCATCACGTTATCAGGTGCGAAATGCTTAAGCTGTGATAAGCAGTACTAAGTATATGTATTGCACCGCGGGTTGCTGTGCACTCGGCGGAACAGTAATCGACCAAATAACCTACTTCGTTCAACCCCTTTGGGACGTTGCCTTCAGTATCGAAGATGTCAATACCGCCATTCTTTGCGCATGTTTGATCAAGCCTCCGTTATCCCAATATGACTGACACCAAGAAATTGCCGCAGACCCGATCTGGCCTTCGACATGCCTGGACTCGGAAAAAGAAGACGACTTCCGGTGCGCATACCTACGCAGAAGATGACAAACGGAAGCCCCAACTGAGAAGGCTGCTTGATTTGCAAGATTAGCACAACTCATCTTCCAAGGTATTCGCATTTCGACAGTAGCTGCGGGGGGAATTCCAACACGAATTGCTAGGCAGGAAACCGGCCTCAAAGAATTTGTCAGAAATATGGACCGGAGACGGTGCCTTCGCGCAGCATCAAGGCAGACTATGCGAGTCAGCATGTCTAGCCTGTACACCGTCTCCAGGAGGCATTTATGCGGCTAGCTGCTGGGACATTCGGATGCAAGCCGTGGTCGTAAAAGGTGGTCCACAGGTGCCAGACTCCTAAAGCATCATTGACCGGTAATGGTATGCATGCCTCTAGCTAGGTATTTGAAAAGGGAGGGATAAGTAAATCTCGCTCATTATACCTTCAGGCAGAGATGCCGCCGGTCAACGAGAACTAGGCCTTCCCTAGGTCCTCGTAGAGCGCTTCCAGCCAGCCATCTAGAACTCGCGGATAACATCCGAGTGATGCAGTGACCGAAAGAGCTGAAAACGCGAGTAGGGAAGCCTGTGGCTTGAGAATACGCAAGTCAGCTATGGGCCTTGTTTCCCGACAATTGGAGATGAGAGCCTGCAAAGGGAGCTTGATTGGAACCCACGAAATCCACGAAGCCAAGCCCTACCGTATCGTCATGGAGTTCAACGAGCTGAGCCCAGTCTCCTGATTCAATGCCAGCTTCACTTGATTGTTCTCACCGAGTAAGCATTCAGCACAGCTGGATGGCAACTCAATGACGGCTATGTGGAATGACATAATCTCTACAAGCACTGAGGACGCAAGAATGCGCGCGCGAATAGCGCTCTGGGTAAATCCTCTTCAAAGGATGGATTCGAATCAGTAGTGCCCTGTGACAGACCCGATCTTTGGCACCATAGCAACCAAGCCACATGTATGCTGCACAGAGGGTAAGGATCCATAAGATTCTCGCATTGGTTGGTGAGGGCGTAATGAGGACAATCTCGTCTTCTTTTCCTGGAATCTGGACCGTTCCCCGGAGTGGCAAACAAGCGACAATTACATTGTGGAGCGCGGCGAGTGGGCCGCGGCCGTGGACGTGTCATATTTTACTGGAGCCAATAAGTAGCCTAGAACGGCGGGACAAGTGAATAGCACTGCACAGATAAGAAACTTGAAAGAAACCTCTATGCGGCGACCGCAGCAAGGTGGGGGTTGGAAGGCAGTGATAGGGAGGGAAAGACAGAAGGATTCATCCTTCAATCGAGCTTTAGCAGGGGAGGACTAAGAAAAGGGGATGGGCCTCCCGCCAATCCCCCATGTCCATCCATCTATCGATGGACCTATCATGAAGCCAAACCCCATGATGAGGATTTCAAGATGTCATGACTACCAGATCCAACTTTGCATTTCACCTGTTCAACAAGAAATCCATACAAAACACCATTCGCTTGAGGGCGGATAACTCGCCCGCCCAATGCCAATCTGTAGCAGATGCGCAAGGACGAGTGATAACCGGTCAATCTATGTATTGAGAGAGTGGAGTCTTGAACTGCAGTACGGCGCATCGGAGTAGGTACAGTCATTATAGGAGATCCGGAGCCCGGAGTAATAGTTACTACTACGATCCTGTGGTTTTCTCTCAATGCCAGTCAAGATGAGCCAGTTTCAGCACGCCATGATTAAGCCTTCGTTCCATTCCGGACCGGAATTTCCTGGCAAAGGTATCTACCTAACCAAAAGTAGAAAGGTACCTTAGGAGACTTCTTGGAAGGGACTTTGGAGGGCGAATGAAGGGACCCCGATCCGTTCACCAGGTACTTTTGTCTAGACTGTTCCCCGAGCGATCGGCTTCTCTTTCTGTCCGATTGAGCCTAGACTGGCTTATCAGCTCTGATCTAGATGCAGATGATCCGTAGCTCCGTACCAGTACGCTTCAGCGTTCAATGATAACTACTCCGTTACTATCATCTCATTTGACGTGTATCCGATATGTGTCTGATCATCCACCTCGAGTCCCAGGATAAGTGGGGATGTCTATTTTAAAACCATCAAACTCCAGAGCCTTGGCTCTCGGATGGTAGAGCAACCCGTGCATATCGATATGGGCAAATGTCAACTCGTCAAGGCAAAGATGTCTGGGTAGATCGTTGACCAAGGCGGTTGCATCTGCATCGCGACTGCATGTATTACGAAGACTAGCGAAGATGAACCCGATTTCTTTGTCTGGCTGGTAGTCAAGGCTGCTTATTGTTCTCGATCAAGACGACAACGCACATATTGTCTTTGTTTGTTCTTATTCATCGTCTGACCCGGTTTACTTGGTCAGACATCAAGGCGAAGTTGCTTGATGGAAATTGGAATAGCCTAGGGACCCGACGCTGAAAGTCGACGTTTCTATGCTGTGATGATTGGGCTCGTTGGAAGGCGGCTGATAGAACATCCTGTATGGCCATTTTACTGAGCTGTACTCGGGCCTGATGTCAAAATAGACTGGCTGGGGATGTCGAACTTCACATGGTCCCGCGAGTTCCGGGTGACGAGCTCCCCTGTATTGGCGAGCACGTGATATTATATCACATGACACTTGCGCATGTACGTCCATCCATCGAACGAGTTGTGCCGTCATGCAACAGGTGAAGGAGACACCCTGATGCCCAAGGCATGCGTGTTAACTGGGCTCAACTGTCTCTGACGTCTGCTTTGACGAGAAGAACGAAAGAGCAATTACCGAGATAGGTAAAAGGTTGAGAAAGTACTACTCAAGCTTAGGTCGAGGTACCTGGTTAAGCAGCATACTCCATAAGTCAGGTGGGCTCTTCCGTTGAAGTCCCGTAGTGGTCTGCTACAAGGCCGTGTAACTCAATGCCCTGGATACCGAATGCTTCATACATGAACAGCAGTAGGGTGCTTGTAATCGATCGGCCGTGGTGGGTCGACACAGATGCTGGCCACCAAAATAAGGCGAAAGATGAAACATTCGAGCATGGTCTACGTACTGTACGTGCAGGCACACCTGCATGTATGCAGTTCTTAGGTTAACCCAGTCCCTCGGGCTCACGGCTTGGGTAGGGGAGCTGTCGGCGTCATGTCTTCCACTCATGGCTGACGTAAATTTTACCATCCTACGCTGTTATCAGCAATTCTTGAGTCGCTCCCAGTACCTGGAAAGGGTTGAACAGGCTAGGAACTTAGAAGGAGCCAAGCTGTGACAGCAGCTGATTCAAGGATGCCTCCGCTACAAGCGCAGCATTACAGATGTACCGTTGCATTGCGGGAGCAAGTAGCCGATCGACAGCGAATCTAGACGCGACACTGGTCCATCGCCTGGATAGAGCTGGTGGACGATGAGTCGACGTTCACACAGAGCCACTTGTATGACAATGCCATTGGTCTTTAAGCTGTGAATGCTGCAGCAGTAGCACGGCTGTCATGCAATTTTAGAGTCATGTTCTTTGTTCTCCCAAGGCGCGAGAGTAGATTGCTGACATGCCACACAAAAAGGACACACTCAGTGTTACAAGTCGCAGCAAGGATTTCGGAAGACTATGAGAGGAAAATCCCTGTCAGGGATTGAACATGCAGTCAATCAATAGAAACTCCAAGGGTAGGTGGATACGTGATGTCTGCAATTACTGCTTACCTAGTCTACATATGTACCTTGGTCTTGTACTTTAGTTTGTTTGCTTCCCTCCTTCCACCCTCTTTTTTCTCTTTTCCCCGCTGATAAATCACTAATGATGATACATCCCATTCATGCCTCAGCCTCTCTTGCCACCTTCCTTGGTAAGTTGATATGCACAGTTGGAAAGCCACCGTTCGAACAGGCCTGAGGCTCCGCAGTGGGGAGGGTTTACAAGCCAAATCAAGAGAGCTGAACGAATGGGATTGCGTTCCTGGTACCGCCGGAAGGGGGAGGATTCGCTTTCCCCTGCAGCTCACAGCTCACATGATCGAAAGCTGACACCCTCTCCGGCTCCCCCCCCTCTTCCCCCCCCGGGCCGGCAAGAAATGGTTCTAAAATGGGGCTAAAGACCAACTAGTGCGTGGCCTGTAAGAAAGTCAAATGGCGGGAAGAGAAATAATGATTACAAATAAAATGAAACAGGATAATAATGAAACCAAAACAAGAACGAAAGTCGATCAATCATCGATCCGAATGACCCCATAAGTGATGGATGTTCTTTTTGGACTGGTGAACAGACCCATCCATCCTCGATCGTTATCCGTCGCCGCGGCACCGGATCCCAACTTCCGTTGGAGTAAGAAAGTCCCAATCCTTCATGTCTCCCGCTACCTTGACGCAAAGGTCGCCACCCAAGGGATGCATTTGCATCGAGACTGTGGCTTTGCTTGGGAGAGCCCAGGTGGAAAGAAGATAGATGCCTTGTCCTTACTGCCGCTGGTCCACATCA